GAAATAGGGGGCTCTTATTAGAATACTATTTTGGTGAAAAAAAAACAGTTGAAAGATAAATTTCATGGTTTATGCTGACAGCCTGAAATGTTTATATACAACAGATATATCTTTCCAGAATTTAATTGCCCATAATTAAGGGTGCATATAACACACAAGTGTGTATTATACACGAATAAAAAAGTCTTGTCTACATTGATCAATCAGGAGGGATGCTAACTGGGATTGTTCACTGGCCAATATATTAGCAAATATCGCCGTGGGCGCTTAATAGATCGGGGTGCTTATTACGCCGAATACGGTATACAACTCAAATTTTGAAAGGGATATTGTGAGTGTCAAATGAAGGGACAGAACGTGAATTATCGTGGGGCTTATCATACAGTAGTCAATATTGCCACGGCACCGACACATTAATAGTTTGTTTCAAATGAGTGTGTTTGGTTTGACGCTATTTTGAACAGTATTTCAGTTACATTCCGTGACAGCTTGATGTGGGGGAGCCCAAAGTGAGAAAGTCTTGGATGTGTATCACTTTGAAACCCACAAGCAATGTATGTTGCTGACACACAAAAACACAATCAGGGCTAGCTGAGTTTCAAACCGACCATCCTAGATTCCTGGCAAGTCTAAGGGACATAACTCTACACAGCAAACTGCAGCACTATATGTGACAGGGCCAGACATGCCCCTCTCATTTGAAACAAAAGTAACACATTCACATTTCCGTAAGTTATCATGTAACAATATATACTATATGTCCTTACCAAAATTTGAATAGTCCACAACAGAGGCGAAATTTGGTTTAACGTCGCAAACAAGATTATTGCACTTACATAGCGACATGCATGCACATGTGTGTGTCTGTGGCTATTTGTACCGTATTTGTCTGGATTAATGCCAGTTTTATAGTGCTAGCCCACTGAGATACCACTGCATTTTAACATGAATACCCCACTCAGACACAGTATACAGACTCTGAGCCGACCAGTCCTTGTTTGAGCCCCTTAATGTCGAGTGCCAGGCAGGGTAACAACAAGTACCATTTTTTAACGTCTTTTGATATGACGCCGCCGGGGATCGAACCCCGAACTTTCCTCTCTCCAGGCAGACGCTCTACCACAAGACCACAGAGGCGGTCGTACACAAAAGACAGCAACATTATCGCCTTATAAGCCAGCGCACTAACAAACAGGAGATACCGTATACATGACAAAACGAGAACCATACAACAAGCTGTACATAACAGATGCTCCATTAACCTACAATATCGAGAACAGTGAATATCACAGTCTTATCATGAATAGATAATAAAGGAATATATATACAACAACATTGTCATGTATAACAAACAGTGATTCGAAACAAAGAGACAATGCCTATGCTATTCATCCTCTTTGGTAAACAGAAGTCAAAAACAATGATCTGGGATTTGCTTTTCCACACATGGAGATACATCATAATCTGAACCATCAACCAAATGAAAGTGTTGAGATGTATAGGTTTTATGAGTCAGTTCAAAATGAACCACTCAGAACAGTTTAGGATTCCGTAGATATATGTCAAAATTTAGAATTTGTACACCGGAGTACATACAACACAATCAAAGGGCTTCCTCAAACCCAATACTGTTTGTCATGTAACGGATTTCACTTTGTGTTCTTTGTTACTTTAGTGAAGTAAAAATATTTTTCCTTACTGCTGCTTCGAACATAGGATATAGTGAGTGAGTTTAGGTTTAACGCTGCTTCGAACAGCGTTTCAGTTATAGCGCAGTTTGTCAGCTTGATGTGTGAGGAAAGCCCAAAGTGATGCAGGTCATGACACTTACCACTTTGGTGAAACCCACAGGTATGGGTTGATGCTGACAAACCTAGAAACATAATCAACAAATCAAACTCTCTATAATAGCTTCCTGGCACACCTAAGGGCCACAACTCTGTACAGCAAAACATAGACAACTGGGCTATTGATGCCCAGCATAAGAGTTGGGTTTAACGTAGCTTTAAACAGTATTCCAGTTATATCACGGCGTGTCAGCTTAATGTGGGAGGAAAGCCCGAAGTGATGCAGGTCTCAGACGTTTATCACTTCGGTGAAACCCACGAGCACAGGTATGGTGCTGACAAACCTAGAAACATAATTGGGGCGAACCCGGATTCGAACCCACAATCATAGGTTTCTGGCATGCCCAAGGGACGCAACTCTGCACAGCGAATTGCGGCGCCTTATCTGACTGGGCCACCCGTGCCCCCCCACCCCCCAGCATAAGATATAACCTTCCTTCAACTACTCATACATTGTGATATATATCAGAGCCATTGTTTTTAAACAGGTGGTATTTATCTGCAAAGACTATACGGCAGCCATGAATCCATAAAATACACTAAAATAACATTTATCTAAGCGTGCAGACATAGATTTGTATTGTATTACAAATCTTTTATCCATGTTTCTACAATACAACTGCCAAATTAGATTTAATTTTGCATTCAAATGAACACAAGAATGTAGTTTGCTACACTGATATAACCTGGAGAGTAATCCCCGAGGGATTCATCTTTGTCCTGTTACTGTACAAGACTGCACAAGACTGTACAAGACCGTACAAGACTGTACAAGACCGTACAAGACCGTACAAGACCGTACAAAACTGTACAAGACCGTACAAAACTGTACAAGACCGTACAAAACTGTACAAGACTGTACAAATCCGTACAAAACTGTACAGAATTCTTTTACAGGATATAGACAGTGATAATGATAAAATCATGATTCAGAATGTTAAAAATCTTCTTTGAAACGTATAGTCAGTAATAAAAATCTTACAAATTTCACAGATGCTTCCCTAATTATTTGCCCCCGTAGAGCGTTTAAGTCAAAAGAAAGGGCATCACTGATCATTGCAAAATATCAACTTCTATCCTATCCGTGCTTTGTAATATAATCTTGAAAATAAAGAAATGATGTCTGACTTCATCGAACAGTTTTAAATTATGTTTTCCCAGGATACATGGAAACATAAAGTAAAACAGGATGCATTGTGGGTAGCAATCTATTTGGTTGTGAGAAGTACAAACTCCTATAAAAAAACAAACACAAATAAAGTAGCAACTAGTTGCCGTCATCGGTGCTTTGTTTAAGTAGACATTTATCACGAACATCGTATTGTTCGAAATGAGGTCAGCATGTCATAATCTTCTCTGGGTCATTTGAAAATAGCAACAAATGTTTCACATATATACAAGCCATATTAAATCTTTGTCATCTGATTTCGTAACAATATACTTCCCCACTACAGATAATCACATGAACGCATGGTACTAATTTCACTGTCAGTTGAACTGTGAATCACTCTGATATTTGGCAACATTATGGTTAATAGAAACCCCATATGAGATATCATCAAAAAGTCACAAACAAAAATGGAGGACTTGAAATCAATTTGTAAGAACAGAAATAAATGTTAAATACATAATTATAATTGTCAATAACCTGTATTTGGGACAACAACAAAAATACCGTATTCGACATTATAAGCGCCCAGGTTGCTCTCAAAATTAGAAATAGGGGGCTCTTATTAGAATATTACTCTGGTGAAAAAAAGCAGAGTTGAAAGATAAATTTCGTGGTTTTTGCTGACAGCCTGAAATGTTTATATAAGACAGATATATTTTTCCAGAATTTAATTGCCAATAATTAAGGGTGCATGTAGCACACGAGTGCGACTCATACGCGAATAAATAAGTCTTGTGTACATTGATCAATCGGAAGGGGTGCTAATTGGGATTGTTCACTAGCCAATATATTAGCAAATATCGCCGTGGGCACTTATTACGTCGAATACAGTAAGTCAATGTGTTACACCAACCACATGTTGACATAGTAGTAACTTTACTCAAGTTTTAGAGGAAATTATCAAATGGCACTGGGGCATGTATTGGGTCAAATATTTTATAAATGTTACCGTATCATCAAACTGACAATGCGATTTTTGTGTCACAAGAAATGAGGCAAATTTAATCAAAGAACACTTTCATCAAAGGTATTTTACTATCATCAATATGTTCTGATTAAAACACAAGACTCATCAGACTCCAAGGGCGGATCCACCATTTTCAAAGGGGAGGGTTCCGAAATATCAAAATTCTCTCTCAGATAACTTTACTGCTTACGACATACATCATTTGGTTTTCAAAGGGCGGGGTCCGGACCCCCTGGATCCGCCTATGGATCCGCCTATGGACTCCTACCATCATCCTTCCAAGTGTCAGTCTGGACTGACAGTCACTGACCCTTAATGGATTAAGTAGTCTAGTTCTTTCCCAACTAACCAAGAGTCATAACAAAGCTGGATATTTAATCTGGGTACTTCATCACGGCATTAATGTGATGCCACAAGGTTTTTTCTTCTGTGCAACATGGTGAAGACAATACCCAAAGAACTTCACAACAAGGACATGAAGAAAGTGCATCAGGCAATGTCAGGAGCTTCTTCCCGAGGCAAGATCGTCCACTAGCCTTTTTATCAAAGTCTTGTTTCCTCCCTTGCCACATCAAGCCCACAAGCTCCTTCCCAGCGCGTGACACCTTCGTTACACTCTCGGTAACATCGCTGCCACCAGTGTGGGCGCGGCCATTACAAGAATCTTGAAATTTGCCCTCTAACCCCAAATGTAGTACCGTTTAAACTATTGTTTATGTCTTTGGGAATGCCATGATATTTCATTTTGAAAAGGTTTATGACTGACCATGTTTTCCAGATGAATTTACTTTGTTGTTTTAATAATCAGATTGGTTCGAGATTGCAGACTAACGGAAAATCAACAAACTTCTCCCTTACATTCTAACTATATCAACAACACGATAGTTTTAATGAAACAGAAATTCTAATTGACAAACGAAGAAAGTAATTTAGCAGCGATAAGTGTATTCGGCGTCACGACAGTCGTCACTTGTTTGTAAACATAACGGTCATTCGGTTGCGAGTTCAACTCCAAGCATGGTTGTGGCCACCTATTCACTGTGGGGAGTTTTGACTGGTGGCAGCGATAGTATCGAGAGATCCGCGAGGGGGCTATCGCTGTGAGGAGCTTGATCAAGCCCACTTTCCTGTGCTGAATAGGATTTGACTATCACACATATTGATAGCCCAATCAGAGAACGTTTCACAAAATCAACATCCGTGACTACACCGCTGCCTGTCGTTGTTGACACGAACATGTCTTTTCCATCTTTTAAAACCCCCAACGATTGTTTTTGTGTCAGGGATGAAATCGAGAATGTTTTTGATATCTGATCAACTAGGTCGTCCCCCATGCCAGCCATCTTTGTGAAGCTATACGAGATAAGAACAGTGATCTGATTGGATATCGTGTTTTCATTACAAGACGCACAATTCGTGATCTATGCGAGGTGGCGCCAAGGTCGAGCCAACAAAAGCGGCCTTGACCTGGCAAGGGTAGAAACTAGGCTTGATATAGGCTAGTGGACACACTTGCCTGGCGAAGATGTGTTACGAGCTGCCAGTAACTCGGTCCAGTGACAAAAACTAACAACAAACACAAAAAGCAAAACATAAACGAGGACTATCTATGTGGAATGTTTTGCAAATGTGTGAGGGAATTGTTGAGGATTCTAGGGTCGACATAACAAAATCAGTGAATACAATGTCAGAAAAAAACATCTGAAAAAACAACTGAAACATTGAAAAAAATAAAATTCAAAAGTGGTAGAAATACAAAAATGTCAGCTGAAATTGTTTGTAGTCATCTCACACACAGGAATCTGTCTGTATGACTTGAAAACTGTTGGCAGAATTTGTAAAATGTCAGACATTTTACAAGTACTGTACCCAAATGTTCTTTTTCAAAATATTCTCTTCATGTTTTCTTTGTTTCTGCATTTCTAGAGAATGATGTTTTACTGTTTCACAGAGAATGTGAGAACTAAAACGGATTGTCCTATAGCAGAGTTGAGCTTGAATCAGTTGGTCCAGTTGATCAGTGGGAGTACATGATGCCTAGCTTCAACAACATCACCGCAGCTTCTTCCGGAACATCTCCAGCGTGTGAATGCTGGTGGACAATCTAGAAGACACATTGTGAAGATTAAAACAACTTCACTCCAATAAATCACAACAACAATTTACACAGAATCATCATGGCTGGTAGAAAAGAACAATTTACTTCCTTAATACTTCCTAACACAAAATACAAAATACTTCCTAACACTGTCATGACATGAGCTCCAAATACTGCCAATACTTCCTAACACTGTCATGACATGAGCTCCAAACACTGTCAATACTTCCTAACACTGTCATTACATGTGCTCCAAACACTGCCAATACTTCCTAACACTGTCATTACATGAGCTCCAAATACTGCCAATATTTCCTAACACTGTCATTACATGAGCTCCAAAAACTGCCAATACGTCCTAACACTGTCATTACATGAGCTCGAAACACTGCCAATACTTCCTAACACTGTCATGACATGAGCTCCAAAAACTGCCAATACGTCCTAACACTGTCATTACATGAGCTCCAAATACTGCCAATACTTCCTAACACTGTCATGACATGAGCTCCAAAAACTGCCAATACGTCCTAACACTGTCATTACATGAGCTCCAAATACTGCCAATACTTCCTAACACTGCCATGACATGAGCTCCAAACACTGCCAATACTTCCTAACACTGTCATGACATGAGCTCCAAAAACTGCCAATACGTCCTAACACTGTCATTACATGAGCTCCAAATACTGCCAATACTTCCTAACACTGTCATGACATGAGCTCCAAAAACTGCCAATACGTCCTAACACTGTCATTACATGAGCTCCAAATACTGCCAATACTTCCTAACACTGTCATGACATGAGCTCCAAACACTGTCAATACTTCCTAACACTGTCATTACATGAGCTCCAAACACTGCCAATACTTCGTAACACTGTCATGACATGAGCTCCAAATACTGCCAATACTTCCTAACACTGTCATGACTTGAGCTCCAAACACTGTCAATACTTCCTAACACTGTCATTACATGAGCTCCAAACACTGCCAATACTTCCTAACACTGTCATTACATGAGCTCCAAACACTGCCAATACTTACTAATACTGTCATGACACTGCCAATACTTCCTAACACTGTCATGACACTGCAATACTTCCTAACACTGTCATGACATGAGCTCCAAACACTGTCAATACTTCCTAACACTGTCATGACATGAGCTCCAAACACTGCCAATACTTCCTAACACTGCCATGACATGAGCTCCAAACACTGCCAATACTTCCTAACACTGTCATGACACTGCCAATACTTCCTAACACTGTCATGACATGAGCTCCAAAAACTGCCAATACGTCCTAACACTGTCATTACATGAGCTCCAAATACTGCCAATACTTCCTAACACTGTCATGACATGAGCTCCAAAAACTGCCAATACGTCCTAACACTGTCATTACATGAGCTCCAAATACTGCCAATACTTCCTAACACTGTCATGACATGAGCTCCAAAAACTGCCAATACGTCCTAACACTGTCATTACATGAGCTCCAAATACTGCCAATACTTCCTAACACTGTCATTACATGAGCTCCAAAAACTGCCAATACGTCCTAACACTGTCATTACATGAGCTCCAAATACTGCCAATACTTCCTAACACTGCCATGACATGAGCTCCAAACACTGCCAATACTTCCTAACACTGTCATGACATGAGCTCCAAAAACTGCCAATACGTCCTAACACTGTCATTACATGAGCTCCAAATACTGCCAATACTTCCTAACACTGTCATGACATGAGCTCCAAAAACTGCCAATACGTCCTAACACTGTCATTACATGAGCTCCAAATACTGCCAATACTTCCTAACACTGTCATGACATGAGCTCCAAACACTGTCAATACTTCCTAACACTGTCATTACATGAGTTCCAAACACTGCCAATACTTCGTAACACTGTCATGACATGAGCTCCAAATACTGCCAATACTTCCTAACACTGTCATGACTTGAGCTCCAAACACTGTCAATACTTCCTAACACTGTCATTACATGAGCTCCAAACACTGCCAATACTTCCTAACACTGTCATGACATGAGCTCCAAACACTGCCAATACTTACTAATACTGTCATGACACTGTCAATACGTCCTAACACTGTCATGACACTGCCAATACTTCCTAACACTGTCATGACATGAGCTCCAAACACTGTCAATACTTCCTAACACTGTCATTACATGAGCTCCAAACACTGCCAATACTTCCTAACACTGCCATGACATGAGCTCCAAACACTGCCAATACTTCCTAACACTGTCATGACACTGCCAATACTTCCTAACACTGTCAGTACATGAATCCAACTACTGCCCAGTCAAACAGTGACTTACCTTCCAAATGCATTGAAGAGTGACACAATCTCGGACCTGGTGAGCTGGAAGTTGCGTTTGCTGCTGGCATTGACTGTGGACATGGGGCCAATGGTGTCCCCGGAGAAGAGGATCTTGAGGGCGGTGCCCATCCCCTGGATCTGAAGCTTGCCCCACAGCCTGCACTTGTCACACCCCACACAGTCCATGATGTGGGAGATGTTCCTGAAGTGCATGCGGAACTCCTCCTACAACAAGCAGGAAATACTCATATCCCCAGGCAAACTCATTAAAATCAGATCTTAGTTCTCGCTATCGCTAAACAAAGATCTGAGGACATCCCATTACGGGTCATGTCAGAACGACCTTTCATCCAACCAATCAGAGCGTCGCTTACCAGATCATAAAGGTGAGGTGAGGTGAAATTGGGTTTAACGTCGCGTCCAAGATTATTGCACTTATATAGCGACGTGCATGCATGTGTATGTGTGTGTGTGGCTGCTTGTACTAGTCCGGACTGATGCCGATTTATAGTGCTAGCTCACTGAGATACCATGCCGCAGTTTAACATGACTACCCCACTCAGACACAGTATACTGACTCCGAGCCGACCAGTCCTTGTTTTAGCCCCTTAATGCCGAGCGCCAGACAGGGTAACAACAAGTACAATCTTTTAACGTCTTTTTGTATGACGCGGCCCGGGATCGAACCCTGGACCTTCCGCTCTCCGGGCGGACGCTCTACCACTAGACCATGGAGGCGGTCGCACCAGATCATAAAAGTGACAATCGGAATGTGTTTCTAATCATGCAACCACGAAATATTTAACATGGGGTATTCCGAACGACAGTTACGGGTTTTATGATTATATCCATACAATCTAGGCCATCTATAAGCCATTCCAGAATGTTCTTCTTATCAGTTTTAATTTTTTTAATTGAGAATACGTTTAAATATGTTTCGAAGCGTAGTCGCCAGTTTGAAACTAGTGTCGTAAAGCTGGAGAAAGCAGCCTTCCGATTGGCTGATGTCGATTTCTTGTCAGTCATTTCATTGGTCGGTCAAAATTCGCGAAAGGTCGTTCTGACGTTCATGTATATGCCAGATTAATTCTTTATCTACCTTAAGTTTCCTTGCTTCATTTGGCTCTCCAGCAAACAGTTTACTCTCATCAAAGTGGTCGTTGAAGGATCTGTTGGTAATATCACATATCATTAATATTACAATTACTGTGACAAGCATATCACACCAACATATCACCTTTACAGTGAATAAGTTGGGTTTAACTCCGCTTTGAACAGTGTTTCAGTTATATCATGGCGGGTCAGCTTAACGCGGGAGGAAGGTTTCAAAGTGATGCAGGTCTAAGACGTTTACCAGTTAAACCCCAAAGCAAGGCTAGGGAGACATACCAATAAACATAATCAGGGCAAATTTGGGATTCAAACCTGCAATCACGGGCTTCTGGCACACCCAAGGGAGACAACACTTTACAATCACAACTAGGCCTTCTATCCGCCATACACTTTCATAGAAAAGTCACAAAAGATCAAATCACAGGAACTTGCAACTAATCATACAGGGAACAAGTTTTTATGAAAGGGGAAATTTTTCTGAAAGAGGAATGACTGCGAAACATCTTACTTGATGACCGTGAGCAGATCTTCCACTCCTCGTTTTGTCCCTTCATCCTCCTCGTCACTTCCAGTGAAGAATTCTTCCTGCAAAACGATATATCCTACTGTGAGAGAGAAGTAATATTCTATCTGGATTGGGGGTGGGTGGGGGGGTTACAGAGAATCAGGAGGGTCACCCAAAAGTTTTTGGGATTTGGTTTTGTTTGTTGTTTTACGCCGCACTCAGCAATATTCCAGCTATATGAAGGCGGTCTGTAAATAATCAATTCTGGACCAGACAATCCAGTTATTTACATAATTAACATCAATCCACGCAATTGGGATCGATGACATGCATCAACCAAGTCAGCGATCCTGACCACCTGTTCCCGTTAGTCGCCTTTGACGACGAAAAGCACGGGTTGCTGAAGAAATATTCTACCCCGAATCTTCACGGGCCTGTTTTGGGGAGGGTCATAGAATATATTACACATATTTCAGGAGGATCATGAAAAAAATGTAGCTGGACATGAAGAGGGTCATCCAAAAATTCGACAAAGATTATTGGAGGAAATTATTTTCAGTACATTAGTGCAAATACCTCTGATGTTAGTGAGTCTGTAAATAAATGCTTTATCTAAAATCCATCACCGCAATGAATGATATGATGAGTGACACTCTTTAACATAGAACTTTTAAGGTCGCTCAGTGAGGTAAACATGTTATTTGACAAAAACAACAACAAATATTCTGTACATTTCTATTTTTCAGTGAGGCTAAATGCAAACATATTTTTTAACATCCTTTCCCCTATGGCTAATAAAACATCTTACCAGATACACGAATGCTAAAGAGTCTGTTGCTACTTCATCTTACCTCCAACAGGTAGGGAGCAGCTTTAGCCAGCGCCCTCAGTTCCACCAGGTACGTGAACACTAACGAGTCTGCTACTTCATCTTACCTCCAACAGGTAGGGAGCAGCTTTAGCCAGCGCCCGCAGTTCCACCAGGTATGTGAAGTAGAGGTTTTTCAGTCTCTGTGGTCCCTCCCCGTCGGATGTCTTGGGGTCAAACCTCTGCCTGAACTCCTCCATGTTGGGACCCCAATCAGCATCTCCATAACCGATCGCTACAGGTACAAAATGTCTCATGTCAACACAGCTTTACTTGACTTGGTAACCGATCGCTACAGGTACAAAATGTCTCATGTCAACACAGCTTTACTTGACTTGGTAACCGATCGCTACAGGTACAAAATGTCTCATGTCAACACAGCTTTACTAGACTTGGTAACCGATCACTACAGGTACAAAATGTCTCATGTCAACACAGCTTTACTTGACTTGGTAACTGATCGCTACAGGTACAAAATGTCTCATGTCAAAACAGCTTTACTTGACTTGGTAACCAATCGCTACAGGTACAAAATGTCTCGTTCAACACAGCTTTACTTGACTTGGTAACCGATCGCTACAGGTACAAAATGTCTCGTTCAATACAGCTTTACTTGACTTGGTAACCGATCGCTACAGGTACAAAATGTCTCATGTCAACACAGCTTTACTTGACTTGGTAACCGATCGCTACAGGTACAAAATGTCTTGGTCAACACAGCTTTACTTGACTTGGTAACCGATCGCTACAGGTACAAAATGTCTCATGTCAACACAGCTTTACTTGACTTGGTAACCGATCGCTACAAGTACAAAATGTCTCGTTCAACACAGCTTTACTTGACTTGGTAACCGATCGCTACAGGTACAAAATGTCTCGGTCAACACAGCTTTACTTGACTTGGTAACCGATCGCTACAGGTACAAAATGTCTCGGTCAACACAGCTTTACTTGACTTGGTAACTGATTGCTACAGGTACAAAATGTCTCATGTCAACATAGCTTTACTTGACTTGGTAACCAATCGCTACAGGTACAAAATGTCTCGGTCAACACAGCTTTACTTGACTTGGTAACCGATCGCTACAGGTACAAAATGTCTCGGTCAACACAGCTTTACCACACATACATAATGCATGACATCTGACTCACTGTCAAGATAATACAAGACTCACAAAGAGGATAATGCATGACTCACACACAGGATAAAGCATGCCTCACACACAGAATAATGCAAGACTCGCATACAGAATAATGTATGACTCAAATACAGGATAATGAATGACTCATACTCAGGATAATGCATGACTCACGTACAGGACAGCATGTCACACACAGGATAATGCATGACTCACACACAGGATAATGCATGACTCACATACAGGATAATGTATGACTCACATACAGGATAAAGCATGACTCACATACAGGATAATGCATGACTCACATACAGGATAATGCATGACTCACATACAGAATAATGCATGACTCACATACAGGATAAAGCATGTCACACACAGGATAATGCATGACTCACATACAGAATAATGCATGACTCATACAGAATAATGCATGACTCACATACAGAATAATGCATGACTCACATACAAGATAATGCATGACTCATACAGGATAATGTGACTCACATACAGAATAATGCATAACTCACATACAAGATAATGTGACTCACATGGGAACAGGTACTCCGCACACAGGTGGATGTTGATGCTAGTATGAAGCCCGGACACCATACGGTAGAAGGCTCGCTTCTCCAGGCACATGTCTGCAAGTACACACAAAGCTCAACTCATTACTCCGTCATCTGCCATGTCCACACACTGCTATAAGCTGCACCATCACAGAGCAGCAGCATCAACATGCAGGATCACAGGTCTTAGTCCTACCAAGATTCACCATATACAACATCATTAACAGGAGGAAACAATGAAGCAAACAAAACATTCTCATATCCAACAATCAAAACATGAACACATTAAACCATGATAACATCACATGCCAGATACATTTTTCACAATCCACAAGCATTCGTCTGATGGGTGGGCTTGTTCCAAATAAAGTAACTCGCATTACAAAGGTGAGGTGAGGTGAAATGGGTTTTAAACGTCGCGTCCAAGATTATTGCACTTATATAGCGACGTGCATGCACGTGTGTGTGTTTGTGTGGCTGCTTGTACTAGTCTGGACTGATGCCGATTTATAGTGCTTGCTCACTGAGATACCATGCCGCAGTTTAACATGAATACCCCACTCAGACACAGTATACTGACTCCAAGCAGACCAGTCCTTGTTTTTGCCCCTTAATGCCGAACGCCAGACAGGGAAACAACAAGTACCATCTTTTATCGTCTTTTGGTATGAGGCGGTCAGGGATGGAACTCCGGACCTTCCGCTCTCCGGGCGGACGCTCTACCACTAGACCACGGAACCAGTCCTCATTACAAAGACTGCCTTGCATGTATCAAGTGACACATTGCCCCAGTTAAGAGAACCTGTAGTTCACCTGGCTCAATTATGTTCTGTGGCAAAACTAGTGTGAAGTTATTCTACAGTTTTTCCATAACTACAACTAGGTTTAGCAATTCACAATTAATATTAACAAATTTCAGCATTTGAAGATTTAGAATTTTTTTGTATTTTTTCTAAAAATGCAAATTAGTTACAAAATGGAAACTTTAAGATATATTTATTCAAAAGAAAAAGAAGAGAGGTTTTCTTTGGCGTTGGTAAATCATTAATAAAGAAGCTATAGAATAAACTCAAGCGTTGCTAAATCAATGGTTGTCAAGACAGACAATAGTATCCATGTGTTATTGGTTAATGTGCACAGAACACTTGCCAGTTGAATGATCAACAACAATAAATTGTTACAAACATTTCAATACATAAACTCCATTTAAGCAGAATGAGATATTTTCTACATGTAATCTTGTCCATTAATACCAGCAGGTGCTATACCTCGCACCAATAGTTGTGAGTCATAGACAATTACATTTGGTAATATCTGAAATGTGTCAAATAGTGCGGAATCTGTCAATACTAGATTGTGCTCAATAGCGAGTTTTGTCAAAACAAGATCCATTTTATGGTTAAAGCACTTCTGAGCGAAATAATCAATTAAAAAAAGAAAGAATAGATTTTAAACCGGACCGGGTTAAAAACTGGACAAAAAAAGTCAGGGATCATCAATATTTTGGGGATATTTTTATAATATTGTGTACACTACAAAACAATACCCCAAAAATATTCATGATCCCTAATTCTTTCTTTTTTCAGTGTACAACAAACATGTTTTTTGTGGGTGACTTGGGTTTTACATTTTAGCAATATTCCATCAATATCAAGGTAGGGGACACCAGAAATAGGCTTCACACATAGTACCTGTATTGGAGACTGAACCCAGGTCTTTGGTGTGACAAGTGACCGCTTTAACCACTAGGCTACCCCACCGCCCCGTTTCATAGTGAGTGAGTGAGTATGGTTTTACGCTGCTTTTAGCAATATTCCAGCAATATCACGGCGGGGGACACCAGAAATGGGCTTCACACATTGTACCCATGTCGTGAATCAAACCCGGGTCTTCGGCGTGACGAGCGAACGCTTTAACCACTAGGCTACCCGACCTCCCCTCCCCCCTGTTTCATAGTACATGTAGCATATAAAACATTTCTTGATCTTATCAACTGACAGACATTAATACATAATACAGACTCATGTCTAAACTAGCATAACAAATCAATTTCAAAAGAGTGTGATTCAGGCAGATTCTGCTACATTACAATCATTCGTCACCACTCGCCCCTTTCCGTAACTTGCAAGAAGACTTGTCCCCCTATCGATGAATGTTATGTGCGAAAATACGACAAACCAATCAGAATGCGCATATGATTTCAAGTTCTTTGTCAAATAATCCCTCAGAAATCCCTCACATTAGCATAGGAAAAGGAAGCAAGCATCTGAAGTAGGCACATTCACAAAGGATTATTATTGTTAGTAAGTCATACTGTACCCTGGAAACACCATGTTAAGACAGTCAAGCAGGGAATATTCCTTGTTAAGAGTGTTAGGAAAGTGTGTCTGAAATTGTGCACAGGGCACATTTCACAGCTATCATAGTGAGTGAGTGAGTTGGGTTTAACGCCACTTTTAACAGTATTCCAGTTATATCGCGGCGTGTCAGCTTAATGTGGGAGGAAAGCCCGAAGTGATGCAGGTCTCAGACGTTTACCACTTCGGTGAAACCCACGAGCACGGGTATGGTGCTGACAACCTAGAAACATAATCGGGGCGAACCGGGATTCGAACCCACAGTCATAGGTTTCTGGTGTGCCAAAGGGACACAACTCTGCAAAGCGAATCACGGCGCCTTAGACGACTGGGCCACCGGTGCCCCCATAGCTATCATAACCCTTTAACATCATAATAGACTTATGATGGTTGGTTGGTTGGTTGGTTGGTTTGTTGTTTAACGCCGCACTCAGCAATATTCCAGCTATATGACGGCGGGTTGTAAATAATCGAGTCGTGACCAGACAATCCAGTGACTGACATCATGAGCATCGATCCACGCAATTGGGATCGATGACATGCATCAACTAAGTCAGCGAGCCTGTCCATCCGATCCCGTTAGTCGCCTCTTACAGCAAGCATAGTCGTCTTTTACGGCAAACATGGGTTGCTGAAGACCTATTCTACCCCGGATCTTCATGGGTCACTTGTGGTATGTTGATGCTGTGTGAGAAAGGACCCCATACTGGATGTTTGTTTGTTTGGTCTTGAATGCCACACTCAGTCATATCTTCACGGGTCGACAAGCCTTACAACACTGTAGGTTACAGATTACATTACATATCACAATACTTTGTTGACAACCGTGCATCATGCAGAGGCAATATTCAAAACCAGATAAATGGAAACATGATCATTCAAATTATTTCCTAGAATATCATCAGCAACATCACAATAACCATTTGATAACAGGATTTGACGATTTTTTAAAAATAAAAATTAATTTCATGTTTTTCCTAGCTAAACTTAACGCATATTCAAATTTCTCAAAAGCAAATTTCATTAATCACTTTAAACATTTATCGGAAACACTCAAGTATGCATTCAGTGCTACATTCAAAGATATGCAGGGATGCAAGTGTGTTGACAGGAGCAAGTGTGTCTTAATGTTCCCTATTGATGAAAATTATGTTGGGTAGGGTATCTGGCCATTTGAAGTCTGTATAAGCACAGGACCATGTAACTAATAATAATAACAAACAAACACGCAAATAACTGCAAGTTTGTTATTATTATTATTAGTTACATGGTCCAGTGGTATAAGTGAGGTCTCACTGAAGACAATAGGGTTGTCAAAATTCACAAAGTATACAAGCATCCGAAACATAAAGTTTACAAAGTTTTGCAATAAACTGGTCTAATAACAACTCCAGCTAAGTTAACCATGCCACCTTTCACAGACAAATGCAAAATCTGATTGCAAAATACTACAAGAACGAGCCTCAATTAACCAGTCATGTGAGTTACTGGTTGACAAGGTCTTGTTTGCCAAAACACACAAAACATGGAGATGTTCATGGAGGTGAAAACTAAGTATCTTGATTCTCATCACAGCGTAACTCAAGTATGTTGATATGTTTCGACACATGAGTTCGTGTTACAAACCAACAGACAAAGTTACATTTAACTACAGTCTTTTGACATCTTGGGTAAAATCAAAATTATCTTAAACATTTTGAGTATCACTGATTTTGTGTTCATCCAACAAATTTTTGAAAGATATGAAGAGAAAGTGCACACAATTTCAATGTAAAGTCACACAAAAACATTTTAACAGATAGTTAAAAATACAGAGCATTGTTCATGCATTCACTTAAAGATTGTATCAGGGATGAGGACAGGAGAAAATCTTTAGTTTACAAGAATACCAGTCCAGGGCCCACTTGCACAAAGCTATCTTAGCGATGATTGTAACTCCCATACTCTAACATAGACTTACGATAGTCTGAGGGCTAAGATCGCTTTGTGCAAGTGGCCCCAGGTGCTATGGTGCTGTGATATGGATTGTGAAGTGAATCACCAATATTTGAAATCATCAAGTCCCAGTCAGCTTCAGTAATGAACTAAACAACATGTTGCAAGTATGGATCATATTACTTGTCAACCTTGAGCTGGGAAAAGGCTGTCCCATCTTCCCGAGGCAAGGGCGTTAACTGACTATAAAAGTCCAGTTTCCACCCTTGCCAAACTAGGCTGGAATTCCTGAGTTACATTTGGCTGGACTAATGAGTCTATGCATAGCTCAATCAAAATTGTGTAACAAATTAGACATCCGGTTCGTAAACAACATGGATTTCAACATGCAGATTTCGGTCGACTGCAGGATTTGTAAAACATGTCTCTCATCAAGTGGGCTTCGACACATATTTTGCAAATCTTTTCAGGTTTTTAATCAAGGTGCTCAAGTGAGTTGATGCCCTTCGCGAGGTAACACCCATTTTATTACAATAATGATCTTGATTATCAATCAGATAGTTTTGAATGGGCGCCGCCATTTTGTTTGAAGCTTATGACAAGGGATATTAGAATGGAATGTGATTGATCAATATGAGTGAGTGAGTGAGTGAGTGAGTGAGTGAGTGAGTGAGTGAGTGAGTTGGGTTTAATGCCGCTTTTAACAGTATTCCAGTTATATCGCAGCATGTCAGCCTAATGTGGGAGGAAAGCCCTAAGTGTTGCAGGTCTCAGACGCTTACAACTTTTGTGAAACCCACGAGCACGGGTATGGTGCTGACAAACCTAGAAACATAATCGAGGCGAACCGGGATTCGAAACCCACAATCATAGGTTTCTGGCATGTCCAAGCGACTCAACTCTGCACAGAGAATTGCGGCGCCTTAGACGACTGGGCCACCTAATATATTTTTAAATACTACAGTTGTCTGAAAATATAAACCTGATATTTCACTGGAGTGAAATAATCTGTTCTGCCGGAACTACTTTTAGTCTGCCTCAAAGATACAAGGGTTTTCCGAGTTGGATCAGGAGATAAACATATAATAAACATGATAAACAGAACATTTGTGTTTCCTTGTCACTTTTCACTTCTATCTAATCGCGTGGCCTGAAAAATTAACATATTTAGTCATGGCTCCGCCACTCGGACATTTTTTCTGGTCAATTGTTTGACAGGCAAAACTAAACATCCTGTTTACATTCATTCAAGCAGTACTGTAAAATACAGCAACAGGTACTTGTCCTGATAAATTTGATGCTCTTGATTCAAAATGGATGAATAGTAACCATGGCAATGCTTTTAAACATACAATGTTTGTTTGTTTGTTGTTTAACGCCGCACTCAGCAATATTAGATCAATATGATGGTGGTCTGTAAATAATCAAGTCTGGACAAGAAAATCCAGTGATTGACAACATGAGCATCGATCCACAAACGGGATACAATGACATGCATCAACCACGTCAGCGAGCCTGACCACCCGATCCCGTTAGTCGCCTGTTACGACAAGCATAGTCGCCTTTAACGGCAAGCATTGGTTGCTGAAGACCTATTCTACCCCGGATCTTCACGGGTCTAAATATAAAATGAGATGAATTCATGCACATTGTGTATTAAGCCACAACCATCAAATAACATAGAATGTGTTAAAGCACTTCTATTGCAAAAATATATTTTAATATTTTTATAGAATATTGATATTGTCCTATTCCCACTTTCTACCAATCCTAACACAAGCACCATCAACCAGTGTTTGACTGATTACCATGACAACGTCTCAGAACAAGTGACTGACGATACAATGTAGCAACACATACAACGAACACTAAACCACAAGTTACCTTCATAAGGCTGTTCTGTAATTAAACAACACAAGAGGCTGGTTAGACTGTTAGAACACAAGGGGCATGCAATAAGCTGGAGAAGCAACTAGGAAACTAGTCACTTTAATAACCAGTCAAACTAAAAGCGTCAATATTAAGACTGGATCTGGCCTCTGAAGCGTAAAGATAATTCTAAGGGACCGGTCATTCATAACAGGGCTAGGGTAGAAGTCAGAGGTTTTTTTATGTGCTGATGTACTGAAAATAGTTACCCTCCCCTTAAGGTTGTCATATCCTTGGATTCCCCCCCCCCCCCCCCCCCCCATATCCTTATACAGTTTTTTCATGACCCTCCCTGAATAGGGACGTACACACATATACACGCACGCCCACCTTTAATAAATGACCGGTCCCTTAAAAGATGCAAAGAATTGTTATACAAAACATTATTGTTGTTAACAGATTGTAAAAAAGCAACGATCTTGATATGGAGATTTTTTACTGTTTTAAAACATTGTTAAGAAAATTCTTTTTTTACCAGTTGAGTTTTTAAGTGATGTTATTACATATAATAATAATAATAATAATAATAATAATAATAATAATAATAATAAAAGCCTGATCCAGTCTTGAAATCTATATTTATAAACCAATCAGGAAAGCTGCAATAGAAAGACATAGAAACTTGGAAACTTAACCCATCAGTGACTATTGCTTATGCTCTTGCTCAAATTACTAAAAATGCATCAGAAAAGTTCATATATTCTTTGGGATCCATTGTCCAAATGAGTTCACAATGTTATAACCGGTACAATGTATTTTCTACATTCAGTTCCAGACAATCAATATGTATGTGTGATCAAGACATAAGCATAGTCAAATGAATTTTAAGGAATCTATTTTTTACATAAATAAAGTTCCACGATAAAATGAAGAATATTCTCAAGTCAAATGACGAAATTGAATTTTTTATAATGTCATACCCTCCCTCAGACCAAGGAGATTTTCTATTTGTTTGTTAGGTAAAATTCCACCTTTGTTACCCAACATGTGCAGTGGGCAGCATCAGCCTTGCGAACTCTGAACTAGAATCCACCTTTAACACATGGCTGGTATTACTGTTGCTATAGTATTAATCTATCCAACATTATATGTCCTACACAAGCTCCTCACAGCGAAAACCTCCTCCCACCACTCTCTATACTATCGCTACCACCACTCAAAACTCTTCACTGTGCTTTGCATATTTTCCACAACCCATAGGTTTCAATTTGCAACTAACTGTTGTTTACTAATATAATGGCGACCATGAAAGTGAATTGAAGCACAGTATGGGAGAAATATTTTTATTCACAATGTTTGTAAGTAAACAAACATATTTCATGAATCATGACCTATATTCATAATACGGAAGAGAATTTATGGATGTCAACTTCTTTAAGGAGAACATCTGATGGTTCACCTGATGAAGGAGTAAGTATATACCGTATTCGACGTAATAAGCATCCCCACCCCACCCACACACACAACCACCACCCCCACCTCATCTAATAAACGCCCACGGCGATATTTGCTAATATATTGGCTAGTGAACAATCCCAATTAGCACCCCTTCCGTTTGATCAATGTACACAAGATTTATTTATTTGCGTATAATACGCACTCGTGTGTTATATGCACCCTTAATTATGGGCAATCAAATTCTGGAAAAATATATTTGTTGTACATAAACATCTCAGGCTGTCTGCATAAACCATGAAATTTATCTTTCATCTCTGTTTTTTTCACCAAAATGATATTCTAATAAGAGCCCCCTATTTCTAATTTTGAGAGCGCCCTGGGCGCTTATTACGTCAAATACGGTACTCCAAAATGTTGTGCACCTCATAATAAAGAAGTTGATATCCATAAATTCTCTTTCTTTTATGTATCACTTCAAAATGCCATTCAAAGACTGCATATTCATAATTACACTAAAATTCCCTGCACATTTAACATGGCTTCTGGTTTGAGATACATTTTTGAAAGTTTTGCTACTCTGGTGGCAGTGATGATATCGAGAATGTAACAAAGATGTCAGATGCTACAAGGAAGCTGGCTGAACTCTCATCATCCTGATCGAAAGCAATTCCCAAACCACAAATGTGTGATTCAAACTGTCAAACTAAAGCAACATAACCCTAAATTTTGATAGAAATGTAAAGTTGGAACATAAAGGCTTGTTAAAATAAATGTCTTGTTTCTCAGGACCCGCCACCCCCAAAAGTTTGCCCCACCCTATAAACTTTTTCAGATTTCATTCTTGCACCAAATTCCAACTTTTTGCACATCATGCCATTCATAGTGAGGCAGTGACCTTCACCCCTGTCACCATGACCGAGCTCTTCAAACAAATGGTACATTTAAATCAAGTTTACTTGTTTAGGCTAAAGATAGAAATAAAGATAGATAAAAGATAAAAATATTCTTCCCTTCCTACCCATTTTGAAGTCATGAGAAACAAGAATCATTTTTAACTGGCCTTACTAAGATAACTATCATCTCCCTGGTCTGATTTTTTACGTGAGAAAATACAAAGAAATATGCCTCCCATGGAACTTACTAGGTCTAACTAACTGATGAAAACCTAGCAGACAAAGAATGTGGTGACAGTGAAACAAAATCAACTCTTTTTAACTATAAAAATAAACAACATCATCATTAAAATTCTTCAGAATCTTCGTTTACAATTACACAAATGAAAGGATGGTGTTACTGTTTGATTGTTACATCTATTATTTTCATTAAATAAGCATTATAGGATTGCCATGCATGATACTAGGGAACTAACAAAATAATTAGGGTGATCTAGATTACTAAAAAGCTGCATCCTCCCATCACTCAGAGGGTTAGATATACATATTTGAAAGTAAAGGAACAAATTTCGTATAATTTTAAAACAAACTAATTAACCCCTGATTACACTTTTAAAAATAAACAATTAAAATGCAAGGGTTTGTCAAGACAGTGTTTTTCAATGTTACTAAAGTTAAACTTCAAAGACAACATGAGACACAATCAATATGTCAATACACAATCAATACTACAGTTATAATCTTCATTGGCATAATACAAACCTCCTCTGACAGAAACGATCAAATGTTGCCCCTAAAACCATCTAAATCAATAAGACCAAGTACTCAAAAACTTCAACAAATGACACGTTTAGTATTAACATGTTTAAGAGATACTCACTTGCAAGTTTGTTGTTTGGGCCATATCCATATTTAGACTGAGGCCTGACAAAAACAATAAAATTCACATTAAACATCAGAATTAAACCACATGGGAAGCAAATAATATCTTCAAGTGGCATTATAGAACTGTACTAACAGTGGAGACAGTAGACATGGATTTCAAGCCTTATTCTTTCATTGCAATTTGGCAGCATAAATCTCTTCATATTGTATTATCAAAGCTATAATTACATACTTTAATCATTATTAATACATAACCCTAGTTTGCATGAAAGGGGCGGGCTCATGATCTATTAAAGGTTTCCCAATATTCTACACTCACTTGAAACAGTTTTCTTCATAGATGCTTCTCCAGATCCTATGAGGGGATGCTCCCTTGTAGCCTGTGTACCTCTCGGGGTTTAATCTCAGATCCACGTACTCCAGGCCTGCAGAGTTCTCATCTGCAAATACAGATATGTCACATTGTGGCCATAGATGCTGTAACATGGCATCTTGGTCATAGTGGGGAATAACACAACCTGTAACATGGTGGCATGGTCAGAGAAGGGGATCACACAACATGTAACATGGTGGCATGGTCAGAAAGGGTAATAACACAACCTGTAACATAGTCATGGTCATAGACGGGAATAACACAACCTGTAACATGGTGGCATGGTCATAGTGGGGAATAACACAACCTGTAACATGGTGGCATGGTCATAGAGGGGAATAACACAACCTGTAAAATGGTGGCTTGGTCAGAAAGGGTAATAACACAACCTGTAACATAGTCATGGTCATAGACGGGAATAACATAACCTGTAACATGGTGGCATGTCAGAGAGTGGAATAACACAACCTGTAACATGGTGGCATGTCAGAGAGGGGAATAACACAACCTGTAACATTGTGGCATGGTCAGAGAGGGGAATAACACAACCTGTAGCATTGTGGCATGTCAGAGAGGGGAATAACACAACCTGTAACATGGTGGCATGGTCAGAGACGGGAATAACACAACCTGTACAATGGTGGCATGGTCAGAGAGGGGAATAACACAACATGTAACATGGTGGCATGGTCAGAGAGGGGAATAACACAACATATAACATTGTGGCATGGTCAGGGAGGGGAATAACATAACCTGTAACATGGTGGCATGGTCAGAGAGCGGAATAACACAACCTGTAACATTGTGGCATGGTCAGAGAGGGGAATAACACAACCTGTAACATTGTGGCATGGTCATAGTGGGGAATAACACAACCTGTAGCATTGTGGCATGTCAGAGAGGGGAATAACACAACCTGTAACATGGTGGCATGGTCAGAGACGGGAATAACACAACCTGTACAATGGTGGCATGGTCAGAGAGGGGAATAACACAACATGTAACATGGTGGCATGGTCAGAGAGGGGAATAACACAACATATAACATTGTGGCATGGTCAGGGAGGGGAATAACAGAACATATAACATTGTGGCATGGTCAGAGAGCGGAATAACACAACCTGTAACATTGTGGCATGGTCAGAGAGGGGAATAACACAACCTGTAACATATTGGCATGGTCATAGTGGGGAATAACACAACCTGTAACATGGTGGCAGGGTCAGAGAGGGGAATGTAACATGTAACATTGTGGCATGGTCAGAGAGGGGAATAACACAACCTGTAACATTGTGGCATGGTCAGAGAGGGGAATAACACAACCTGTAACATTGTGGCATGGTCAGAGAGGGGAATAACACAACCTGTAACATTACGGCATGGTCAGAGAGGGGAATAACACAACCTGTAACATTGTGGCATGGTCAGAGAGGGGAATAACACACCTTATCATACGTCAATGTCCGAATGATGAGATCTGATTGGTCCACATGATCTTGATAAAATACTGTGTAACCCGCCTTGGAGGGGAATAAATTTCCCAGCAGGGGAATAAATCTCTTACACCCCGCCACAAGCAATACAGGCTGCACATGGATTTCTGAGAGGCAGGATAAATCCCTTATACCCCGCTTCAAATAAAAAAGCTGCACACTTTTTCTGAGTCAATGGAAGTCACATGACATAGTGCAAGTTAACCTCAGCTCAATCGAACAGCTGTTTTCTATCAATTTTGAATTTGTGTTAATTCTTTTACAATGTCACATTAAATCATGTCAATAAAATAGATTTGTTGTAGCAAGATCACAAGGAATACAATGGGGTTTTATGCGTCCTGCGTTAGGTTTTATACCACACGCAACCTGCTACAACTTATAGTGTAACATTGTGGCATGGCAATAGAGGGGGAATAACACAACCTGTAACATTGTGGCATGGCAATACAGGGGGAATAACACAACCTGTAACATGGTGTCATGGTCAGAGAGGAGAATAACACAGCCTGTAACATGGTGGCATGGCAATAGAGGGGGAATAACACAACCTGTAACATTGTGGCATGGCAACAGAGGGGGAATAACACAACCTGTAACATGATGTCATGGTCAGGGAGGGGAATAACACAACCTGTAACATTGTTGCATGGTCAGAGAGGGGAATTACACAACCTGTAACATTGTCAGAGGGGGAATAACACAACCTGTAACATTGTGGCATGGTCAGAGAAGGGAATAACACAACCTGTAACATTGTGGCATGGTCAGAGAGAGGAATAACACAACCTGTAACATGGCAGCATGGTCAGATAGGGGAATAACACAACCTGTAACATTGTTGCAGGGTCAGAGGGGGGGGGGGATAACACAACATTTTGGCATGATCAGAGGGAGGAATAACACAACCTGTAACATGGTGGCATGGTCAGAGAAGGGAATAACACAACCTGTAACATGGTAGCATGGTCAGAGAGGGAAATTACACAACCTGTAACATGGTGGCATGGTCAGAGAAGGGAATAACACAACCTGTAACATGGCAGCATGGTCAGAGAGGGAAATTACACAACCTGTAACATGGTAGCATGGTCAGAGAGGGAAATAACACAACCTGTAACATGGTGGCATGGTCAGAGGGAGGAATAACACAACCTGTAACATGATGTCATGGTCAGAGGGAGGAATAACACAACCTGTAACATGGTGGCATGGTCAGAGAGGGAAATTACACAACCTGTAACATGGTAGCATGGTCAGAGAGGGAAATAACACAACCTGTAACATTGTGGCATGGTCAGAGGGGGGAATAACACAACCTGCAACATGGTAGCATGGTAAGAGAGGGAAAAAACACAACCTGTAACATGGTAGCATGGTAAGAGAGGGAAATAACACAACCTGTAACATGGTAGCATGGTAAGAGAGGGGAATAACACAACCTGTAAGATGGTGGCATGGCCATACAAGGGAAACAACACCAACACAATCTTTCAAAGCAGACTGTAAATAATTATACCAGATGAGGCGAACCTATGGCGTGTAACCATGACAACATGAGCCAAAATCCACAGGTTCAGCATGATCAGAGTACAATAACACCCAATACACAAGGTCACACATTATCAGTGCATTGTAACACACTGATTACCAGTCAGCTTTTACGACCACCATGGTGTGTTTGTGACCTATTCAGCGCTATAACACATTAATACCCACTGGGCCTTATTCTACATCATTCCAGGAACCTCAGCACCACTCACCATCAATGTCACAGAACAGGTCTTGGGACTCGTCGTGTTCTGTCCAGTTCTTGAACGCCTCCTTGCTCTCAGCACTGCAGAGAATATAGTTGCCATTATACAATGGAAAAAAGATCAATCTCATTAAAATCAGATCTTAGTTCTCGCTACCGCTAAACAAAGATCTGAGGACATCCCTTTATGGGTCACGTCAGACTGACCTCGCGCGGACTTTGACCGACCAATGGAACGACCAATCAGAAGGCAGCTTTCTCGTGCTTTACGGCACAAATTTCAAATTGGCGACTACGCTTCGAAACATATTTTGACAAATTCTTGATTACAAATTTGAAACCTGAACAAAAAAAACATTCTGGAATAGCTAATCGATGGTATAGATTGTAAGGATTCAGTCGTTAAACCTGTAACTATCGTTTGGAATACCCCATGTTAAAGTTTTCGAGATTGCATGATTAGAAATCACATTCCGACTGTCACTTTCATAATCTGGTAAGCGACGCACTGATTGGTTGGATGAAAGGTCGTTCTGACGTGACCCTTAATGGGATGTCTTCAGATCTTTGTTTAGCGGTAGCGAGAACTAAGCTCTGATTTTAATGAGATTGAAAAAAAGATACTATTCACAACAGGGACTACCCAGATGCCTCTAATATTAAGGCCATCTTCTTCCCTGCCTCCCACACTGCCAAACACAGTGCCCTACATAACTGTCCCCATTCCAACCAAACATTTATGCTTCATGTTTGCTTGTTTTTTTGTTTGTTGTTTAACGCCTCAGTCAGAAATATTAAACCTATATGATCATGTATGATGGCTGCCTGTAGATAATGGAGTCTGGACCCAAAAATCCAGTGATTGATATTGTGAACAACGATCCACACCCCAAGGGTATGATGGCACGCAAGTCCGACCAGCCTACCAATTTGAATGCCTCTAACGACAATCACAGGCTGGTGGGAGACCCCACTAGGATTGGTTGGTTGGTTGGTTTGTTGTTTAACGCCGCACTCAGCAATATTCCAGCTATATGCTGGCGGTCTGTAAATAATCAAGTCTGGACCAGACAATCCAGAGATTAATATCATGAGCATCGATCCACGGAATTGGGATCGATGACATGCATCAACCAAGTCAGTGAGCCTGACCACCTAGTTAGTCACCTTTTACGGCAAGCATGGGTTGCTGAAGACCTATTCTACCCCGGAATCTTCACTGGTCCATGACAGTCATAGTAATTAAACACCAGTGAAAACAACCCTTGATCGAAGTGTGTTTTGTTTAAAAAAGCTATGAATCAGAAGGCCACACTGAACCTGATGGTGGTGTCCAAGGCACTGAGTTCTCTCTCCTCTGCACATGAATGTACCTCTTGAGCCTTCTCCGCATACTGTAACAGAAACATAGTGCTGCTATATGTGAGTGAGTCAGTTGGGTTTTCACCAGTCCAAAATTAGGTGTGGGAAATGGCGTTAGTGTTCAGCAGCACAACATTATAACTTGTACATTTTCCATGTCTCATCTGATCATGGAAACTTATTATGTGAGTGAGTGAGTGAGTTTGGTTTAACACCGCTTTAAACTGTATTCCAGTTATATCACGGCATGTCAGCTTAATATGGGAGGAAAGCCCGAAGTGATGCAGGTCTCAGATGTTTACCACTTCGGTGAAACCCACGAGCACGGGTGACGGCTGACAAACCTAAAAACATAATCGGGGCGAACCGGGATTCGAACCCACTATAATAGGTTTCTGGTGTGCCCAAGGGACGCAACTCTGTACAGCGAATTGCGGAGCCTTAGACTACTGGGCCACCGGTGCCCACTCTGCTATATGTGTACACCATTGAAACAATAACTACATATATGGGGATATATAAGAAAACGTCATGTTCCACTTCTGTGAAATAACAGAATGTAAAAGCTGCCAAGAAACAATCTGGTTGTATTACCCAAGTAGCAACTCACTCTGCAGAGATGTGTCCCATGGGGTGCCAGGATCCTATATCTTGGGATAAAATGGTTGTCAGAACTGAACCCAGGCTCATGGGTCTCATCCATCAAACTGTCTAATTAGCAAATGTCAAAGACCACCATTACGTCAGGCTTTCCTCCAACAAAAACTTGACATGCTGTGATACACTTCAAATACTGTTCAAAGCAGTGGGTAACTATCATAAACTCACTCACTACCATCCAAAGCAGTGTCTACCTAAACACACATTTTACCCAAAAGGAATTGTAGGGGGTATTACTCTAACCATAAATGCCCTGCATTGCAGCTGTTGAAAAATGTTTTATATTTTTATTTTCAAGAATATCTTAATCCTATTCATGTTACTTAGCATCATTATTTTGTTTACCTCAACTATGCTCATGTACATGATGTATGCATATTACAAGACATAAGTGAGTGAGTGAGTATGGTTTTACCCTGCTTTTAGCAATACTCCAGCAATATCACAGCGGGGGACACCAGAAATGGACTTCACACATTGTACCCATGTTGGGAATCGACCCCGGGTCTCTGGCTGGACGAGCGAAGGCTTTAACCACTAGGCTACCCGACCACCCCTTACAGGACTTAAAACAATGCAGATTCTGATTTTAAAAAACTGACAGATACAAATGCATAGAGAATCTCATCCGAGTGTCTTTTGATATCAAATATATCAACACGAGATGATAAAAGTTGAAAACTCTGTGGCTTGTCAAGGGTTTTTCCACTTTTATCAAAGAGTGTTGATATATTTGATATCAAAAGACATGAGGGTGAGATTTTATTTATCATACAACATCATTCTTCCAACTTTTTCAGTTTGTAGACAGTAATAAGTAGTGTTTTAAGTGTAAAATGTACTAACAGCTTCAGTAGCAGAGCCATTTGTGGTGTCATTTGATTGTGCCGTCATGGTAACCAGTGACGTCACAATGGTCTGCAAAACATTGTGAAGCAATTTAATTGCAGCAATATCTACAAAGTAGATATCGCTTTATCTCACCCAAGACACATCTCCGTTGGGAGCCTATTTTGGATGATAAAACCAGTTATAAACTATTCTTGTATTATGACACATGATTCAGAACAGAATTGCTGTAGGGAGGAGGGAATTTCTCATTTTATTTCTTTAGAAGGTAACAATTCTATAAAAAGAAACTTGATTTTAACTAGTACCTGTAGTTTGAAGTATGAATATTCAGACATAAGGACATTATGACCACAGCTAAATTCCCTGCAAATTTGACACTAAGAACAGTGAGTGAGTGAGTGAGTATGGTTTTACGCCGCTTTTAGCAATATTCCAGCAATATCACGGCGGGGGACACCAGAAATGGGCTTCACACATTGTACCCATGTCGGGAATCGAACCCGGGTCTTCGGCGTGACGAGCAAACGCTTTAACCACTAGGCTACCCGACCGCCCCCACTAAGAACAGAATAGCATGAGCAAAATGTCAGAATGGATCAAAATGTGAGTTGAAAATTTAACAGTGGATAGAAATGCATGAAACATATTAAAGTTTGGGGCATTTTTAGGGACGAGGATGTCATGATCCACAAGAAGTATATTCAAACAAACCTACTATTAATACAAGTGGAATAAATGACAAAATATCATGTGTGAGCTTCTGACATGCTCAGCTTACACCAGATAAATCATTGGAACCTGTAGGACTGACAGATCGTGAATTTTACATAATACTCTCATGAATATTACAAAACAACATACATTGTGCTTCCTGATGGTTCTATTTCAACACTGTGAATTTGGTCTTTGGAGTACACTTTTTGTTCGAAGAATATTTTCCATGGATGTTAAAAGTCTTCCTTGAAAGGTTCACCCAATAATGAGAATCTTGTCTTCACTCTCACATGAACAAATGGGTCATATGTATTAGTGAACGTTTCTCTTCTCACCAGAGCACTGTTTCCTAGCTTAAGACTATCAACAATCACTTAATTATCCCCCAGTGCACAATGACTAGATTATCAAAGATCTAACCATGACATTTTAGAATCCTGCCTTTTGATGGATCAGAGTGGTATCGAATCTCATGAGGACAATTTTCCTGATGACCCAGGAGGAAAGAATTTCTTTGAAAGCACTTCTTGTCAAACCAGACTGGTAGGAATTTCAAATACTGATTTTATGTAACAATGCTGAATAAACACTATGAACAACCATGCATGGCCTGAATTATTATTATATAGTTATACGAAGGTTCCGTCAGTCCGTCCGAAAACTTTGTCCGCGCGATTACTCTTAAACTATTCAGTGGATTCATCTCAAACATAGTACATATAATCAGTGTCATACGGAGGGGTGCAGTCAAAAGAGAAAAATTGTTTTTATTAATTTGCCATTTTTTTATGAATTTTTCAAACCCTAACGTCCGTCCAAAAACTTTGTCCGCGCGATTTCTCTTAAACTATTCAGTGAATTCATCTCAAACATAGTACATATCATCTGTGTCATATGGAGGGGTGCAGTCAAAACAGAAAAATTGTTTTTATTAATTTGCCATTTTTTATGAATTTTTCAAACCCTAACGTCCGTCGAAAAAACTTTGTCCGCACGATTTCTCTTAAACTATTCAGTGGATTCATCTCAAACATAGTACATATAATCTGTGTCATATGGAGGGGTGCAGTCAAAAGAGAAAAATTGTTTTTATTAATTTTCAATTTTTTTATGAATTTTTCAAACCCTAACCCTATCCTAGCTATTTAATTTGAAACTACTGACACACTGGGCGGGTCAGGGGTATTAGTGAGCCACGCTCACTTTTGCCCTTGTTAAGTGTGGCAAAATATTTTAGACAGAAAACCTGACAAACAACAACCAGGAGATTGTATTGTTTAAATTCAGTAATATGTCAAATTCTATCATGGAAACACTTCTTGCATAACGATACGGCAATACAGTATTGTATAGCAATACGAGGCCAACATTACAAAACGTCGATTTACAAACCATGTATCGCGATACATATGATACATTACATTACATGTTATTTTGCGGTGAACAAAAAAAGAAACTGCTCAACAAACAGCTTATTCAGATTTTCTAATATTTCCTGGTTAGCTATAAATAGCATAACAGCATAATATTCACAATGTCTTCTAGCCCATATTGCTCTGCCCTACAATCAAACAATATCCCATCTTGGATCTCTGAAGTTTTCGAAACATATGATTTATAAAATACAAGTAATGCATCAGGATACAAATTGTATTGCACCCATAGTATCGGGATAGGTATTGTATTGATACCCTTATGTGTCGTTATACCTCTACAGAACACACTTTCGTTTGTTGTTTAAAGCCACACTCAGCAATATCCCAGTCATGTCTGGACAAGACAATCCAGTGATTGATATTGTGAGCACAGATCCACGCCATCAGGGTACGATGACACACAATCAACCAAGTCACCAAGCCTGACCCCCCAACAATCCATTAAGTCGCCCCTTGCACGCATAGGTTGCTAGAGACCAATGGGCAATCTTTTTGTCTCAAAGTGAGATAACTCTCCTTATGCAATGCAGTTATATATTGAAGTAGAGAGAAAAAAAAGAACCATATTGATTTGTTTGTGTGGAATTTTTAATTCTTTTTATATACAATTTGGTGTGAGTGAGTGAGTTAATGCTTTATGTCACATAAGTGATATTTCAGCCATATCGTGACGAGTTATACAATATGGAAACATAAAAGACTCAAATTAAAAATAAGCTTTATCTGTTGTAATCATCTGACCACTGTCAAAAACAAATTTAATTTAATTGTCTGAAAAAATATTCTTTTCAAAGATTCCCAATACACATTTGCCATATTAATATCTATATATTACTGATCACAGCAGGGATCAAATCATGGTAATTTGCCACCTATCATTCTTACAATCTTTGTACACACCATGCACCAACAATATTTAAAAAAAACCGGATTACAAAGATTCTATTTTGAAACGTAGCATAATTTAAAATTATACTACCTGTAGATGACACAATTTGTCAGCACCTCTTTCTTTCACAAGTTCTTGAAATTTTTTATCACTGTTACAAAATTAATGGTTATATTATCACACCTGTTAATTGTTCAAATTAGAAATCCCATGCTAGTAATTTAGGTTTAAATGATATTTAATGTATCAAATATACCTGATACACATTCAAAGCCTCTTATTTCCATTCTACAATGTCTAGTACTACCATACGAAAATGACATTAGGTTATGTCTTAACATCATTTTAAAAAAAAAATATAGAGTACATCCAAGCAAGTTTGCCCAAATCATTAACAGTATTTTAAACGTCCAGTTCTACTAACCAAAATTTTCTCCTTGCTTTTTAGTTAATTTGAGCATGTTCAGTAAATACATGGACTTTCTTAGCTGAGAAGAACAACACTTTTCACAAGACTCAGAGTTTGACCCGTGGCAACAGTTGCAAATTTATTCAGTATATTTCTGTCCAATCCACACCTAGTGTCCTTCAAGACAATCACTGGACCAACACAGCTGTCTTCCAACACCCATCTGTAAGGGCCGTCCTGGCAGGTAAGTCATGTAGAGTTGATATACAACACCCTGTCTAACAAAAGCACCTGTCACTTTTACACAGTTTCTATCTGAGTATGGCCATGTGGCAGAGATAGGTGCCACGTTGGTTGTTATCCAGATACATAGATCTCACTTGCCAGTAAATCAATATTCATAATTGGCTGAGTGTCACATCATCTGGCATGTCTAGAGACAGTGTACTCAATGCATAATGCATGTTGCATATCTTGCGAATACAACTCCAAAAAAAGTTTGAAAAAAACACCTGATTTTTTCATATAACTAGTTATCGTATTTGATGTAATAAGCACCCAGGGCACTCTCAAAATTAGAAATTATTAGAATAATATTTTGGTGAAAAAAAAACAGAGTTGAAAGACTGTAAATTTTGTGGTTTATGCTGACAGCCTGAAATGTTTATATACGACAGATATATTTTTCCAGAATATAATTGCCCATAAATAAGGGTGCATATAACGCACAAGTGCCTATTATACACGAATAAATATGTCTTGTGTACATTGATCAATCGGAAGGGATACTAATTGGGATTGTTCCCTAGCCAGTATATTAGCTAATATCGCTGTGGGCGCTTATTAGAGCGGGGCACTTATTAGGTCGAATACAGTATTCTGTCATGCTATCTTCTTTAACTTGTTGTGAGATGTATACACAAGATGGATATTAACATTATTGTGAAAGACTTGATTTGTCTTTGGTGCTAATGAATTATTTGATATCTTCTTCAATTGTTATGAAGTGATTTGTTTGTTTGTTTGTTGTTTAATGCCGCACTCTGCAATATTCCAGCTATATGTCAGCAGTTTGTAAGTAATCGAGTCTGGACCAGACAATCCAGTGATTGATAACATGAGCACTGATCCACGCAATTGGGATACGATGACATGTATCAACCCAGTCAGCGTTGCTGAAGACCTATTCTACCCTGGATCTTTACGGGACTGTTATGAAGTGAGTGAGTGAAAGCTGTTTACATCTCTATGAAGTGAGTGAGTGAAAGCTGTTTACATCTCTATGAAGTGAGTGAGTGAAAGGTGTTTACATCTCTATGAAGTGAGTGAGTGAAAGGTGTTTACATCTCTATGAAGTGAGTGAGTGAAAGCTATTTACATCTCTATGAAGTGAGTGAGAGAAAGCTGTTTACATCTCTATGAAGTGAGTGAGTGAAAGCTGTTTACATCTCTATGAAGTGAGTGAGTGTAAGCTGTTTACATCTCTATGAAGTGAGTGAGTGTAAGCTGTTTACATCTCTATGAAATGAGTGGGTGAAAGCTGTTTACATCTCTATGAAGTGAGTGAGTGTAAGCTGTTTACATCTCTATGAAATGAGTGAGTGAAAGCTGTTTACATCTCTATGAAGTGAGTGAGTAAAAGCTGTTTACATCTCTATGAAGTGAGTGAGTGAAAGCTGTTTACATCTCTATGAAGTGAGTGAGTGTAAGCTGTTTACATCTCTATGAAGTGAGTGAGTGAAAGCTGTTTACATCTCTTTGAAGTGAGTGAGTGAAAGCTGTTTACATCTCTATAACACCACGTGTCCTGTAAATATGAGTCTGGGGTAAACAAACCAGTGATTGGCAGCGTGAGTGAGTGAGTGAGCTAGCGAGAGTATGGTTTTACACCACTTTTAGCAATATTTAAGAATATATTTAGCAATATTCCAGCACTATCACAGTGAGGGACACGGGAAATGGCCTTCACAAATTGTACCCATGTGGGGAATCAAACTCAGGCCTTCGGCATGATGAGCGAACACTTTAACCACTAGGCTACCCCATCGCCCCATTGGCAGCATGAACAGTGATGTGAGTCAGTCAGCCAGGTCACACATTGCAACCACCCAATCCTCTAAACACAAGCATGGGGTACTAAGGTCTATTCTGGAACCTTGGGGACTTTTGGAATCATAAAATATCTGTGCTGAATTTGATCATATTGATTAATTCACTTTTAAAAGGAAACGGCGAAACCGCATTATCAGTGGTTCATATTGGGAAAGGGAGGTCACTCTAATTTCAAACGGGAGCTATCTCCGTTGTTTTCGTATTTGCGAGAAATGGCGTCACCCACGCTACACGTTGTTGGTCCAGCTATTAAATGCCCAGCTTATTAAAACGTAAGGTAATTAAATGTTTGAATGCATTATATATTTATGTTTCCATCAGTACATCTTCTAAGATTGGTTTAGTGGTGATAACCATTTTCCAAAATGTGGGCCCACATTTTTCCCGTCATCTATGGTGATCGAAACAAGTGGGCCCACATTTGTATTTCGCCTAGATTCGTGAGGTTGTTTCGTTAGTTCTGATAATCAATCCCTAAATGTTGGCAGACGTTCTTCCGTCATATTGATTGCAACAGGAGGGACCACATTTATTAATCGCGAAATTCTACTTAAATATTGATAATCATTTTCTCAAATGTGGGCCCACATTGTTCCCGTCATATATGGTGATCGAAACAAGTGGGCCCACATTTGTATATCGCCTAGTGGGTAGACGTTCTTCCGTCATAGTGATTGCAAAAGGAGGGACCACATTAAAAAAATCGCTAGCTTCATTAGCTTTGCTTACTTATAACCATTTTCTAAAATGTGGGCCCACATTGTTCCCGTCTTATAGTGATCGAAACAGGTGGGCCCACATTTTTAAATCGCTGGGTTTCTTAAGGTTGACGAAGTCATTTAGGCTATTGGGCTCACGTTTGTCATTATGTGACATTTTATATTATTCATATTTTGTAATATTGATGGGAAATATCTTTATAAATCATTTCGTGTGACATTAATTCCATAAAAGGCACAAAAGTCTTTGAAGTTTGAATAACTGCGTCATAGCTGACCACACTAGTTTTACAAAAATAGCTACCAAGCAAGAAACATAAATCTACTTCAAATTAAAATTACAGAGGCAATACCACTCATTCTACCTTTTCCAGTATAACACATCAATCTAATCATAAGTATTGGTGGCGATATAAGCCTGAACATATGTCTACACTTGAATTGATCTCGGACATGATACAAGCCTCAGACGTTTCCGAGAACTTGTTCCATAAAAGGAATAACTCATGAATATTAATAACCCCACGACCTAGTTTGGCGATGTTCGTAGAAGTGAGTTCTGCTGTATTGCCATCTTATTTGTACATTTTAATCCAATTATATTTTAAATAGACAAATTATGAGTTCGTTATGCGGGTTTGTTTACGTAGTATATATTCTCAACAACAAGTGCGTTTAGTTTCGAATGTGGGCCCACCTCGAACATTCGATTAGGCAAACGGAGTTAGCTCCCTTCTCGAACCACCGATAATGCGGTTTCGCCAAGGAAACAGACTCTTGTCTGTCAGTCCTGATCTTCCAACATCTAACATTCCTGCACTACAGCAAAAATATTTTCAAGAAAAATGATGTTGCTGACAGGATGTGCACAATTCACACCAAGGTCTGAAGACAAGCAATAAGATTAATCCACCCAATCCTCAGTTCAGCCATTTTGGTTCTACATGAACATGGCCTACAACATCACTCTGACAACTTGCTACCACTACTTCCAATACAACCAGTTGGGGACTTACCTTGTTTTCTTTCCCGTTCCCATTTTTCAGTGCTGGAGGCACCTCATCCTGAAACCAAACAATTCAGTTTAATTAAATTTATAATTCTTTTTGGTCATAATAAATGGGAAGGACTTGTATCCAATAAATACATTAATGCCGAGATGAGTCATTCACTGTTTTATAACACCTGAAAATCACCTGCTAGCATGTTTACCGACATTGGATGTACAATTGATTACAAAACAATTTTTTTATAAACCCACGTTTCTGCAATGTTTGCATCATTTTGGAAGGCTGTGTCATTAATCAATGGATGCAATCTGTCTGCTTCTAAAACTAGCAAAAAACCTAAATGAGTAAATGGGGTTTAATTTGTCATGTTGGAATGTCCAACATAATGCAGGTTCTACCACTCTGGTGAGCACAACGACCAAATTTGAAACCATGAGTGAGTGAGTGAGTGAGTGAGTGAGTGAGTGGGTGGTTGGGTGAGTGAGCGAGCGAGTGAGTGAGTGAGTGAGTGAGCAATATTCCAGCAATATCACATGAACGACACTGGAAATGGGCTTCACACATTGTACCCATGTCAGGAATCCAACCTGAGTCTTCGGCGTGACAAGAGAATGCTTTAACCATTAGGCTACCCGACAGCCCCGAACCCATAATGAACAGATCCTGGTATGACAAAGGGAGGCAACCCTGAACAGTGAAGTGCAGTGTCTTAGACGACTGGGACAGGAACATCCATTAGTCTAGGGAACCTAATGCAAATCAATGAAAGTAAATAAGGTCTTGAAGATCTGAATGTTGATTCAATGAATACAAGATTCAATGACATTTCAACAATTACAATGAATATTGATTTTTGTGATGGAAAAACATCATAACTAAAAACAGAGTTTCTGGGATTAAAATCTCTCTAACACTGTTTAATCAATCAGGCTGTGACACACCCTCACATCTGTTAATGTCTGTTAATGTCTGTTAATGTCTGTTAATGTCTGAGTGAGTGAGTGAGTGAGTGAGTGAGTGAGTGAGTGAGTGAGTGAGTGAGTGAGTGAGGTTTTACGCTGCTTTTAGCAATATTCCAGCAATATCACAGCAGGGGACACCAGAAATGGGCTTCACACATTGTACCCATGTCGGGAATCGGACCAGGGTCTTCGGCGTGACGAGGGAACGCTTTAACCACTCGGCTACCCGACCCCCCATGTCTGATCATGCTGATAATGAGTGTGAGTGAGTTGGTTTTAACACCATTTTGAACCGTATTCCAATTTAATATCGGTACGTCAGCATGATGTGGGAGGAAAGCCTGCAGTGATGCAGGTCTTTGAAGAAACCAATGACAGTGTTTCTGTTCAGTTAAAGATTTACCGGTCAGCCATACCGGCAGCACTTAAAAGTAACAGTACATTCAATATTTTGGACTGATAGGGTTCAACTGGTAAATTACTGGCAATTATCGGTGAACAGAAACACTGAATGATCATGGGTAGGTACTGACAAACCTAGAAACATGAACAGGGTGAACTGGGATTCAAACTCAAGTAAATAGGTTCCTGGCACACCAAAGGGGCACAACTCTGGTGACTGGGCCACCTGTGTTTCTTGTTGTTACATGTTTAACAACTGCTACAAAGAACATGATGATTGTGATGACTGATCAAACACAAACTGTACACAGTCCTCTACAAAACCTGAATGTGACACTCTTTTTACTCCCACGCATGAAGGAGGGATCCAAGATCTTAAACACAACTTCTGCTTTTATCTACCAATCCACAAACTAGACTGATATATTATTAATACATGCTTTGATCTATAAGCTTACAACCCGAGTCTTCATGATATTTTGCATTTTTTTAATGTCTCAGACAAAATGCTGACAAAGCCAGAATTCACTGTAACAGGAAGTCAAGTTAGTTAGCCAATCTGAAATACACTGTGCTCATCAAATGATGTAATGAATGATCTAGGCTATCTCACATCCCCATGTTATAGGGTCTATAAATTCCACACCCAATTAAGCTAATTGAAGGTCTAGCCATGGCTGTACATGTCTAATAAACTTCTCAGAACATGCTTTGGGCATGTTGGGGGGTCATCTCAAAACTAATATTGCAAATACCAACACTGTTACCATGGTTACCATGTGTACAAGTGTGACTCAGTGGTTGAAAAAGTGTTTAAATGGGAATGTCCAAAGGACAACAGTAACAGCTACTATGGTCAAGGGTTATTAAGGTTAAAGCTCCAAAAAGCACAATCTCATTGAAATCAGCTCTTAGTCCTCGCTACCGCTAAACAAAGGTCTGAAGACATTCCAATAGGGGTCACATCAGAACGACCTTTCATCCGACTCATCAGAGCGTCGCTTACCAGATTATGAAAGTGACAGTCGGAATGTGATTTCTAATCATGCAATCTCGAAAACTTTAACATGGGGTATTCCGAACGATAGTTACAGGTTTAACAACTGAATCCTTACAATCTAGACCATCTATTAGCCATTCCAGAATGTTTTTTTGTTCAGGTTTCAAATTTGTAATCGAGAATTTGTCAAAATATGTTTCGTAGCGTAGTCGCCAATTTGAAATTAGTGCCGTAAAGCATGAGAAAGCTGCCTTCTGATTGGTCATTCCATTGGTCGGTCAAAGTTCGCGCAAGGTCGGTCTGACGTGACCCTGATGGGATGTCCTCAGATCTTAATTTAGCCGTAGTGAGAACTAAGATCTGCTTTTAATGAGATTGCAAAAAGCAATGACATCAAGTCTAAAATAATGAGAATAATACACTCTCGTATCATATCAGAGATATGTCCAAAAACACCCAAGCAAGTCTACAATATTTTGTAGGTTTATTTCTGTATGACTATCCTAGTTTCAGTTTCAGGACTTACAAAACCTCAAGGACACCAGGACGCAGCTCCATTGTTAACACAGGACAAGTCACACTGTACATGCTATATATAGAATACATTGAAAATACTGGCTAGCGACCAGTTATCCCCAAGGGCCAATTATTGTAACTCCCATTATAGCGTGGTCCTGATCGCATATCATTTGGCTTTTGCTCGTTTTCATTAGAAGAGAGAAATATTTTATTTATGAACAAAATGAACTCTTGAGAGGGAATATTTTTTTAAAAACACCATAATCACCTTGCTCAAATACAGCTTTAGAAAAGACACACGGGCGGTGTCACGTGACTAATTCACGTAAAAATATAAACCAAACCACACGATGATGCACTTTCAGTTCTGTCAATGATATCTACCTGTCTGTCATTTCCTCCCTCAAAATATAATTTTGAAACCTATTTGAGCTATATTTCCAAAAATGCATGACCTGTATATATCGCGAAATCCACAGTACATAGTGTTAAGGATAAGCAGCTGTAGATCAAATTTGGGGAATATTGTTTTTTGTCAGTTTGCAAAAAGATGATGGCGATAACTGGTACAGTAAGTCGACAGGAAAGTTCCATTTCCACTGTTTTGATTCCCTATCGTAGCGTTATAACAGAAATCAACTGAATCTTATTCCATGGACAGAATTAAGCGCATTTGCTCATAGTTTCACAAAAATAAAAGTTATTGGTACAGTCAACTTTGTACATGGAATATGACAGAAATAACATGAAAATAATGGGGAAAAAACCGCTAATGGCTACAGTCTGTGTCTAATAGACAGAACTTGTATTTTGGAGTTAATTTCAGCAGCTGTAAGTTTTAGTATGTGAACTAGAATAACCTGATTTTACTAGACCAATAGATTGTCAACAGAATAGGGTGAGGTGAGGTGAAATGCGGTTTAACGTCGCGTCCAAGATTATTGCACTTATATAGCGACGTGCATGTATGTGTATGTGTTTGTGTGGCTGCTTGTACTAGTCCGGACTGATGCCGATTTATAGTGCTAGCTCACTGAGATACCATGCCGCAGTTTAACATACCCCACTCAGACACAGTATACTGACTTCGAGCCGACCAGTCCTTGTTTTAGCCCCTTATGCCGAGCGCCAGACATTACCAAGTACCATCTTTTAACGTCTTTTGGTATGACGCGGCCGGGGATCAAACCCCGGACCTTCCTCTCTCTGGGCGGACGCTCTACTACTAGACGACGGAGGCGGTTGTCAACAGATTAAGGCTTCAGACTAGTGGCTAAAATCAGAGTCTGTCCATTAAACAACTGTAAAACCGATAGGAATTAGCTGAATCAGCTAATTAGGCAACTGAGCCAAACTTTTCGGAGTGATTATATTAGAACAATACAGCAAGATCGATATCATGGACTAATAAAAGAAGTCAATTCACAGTTTACCAATTTGCTGCAAGCTAAATGAATTTTACAAGCTTCAAGCAGCTGGCACTACATCTATCTATATTGTGTGAAATCAAGACCGCACTAGAAGCCAGGATACATACAGCTCCTGCAGGTAGACAAGGGGTTTATATATTCAGTGGTTTCACTGACATCAACAATACGGCTTGACATGGCAGTTACCACCAAATAAATGATATTTTCACATTTACTATTCAGTTGCAGATACACGACTCCACTTTTAGGGATATTTTTTATCGTCCCATGATACACCAGGTCTGGACTTGGCCTTAAAAAATGCACCAGTGCAATTATTATTGAAAAATGAAACTTAATAATTATGTCTACATGCACCAAGTGCATCTCAAAATGTTTCAAATTTGAGTTTAACCCTTGTTTGTCCACACAACATAATTGAACACATTCAATACCTCTAAGTCTTTTTACCACACTACAGTAAATTATGGTTATAACGAACTCAAAGGGTGAGTGAGTGAGTTTGAATTTACCCCTCTTTTAGCAATATTCCAGCAATATCACGGCGGGGGGACACCAGAAATGGGCTTCACACATTGTACCCATGTCGGGAATCGAACCCGGGTCTTCAGTGTGACGAGTGAACCTTTTAACCACTAGGCTACCCGACCGCCCAAACTCAAAGGGAACAGTAATGGTTTGTTATACCCGTTGTTCGTTTTAAGCATATATACAGTTTATACAAAGCAAAACGTCAGGATAAAAAAATAACAGTTTGTTATATCCGCCAGTTCGTCATAAGCGTGTCGGTAACAAACGTAGTTTACTGTATATCAATAATCCCTGGGTTACGTTAAAATTTGTCAAGTTTATGTGCAAAATTTCAGCTTTGATAAATTTATGGGACCAGGGTGCAAACTGGTTTTGTCTAATGCAAATATAATTTCATGTCAACATGCATCAGGTGCAAGATTAATGAAGTACCTTAAAACAATCCCTGTATGCAAATCTGGTTTTCATCAAATGGAAAGTGTATATTAAAATAGAATGACATATATGGTCGTCCCTTCCAAAAGTCGAGAATATATTTGCACATCTAGTAAGAAATGTCTTTAAACATTTACATTTTTTATCAAATGATCTTATTCCCCTTAAATGGGGCGGTTGGGTAGCCTAGTGGTTAGAGCGTTCGCTCGTTACGCCGAAAAAACCCGGGTTCCAATCCCGACGTGGGTACAATGTGTGAAGCCCATTTCTGGTGTCCCCCGTCGTGATATTGCTGGAATATTGCTAAAAGCGGCTTAAAACCAAACTCACTCACTCACTATTCCCCTTAAATAGAAACGACAACATGTTTTATCTTCATCTGTTCACGTAATTTTGAAAATAAACAACAAAACAACTACATCCATCATGTTTACCATGTCTACTGATGTCAGACAAAACACATTTTTAGCTCCCTTTAAAAAAACTTTGACATCCTCACGTTCACGATATCTGACAAAAACAAGCATGCCAAAAAGGTTTCAGAAGTGCAAATTTAATCAGTTGACGATAAAACTATTTAAGTTGTCATGGTAATGATATATAATATCAGAAAGCTGATAAAAGTCTCTTATGTTTGGCAATGAACGCAATGATCAATTATTCACACAGACTTGAAAGGGCAAATGTAGAAATCAATTTTGCTGATGTTGCTGAAGCAAGACATTCCACATTCCACAGTTAAATGACATATCATCTTGGAAATGACTTTCAACAAATCAATACTTTACAATGAAATCTTATATCAAAGAAAACCAACACTAAAGATGCTCAATACATGAAAGTGGAAATAAATACCCGGTACACACAACAAAATAGGACAAGCTATTTGTCAACAAATCAATCAGTCAATACCTTACAATGAAACTTAAACCAAAGAAACACAACAGTAAAGATGCTCAATACTTGAAAGAGGAAATCGATACAAACTACAAAATAGGACAAACGTTTTACCAGAAAATAATCATTTATGAAAAGATATATGCAATCTTAATTTGTGGAATTATTACCTCTTTTATGCACTCAAAACATTAAACATGAAATACAATCTTTAAAAAATTGTAAGAAATCAAAATTTAAACAAAATCTTGTTTCCTAATCATTCATATTTTCTAAGTTTCTGGGTATTTTTTTCTGTAATGCATACAGATAATTATCAAACAATACTGAAACAAAGTTTCAGGAAATAGACATCTTTCAACCTTGAACTTTGATTTCAAAATATTTCCTTTTCAAAATGAAAATAGACTCTGCATAACATATACCGTATTCGACGTAATAATTTCTCAAAATCAGAGTTGAAAAAATGTAAATTTCGAAGTTTATGCTGACAGCCTGAAATGATACAAAAGAAAAGTATGTGCGTATCATACATGATACAGATATATTTTCCCGAATTTAATTGCCCATAATTAAGGGTGCATATAACACATGAGTGTGTATTATACACACATAAATAAGTCTTGTGTACAACGATCAATCGGAAGGGTACTAATTGGGATTGTTCACCAGCCAATATATTAGCAAATATTGCCATGGGCACTTATTAGAGCGGGGCTATTGCCAACAAATCAATACCTTATAATGAAACTTAAACCAAAGACAGGGATGTGAGCAGGTTTTCCCGAAAAAAGAGGAAAAGTCTAGGGTGGTCTGGGGGTATGCCCCCCCAGAAATTTTTAAAACATTTGATTGCATTTTAAGCAATTTCATGCAGTTTGGACAACATTCACACCAAGAAATGTAATAAGTCAATGTCAAAAGTCAATAAGTAAAATAAACAAGATGGCAGATGCAGTAAAATTTCGAAGTTAAATCAGTACTTTAAAAAAATCGGGCATAGCTTTCGCGCACCTGGCTACCCGCCAGGTCTGGGAGCAATACTGCCATAAACTTCAACCCCCATCCCCCAGACACAAGGACAACTGTCACAAGTGTGCAATGTCTGACCCTTTCCCCATGTTGAAGCATATTGAAAAAAACTTACCTTGTACTTACCTTTTGATGAAAAAAACAAAACTCCATTGCAAACATAAGATATTAATACAATATATATCCCCATGACATGGGGTTTTGGACGCTGAAGAAACATTCATAAATTTCTCGCTTATCACATGAACAACTGTAAAACATCTCATTCACTTACAGGCTAAAAGACAACTTTATCTTAAAAACAAGCCATCAGCTGACTGAGTATTTACAATTTCTGTGTGACGCCATGCCCCACGTTATAGTGCAAGTATTCGTGACAGAAAACGTATGATGTCCGAAAACCTATGCTGGGAAAGCTCCGATCGAAAACAGGACAATCCGCGCCAATTGTCCAGTTTTCGATCATATTTTTCGGAGTGTTTTTTTTTAAATTTTTAAAAAAAATTCCGCGGAAGATGATTTTTTCCGAGGACTGCTGTTTAAAAAACGCGACTTTCCGCGTTTCCGCGGAGATTTCACATCCCTGCAAATAAATAAGTCTTGTGTACATTGATCAATCAGAAGGGGTGCTAATTGGGATTATTTACCAGCCAATATATTAGCAAATATCGCCGTGGGCGCTTATTAGATCGGGGCGCTTATTACGTCGAATACGGTATGCCAAAACCTCTGCAATTTTGGAATCAACAAATTGTTAGAATAACACTTCCATTGAACATGTTGAATCAAATTAATTAATTTTGGCGATATCAGGATGTATGTAATTCGGTTTCTCACCTCCGCACATGTGTCAACGTGGCAGTCCTTCAGGGCACATCGGCTGTCATCTGACCAAAATGGACACTCCTTGGCAAGATTCACCTATAGAAAATAAACACATTTATCATAATTAATTAGTTAGAAGGAAACAATTGTGGAAGTGGTATTTGCATTTTTGTAACACTAACAGTAAACTGATCCAGGACATGCAACATTTTTCACATTGTCAGCATGAATAATATGCACAATAAAAGGTCAAGCTGAATGCCCAGGTTTAATTCCCAACATGAATACAATACGATGTGAAAAGCCCATTTTTGGTGTTCCATCAGTGATGTTGCTGAATATTGCTAGAAGTGGAGCGAAACTCACTCACTCACTCACTCACACTTAAATACACAATGCATTCGCAAACATTTGTGAGTGAGTGAGTGAGGTTTTACAATGCTTTTAGCAATATTCCAGCAATATCACGGCGGGCCACACCGGAAAATGGGCTTCACACATTGTACCCATGTGGGGAATCAAACCCGAGTCTTCGGCGTGACAAGCCACTAGGCTACCCCACCGCCCCTGATGCAGAAGGAATGTTCCCGATGGTAGCACTTGTACCCATGTCTCGCAGAAAACCAATCAACCGAAAAGGATCAAATTCTTCAATTTCTGAGATAGTTCAAGTCAGTGACATCTCAAAGTCAGTGATTTCTCTGCTAGATACTCTATTAGAAACTTTCATATCAAATAACATGAATAAGAATGTATCTCTATGGTTTCAGTGATTTCAAACAAGACAAATTCAGAAATGAGCCAAACAACTTGAAACCCATCCAGCTCAGCTGGATACTACTGAAAGGTTATCTCCCAAAACCCCTACATCCCAGTTCCCCTACAATTAGTTAAAACAACACGCGGCATTTACCTGTCTGGCATTATGAACTCACCTAAAGGAGAGATTAAGGTCTGGAGTAGAGGTAGTAGAAATGAAAGGGGTAGAGCTTTAGGGGATTAGGGGACTTAAAGGAAAGTTAAAAAAAAAAAAATTAATGTAAGTGTAATGAAAGATGCCTGTATGATGAGAAGACAATTTTTAGAAATTACAAAAATAACAATAGGAAGAAAGAATTATTACACTGAGAAACTGAGATGAGACGATTTACAGTTGAGATGAAAAATGAACATTTTGTTATAATGTATTATGAATTTTGAAAAATGAACATTTTATTATAATGTATTATGAATTTTGAATAATATTGTTATCGTAATAAAATAATTATCTCAATCTATTCGAGTTTCTTGGGTTGTTCCATTGTATGAAATAGGTAACAGACTAGGGATTAGCAGTGCCATGGACCTAGAACTTTGTTGTCTTAAGCTGTAGGGGAAATGGGATGTAGGGGTTTTGGGAGGTTACCTACTGAACATGTTAATGAATGTCCTTGTGCATTTATTCTGCAATCTGCACACAAAGTGCAATTTTTGTATTCTATTATAGATTTTTCTATTGACATCTGTCAACATAATCACATCCTTGTTACATATTGATAAAACAAGATCAATTAGTCGGCACTCATTGATCTCAGAATATTCCAGAGATTGTATCATGTGCACAACTCAAGACCTAGTCTGACATACAGACCTTGAAACAAATAAATAGAGGGTACTTCATGTGGCGCGTGAAATATCATGTTTCTCTCATTAAGTGATGGGGGGAAAGGAGATATTTTCACGGGTGGCATAGCAAGGCATGGCAAACTTTAACAAAAAATATTCTTAAAACTAGGAAACCGCTGTTGGAAGTGAAAGAAAACATGCTGGTCAAGTAACAAAAATGGCGCTCTGCAAACATGCAAAAATGAAAAGTCTCGATTGACGAGTTAAATGAGAAATTTACAGAGAAACAAAACATTTTCGAGAGAATAACAAATGGCAAGAAATGATATTAGCTCCATAAATGACCATCTGTCATTATATTTGCCTTGTCAATGTGGAACTGACAAAAAAAGGACGTCAACAGTTTGTGTACGGCCTAGACACTTACGATAAAGGGAGACAATTTGGGGGGGGGGGGGAGAGAACCCGTGTATGCCAATAGTTCTGTCAAAGTGTCATGTTCACAGCAGTGAAACTTCAAGGGTCTTATCTCAACTTCTTGCAACTGAAGCTGCCTGTGAGGCACTAGAACTAGAAGGTTAACAACCACATTGCCATCTCATCCTACCGGGTACCCATGCACTGCTGGGAGAACAGAGGCACATTTCGAACAAAGTCACTTGCCTAAGGAGACACCACATGTGGTACATGTGCTTCAGTGTGGGGCAGGACCGAAGCCCTAGAAACTCAGGAGCCAAGCTACGGAACACATTCATCCATCCATCCAAGGACTCACAACAACACCTGATTTGTGACCTGCGCACAGTGCACAGTGCAACGTGTCGCCACTATTCTGTTAAGTATTTCCGATCAATTTTTGTTTTTCAAAACAATAGCTAAATATGTTAACATCATTGATTAGCAGATTAACCTGTTGTAATTGTGTATTCTTATGTTCACCCTGACAGCGTGGACAGGGTCCATGAATGTCCAGCCCTTGAATCAACCTTGTTGCCATGGTAATAGTTTAAAACTAATAATGTATTATCATATCCATCTCATATATACACAGCCATACTCATTTCCGACAGTGCAATAAACTTAACAAACATATCTGGAACCTAAACTGACAACACAAAGCAAATCCCGTATTTCAACCGTTCATTAACTTCCACTTATACACACCATCGAAGCTATGTACACATCACCACTTTACGACCTGGCATTATCAACAACTCTTCAGTATCTCATTACAGCTCATATGATCGCTATAACCACTGTCTGCATTAAACGTGTGTCTCATCATGATGGCGACAGCTTGCAGATCACCTGCAGCAGAGCAGGATATTATCTTGCGAATGGAGACAACGTGGTCACATTTTTGGCAGTTTGGTAGTAAAACAGGCAACATAAGAAACTACACACAAAATGTGATGCGAAATGTGGTTTAACGTTGCATTCACGACAATTCAAATATAGTGATGTGCATGCACTTGTCTTAATGTTAACACTGCATTTATAATTATTGCACATATATATGTGATGTGCATGCACTTGTCTTAATGTTAACGCTGCATCGTAGGTTTATTGCACATACAGTGATGTGCATTCACTTGTCTTAATGTTAAAGTTGCATTCACGAAAATTGCACATACAGTGACGTGCATTCACTTATTTTAATGTTAACGCTGCATTCACTATTACGGCACATACAGTGATGTGCTTGCACTTGTCTTAATGTTAACGCTGCATTCATGATAATTGCACATATACGTGATGTGCATGCACTTGTCTTAATGTTAAAGCTGCATTCATGACAATTGCACATATACGTGATGTGCATGCACTTGTCTTAATGTTAAAGCTGCATTCATGACAATTGCACATATACGTGATGTGCATTCACTTGTCTTAATGTTAAAGCTGCATTCACGAAAATTGCACATACAGTGACATGCATTCACTTGTCTTAATGTTAACGCTGCATTCATGATTATTGCACACATACGTAATGTGCATTCACTTGCTAGCAAGCTGCTTGTACAAGTCATAACTAAAGCTGATAATATAGTGCTAGCCCACTGAAATACCATGGCACAGTTTAACATGGAAACCCAACTAAGACACAGTTTACTGTTTCCGAGCCGACAAGAACTGGTTTTAGCCCTTGATATAGTTTTAGTTTTAGTAAATATAATCAAAGATGGCTTACGTGGTGAGCATGGTAAAATTATTAAATAACATACTCATATTTCTAATTGTTTATCTACCACCATGACCACGAAAAAACAGATACATGCAAGTGACTTATTTTAAAACCCCAATCATAAATTACTAACCTAAAAACTGCAATGTGTATGTAGCCTTAACATTTTAACATTTTAACATTTAACATTTACATTGTCTAAATGTCTACATAACAAAATCATTGGGTAAATTTTCGACTACAATTGGATATTATTACAAGAAGTTTACAGTGCAAGTATGCAAAACATTGATCATGATGGTGAATTACAAATGACACACCCAGACATAAATGAATAGCTGAATACCGGATCAAAATGACATTACTTAATCATGTTAATAGGTATTACTTCAACATTGAAATTGATCTTTCATGGGGATTTTCAACATCTCATTGTAGGTATCACCCATGACGTTCAGTTTGTTGATTTGTTGTTTAACGCAGCTCTCAGCAGTATTACAGCTATATGACAACGGTCTGTAAATAACCAAGTCTGGACCAGACAATCCTGTGATTAAATATCATGAGCATCAATCCACGCAAATGGGATCGATGACATGCATCAACCAAGTCAGTGAGCCTGACTAACCCCATCCCGTTAGTCACCGCTTATGACAAGCAGTCGCCTTTCACGGCAAGCATGGGTTGCCGAGGACCTATTCTACCCCGGATCTTCACGGGTTACATGATTAAGCATCCATCACAGAACCCAGCTAGTAACATAATATTTATGATCATGAACAACACAAACAAATGGACAAAAAAGATGACAATATACAATAACAACAACATGTATACTCGCTAGCGACCAGTTATCCCCAAGGATCAAACAAGGCCAACTCTCCGTTGTAGCGTACACGTGATGCATTTCATTTACTTTTACTTTTACTCGGTGTCAGTGGAAGAGTAAAATATTTATCCAAAAATGATGAACAAAAGTGAATCTTGTGAAGAAATATGAAAAAGCAAATTATAAAATCACCTTGCTTAAATATAACTTTAGAAGAGACCCGCGGACAGTGTTACATGTAAACAAAAATCCAACAACACAATGATGCACATTCAGTTCTGTCATAGCTTGCTATTTGTCCGGCATTTCTTCCCCAAATTACATTTCAAAAACCTAATTGAGCTATTTTTCCAAAAATGCATAACCCTGTATCAGTGTGTATATATATCCATAGAAATCCATAGTACATCGTGTTGACGATATTGTACATAGTACATCGTGTTGACGATATTGTACATAGTACATCGTGTTGACGATATTGTACATAGTACATCGTGTTGACGATATTGTACATAGTACATTGTGTAAATGTAATTTGTGGAATATTAATGTACGACAGTTTGCAGACGACAAATTGATGAAAGCGTTTCATAAAAATTGAGTGCAACACCAGTGAAAATAGAAAAAGTAATTTGAATAACTACAAGCATGTGCTTTTTAGGTGATGGTGAAAACTGGTACAGTTGATCGAAGGGAAATCTCTATTTCCCTGCTTTGATTCCCTGTCAACAGAAATCTACTGATTTGTTTTCCATAGTTGCACAGTAATCAAAGTTAACTTTGTACACAGAATATTTCAGAAATAACACGAAAAAAATTGTGATAACTGGTCGGTGACCAGTACAGGTTATACAGATAAGTTGTAATCTAGCAGTCATTGAGGAAGACATCGATAATAGATCTGTCTTGTTTGGTGCTTAATGCCCCACTTGGCAATATTCTACTCGCCCATATGACGACAGCCCGTAAATAATCAAGTCTGGACCAACAATCCTGTGATAATGAGCAATGATTCATGCCCTCAGGGTACGATGACACAACATCATGATATAGTCCCCAGGCCTGATTGCCCAATACATTAAGTTGCCTCTATCACCCAATCCATTAAGTTGCCTCTTACAACATCCACAAGTGTCCAGGGAACACTTCTCACTCGGACCCCCGCGGATGCAATAATCTGGTTCGATCCCCAACATGAGAACATTGTGTAAAACCCAGTATCAATAATCATAAAAACTGGCCTTACACATAGTTCACATGAGGGCAACCAAACAATAAACCTCGGTGAGACATGTAATGCCACTAGGCTACCTGGAAAAGCGCTAAAAAGGATGCATGGAGTCATGGTGCTAACAATGCTGCTGCTGCTGCTGCTGATGATGATGATGACATCAACAAAAACAACAGACACTTGCAATGCACCATGTCCACCCATGGTTTTGCACAATCCTTGAGAGACCCGTAAAGGTTCCATGTTGGAATAGGTCTTCAGCAACCCATGCTTGTCGTAAGAGGCGACTAACTGGTTCAGACGGTAAAGCTTGCTGACTTGGTTGATGCAAAGCATCGTATACCAATTGTGTAGATAGATGCTCATGATGTCAATCACTGGATAAGCTGATCCAGACTCAATTATTTACAGACCGCCATCATATAGCTGGAATATTGCTGTGAGCGGCGGTAAACAACAATCAATCAAACAATCCTTGACATGATTAAATTGATGCAACCATAACCATGACAACAAATGATGACGTAACCACTGGCAATTGCCAGAATGAAACTATAAAGATGGCCCACATATCCCACTACCACATTAAAAAATACATGGAGGTGAAATGTGGTTAAATGTCGCATCCAAGAACATTGCACTTATGTAGTGATGTGGTTAGTTAAATGACGCATCCAAGAACATTGCACTTATCATTGCTTATGTAGCGATGTGCATGCGCGTGCGTGCGTGCGTGCATGCGTCTGCATGCGTTTCAAAAAAAGTTTAACATGATTAGAGGAGATACTTAAAATGTACAAGTTGTAATGTTATGGTGCTGAACACTGACACAAGTTCACACGTGCATTGGTCACCATTTCCCACAGCTAATTTCGGACTAGTGACGATAGTACAAACTGTTTGGAGCAAACTACTAGTGTCTCTAGATTTTAACAAGACCCTTACAAACAGACCAGTGTCTGTCTAACCTTGAGAAACTTTTGAAGAAAGTATTAAGGTAGCAAGATCTTACCTTAAAGAAACGGAAATAATCTCTTGAAATCAAACTTTTCAGTCGAGGGAATATCTTCTGGTTGTTCAGAGAATCAATTGTTTCAACTTTACAGGAGCAATCATCAACTTCTCCTTTTAGCTGAAAAGAAAAATCATTAAAAATAATGAATAGCAACAACTAATGATATTCCATCATAGTGAGTGAGTGAGTATGGTTTTACGCCACTTTTAGCAATATTCCAGCAATATCACGGCAGGGGACACCAGAAATGGGCTTCACACATTTTACCCATGTCGGGAATCGAACCCGGGTCTTCGGCATGACGAACGAATGCTTTAACCACCAGGCTACCCGACCGCCCTACTGTCACAAAATCACTGAACAAATTATTAACATTTGTGCATACTGGACTGCATACAATTTGACATCTGAGTCATTTTCAGTTTGCGTCATATCGGCTCAATCCTCACCACTCAGTATCTTGTAGTTTAAGGAATGGGACAAGTGTGTCAAAAGGAAATCAGGATCACTCATATGTATCAGGCTAACAATCCAATAGTCGTGAGTTCGCATCCGATTCTCACAAGAACTGGTTGCTTATCTTAGTGACAAGTGGCCTACGGCAGAGACGTCCTCATGAGAGTGAGTGAGTGAGTAACTTTTGCTTAACGCCGCATCAGCAATCTTGCAGCTATTCGCGGCGATCCTCATGAGAACTTGTGGAGCTGTATTCTTAAGTTGCTCCACAAAAGGATATTGAATGTTACCACCTATTTTCTATTTTCTGATGAACATGATAAAATAATTTTAACCTTTCACTGGCTTCAGTCTATTTTTTCAGTACATTCAGATTTGATTGTTAATCAAGTGTTTACTGTTGGTAGATCTATCATGTTCTGTCCAAGGGGAGTAGTTTGGCCAGGTAGAGCCAAGGGACAACTTGTACAATATACACAGATTTATTTACATGAACATCATATATATCGGTAGCTAACAAATACATACAACAATGGTGAACAACAACAGACATCCAAGGGACCAAGCATGTTCCCAGGAAGGCGAGAGCAAGTGTCTAGACACTTACTTACTTAAATTAGGAATTTAACGTGCGCTTTCCAACATATGCATATTTCACGCACGGGTCCGCCAGGCCATTTGGTGTTTGGTGGAAAAGTGAGTTGGGTTTAACGCCGCTTTTAACAGTATTCCAGTTGTATCACGGCGTTTGGTGGAAAAGGTATGTCCGAAAAGGTGAGGCAACCTAGGTGGGGCTTTTTAGGGTTGCTTACTTAAGGGACCAAGCATGTTTCCAGGAAGGCGAGAGCAAGTGTCTTCCTGACCGATATATATCCTAACTTACATGTTTACGTGGAATATTATTGGTTTGGGAAAGCTGACCAATCACAACAGGGTAAGGTTGTGTTGACTGACCATTTTTTAGGGATTAATTTTTTATATCAATGTTGTTATTTGGAACCTGAAGACACTGACAACATGGTGGGTGACATCTATTGTTTTAGTTGATTAGTTCTAGGTAATTAGGGCGCTGTCTGGACTCATTAAGTGGTGTTGACAATGTTATGTCAGGATATTGTTTTTATAGTTGGATTATCAGGATTAAGGTTTGTTTACATTGACACTTAGACAACCACAAACTAAGTCCTAGCTTACATGGCATTTAGATTGTTAAACTATCACATGTTTTGGTTTATGTGACCAAATATTAAAGGTTTAATATTTAGAACATTAAAATGCTATTTTATTTTATTGTTGCTGTTGGTTTGTTGTTTAATGCCGCACTCAGCAATATTCCAGCTATATGACCGCGGTCTGTAAATAATCAAGTCTGGACCAGACAATCCAGTGATTGACATCATGAGCATCGATCCATGCAATTGGTACCAAGGACAAGTATCAACCAAGTCAGCGAGCTTGACCACCCGATCCTGTTAGTCGCCTTTTACGACAAGCATAGTCGCCTTTTACGGCAAGCATGGGTTGCTGAAGACCTATCTTCACGGTTCCTATTTTATTTTAATACTTTATGCATTAATCATGTTAATGTATATTTAATGAATAACTACCAGTTTCTAACAGTTACTTCAGTTTTAAACATAAAGCATCATTATAAAATTCATGTTCACATTTAATGCCCATGATAGGTCATTCATCATGTTCATCACCTTGCAGGACCTGACACTCTGAACCACTATTTGAAACTCAGCAGAAAAGTAGATAGCAGTGATCATGATGAGATCATCCCTTTTATTTTCATATAATAATAATTGAAAATTAATCTATAGGAACTACTATAACACTAGATTCTGACGTGGTAATGCTCGATTTACGACGCTTCAATTCAGGACCACACCCTGAGCCATAGATTCTGCAATGATTCATAACTAATATAAACTTGCAGCCTTTCTTCCTTGTTTATCCTAACTTCTCGTAAACATTGGGAACATATCCTTACACACACCATATTGATATGGGTAGAATGACCCAAAGGAAAATAAATCTTTTTGGTTTAGATGCCATGGTGCTCAGTAACGGGGGAATGTATTGAATGTCCACAACAGGACACGGGCATGGCTCACAAATTTGCATCCGCAGAAATCACATAAGATTGTATGTCAATATACGTCTTTGGTCTGACTGTTTTGATCCCTCATACAAGAAATGTAGAAGTATTGATGCTGATCGGGAGATTTAAATTTTAACCTAATGCGACCACCTGCTGAGGTGTCCTTGGATCTTCAGGCAGAGAAGTATAGTATCAAAGTGAAAGATCTGATTTTAATGATTTAAATCGTGGACACAGAGTTTTATCCATTCCATAGTCCAACCCATGATTTTAGATACAACAGTGTCTTCCTTGCCTTTCATGAAAGGTCTAATGAAGGTGAGGGGGGTACAGAAATCAAATTTCGTCATTGGGTGTGGCAATAGAGTTTCAGTTCTAAGACATTTTTATTGGTGTTATGTAAACACATAAACTCGGAGTCTCACATAAAATACAGCCACTACTAACATGGTAAGACATCACACCATAATAAACCACAGAATTGTAGGTCCGTGAATAAACTAACCAAATGTTGGCTTCCCAGCATGCTCACTATATTGCTCAATACATGATAATTGCTCCAGTAGTTACTGTTGTGACAATTGTCTATTTAGATTGTCATAAAGGTTATTCCTAGTTAGGTCTTTGAATAGCGTTTAGAAGTGATACACATAAGGAAGAGAATTTATGGATGTCAACTTCTTTCTTATGATATATATTCCCATAATAAAGAAGTTGACATCCATAAATTCTCTTCCTTATTCTTAGTTATAAGTGCTAATTCTACCGAAGACACACATACTTTTTTGTGAAGGAATAAACATGATAAAATCAACGCACCTTGCAGAAGCATTTGTCATCTTTGTTTCCAGAGAATTTCTGACTCCCATTCTTCACTTTTACTGCTGATGTCAAATGATTGACAGCTAGCAAAAACGTGCACGCATAAACTATCCTCATAATTTCTGCTTCGGCGACTGTGATCTCCTGCAGTTCAGTTCCGGCTTTCTATGACATCTGTCAACAACACTGAAGCATCTCTCGCTTTACACGTAAAATAGCCTAACAACACCTACCGGAAGAACTTCCGAGGGAAAAATAGTTATTCAGAACAATATGCATTTTAATTATAAATAACCATTATATTTGTGTTGGTTAAAAGAAAATGTTTTATGATACGTTTGTGTAACAATATCACTGATTATGTTTGCAATATAAGTGAATGTGTTTATCGCGGATTAATTCACTGTAGCGGAAGTTCAAAATAATACGTGGCGCACGGAGCCAAAACGAGTCTTGGGATTCCCTCGGCCTGGCACGAGGAAATCCCTCTTAATCAAAACAAACAGTCACCTTGCTGTTGGGTTAGAACGTTCCACGATGATGCAATCAGCAAGAAAGACGTGTTGTTTCTACCCAATGATACAAAGCGGATTCAAATCAAAGAATGCGACACCATGTGCGTTTTTAATATTTGACACCAAAATTAGCTAGAGAGAAGTGGGTACCGGGTTTGACATTTAATTTTTACCTGCACGCACGAAACTGCACGTACGGTTGCATTGGCGTGGAATGACACGGACACGTACGGTGATTCACTCAGTCGTTACGTGACCGGTGACATATCCCCATTTTAGCCAGGTAGCGATTATTTCTTTCAGGTGATATATATAACTTATTCAATGGTCATTGAGATCTCCTTGAGATGACTACCAAAATCACATACAGATATCTGTTTTCCCTTTCGTTTCAAATTTGAGGTAGTAATAATTATTTAAAAAATACATTGGACACAACTGTAATATTTTGCTATTTTCTAAAAATGTTCCTGGACTGCACCAGGTTTTCATTTGTGAGTGAGTGAGTGAGTATGGTTTTACGCCGCTTTTAGCAATATTCCTGAAATATCACAGCGGGGGACACCAGAAATGGGCTTCACACATTGCCCCCATGTCGGGAATCGAACCCGGGTCTTCGGCGTGATGAGCGAACGCTTTAACCACTAGGCTACCCGACCGCCCCGTTTTCATTTGTGAATAATATAGAGTAAGTCATATTCTGTTCATGGGTATTCCATAGGACTAAACATGTACTTCTGGTTGTGAGAATTGGTTCTTGCACAGTCTACAATGGTCTGTCTCCCTATAGAATAAAATAAAAAAGGAATCCAACTCAAGAATGATTTGGGGGGCACGGGTGGCCCAGTCGTCTAAGGCGCCGCAATTCGCTGTGCAGAGTGGGTTTCACCAAAGTGGTAAACGTCTGAGACCTGCATCACATCGGGTTTTCCTCCCACATGAAGCTGACACGCCGCGATATAACTGGAATACTGTTAAAAGCTGCATTAAATCCAACTCACTCACTCACTCAAGAATGATTTGGCAAGTCTAGATTGCCTCAGCTCTGAAATTAAGCATTGTTCAGAGGTCCATTTGGATTAAAACAAACTCTTTTGTAGATAATTATCTTTGTTTTAAATAAGATAACTTTATTTCTGGGACTAAATGTTAGTCTTAGTCAACAACACAACAGCTTTGTAAAATGTATGTAACACAGCAGCCTGTAAAATCAAATCTGAACCCATCTTCCCAAGGCAAGGGAGTTAACTGACTATAAAAGTCCAGTTTCCACCCTTGCCGAACTTGGCTGGTATTATGGAGTTATATTTTGGCTGGACTGATGAGTCAATGCATAGTCCAATCAAAATCGCGCAACAAAATCAAAATCCGGTTCGTAAACTGTAATACAGATTTCGGTCGATTACAGGATTTGCAAAGCATGTGCACTGCCAACTCGTTGTCAACAGATATTTTCCAAATTTCATGTTTTTAATCAAGGTGCTCACATAACTGGATGCACTTCGCGATGTAAGACCTGTTTTATCACAATGTAGATCTTGATTATCGATCAGATCATCTTGACTGGGCACCGCAATTTTGTTTGAAGAAAATACAAGTGATACTAGTGGAGGAATCTGATTGGTCCACAGGAGAGCCTCAGAAGGGACATAACTTGTAATAGCCACTGGTGGCACTATGATCGAGCCCAGGAATTCCAGCCTAGTTCAGCAAGGATGGAAACTGGACTTTTATAGTCAGTTAACTCCCTTGACTTGTGAAGATGATCTGAACCAGACAAACCAGTTATGGGGTAACAAGTCCGCTGATCACAAGTTTAAATCCCAGAATAGAATCCTTGGTTTGTCTGCACCAGATACATGCCCGTATGTTCCATCAAAGTGGTATTCATGCGTCTCCGACCTGCCGCCCATTAATATGACACTGTGGTATGAGTGAAATACTTTTCAAAATCTCTACTCACACTACAGATTCTGGATCACACTATGGAGAACTTATCACTGTTTCTTATTATATTTTTATCCACTGATAATTGTACAGAATTCATATTCTCAAAACATGGTATTTATACACATGTTTAAGACATATTTTGCTCTTGTTGATGAAATATTTCTTTGTGGTTATTCAGTAAGATGCCTCTCTGTAACCATGGTAACACAAACCAACTATTCTTCATCAACTCCTTCAAATGTCGACTTGATTCGACACCTCAGAGCAAGGATAAAGTCAAATGGTCCCCTCACCGTCGCAGAATATATGAAGGAAGTCCTTACAAACCCTTTGTCAGTAAGTAATGACATGTAGTTGTCATAGCCTTCTGTAAGCTAAATCTGCAATTATAGCATATCATTCTACTGTTACATTCAAATCCATGTTTGCCTTGTTTAAGTCTCTAGGTTTGCCAGCACCATACCCATACACGATATGATTAATACTGAGTTGGCACTGTGTTGTTTTGTATGTTGTTGTGTTTTGTATGTTGTCATGGTGTTGTGTTTTGTATGTTGTCATGGCATTGTTGTGTTGTTTTGTATGTTGTCATGGTGTTGTGTTGTTTTGTATGTTGTCATGGTGTTGTTGTGTTGTTTTGTATGTTGTCATGGCATTGTTGTGTTGTTTTGTATATTGTCATGGTGTTGTTGTGTTGTTTTGTATGTTGTCATGGTGTTGTTGTGTTGTTTTGTATGTTGTCATGGCATTGTTGTTGTGTTTTGTATGTTGTCACTAACACAATATGATTATTAATATATCTTAACACTGAGTTGGCATGGTGTTGTTTTGTATGTTGTCATGGTGTTGTGTTGTTTTGTATGTTGTCACTAACTCGATATGATTATTAATATATCTTAACACTGAGTTGGCATGGTGTTGTTTTGTATGTCGTCATGTCTGTGTCATCATAGAAAGCATATCCATATGAGGAACATACTGGAATGTTAGAAACTCAAGTCTGTTGTATGTGAATCAAGGGACTCTTCAATCTGGAAGTTTAACATAAGGGTTATGACAAGGATCCCTTGACCCCATCCTTAACCAATACATCAAGCACTGGACCCGTGAATATCGGGGTTGAACAGGTCTTCAGCAACCCCTGCTTGCCGTACAAGGCGACTATGCTTGTCATAAGTGGCGACTAACAGGATCCAGTGGTCAGGCTCGCTGACTTCATCGATGTATGTCATCGTATCCCAATTGCATGGATCGATGCTCGTGATGTCAATCACTGGATTGTCTGGTCCAGGTTTGATTATTTACAGACCGCCGTCATATAGCTTGAATATTGTTGAGTGCGGCATTAAACAACAAACAAACAAACACTAAGAAACAAAATGCACTGTGTGTGGATGTTTTGTTGACAATTGTGTTGAATGTTCATCATGTGTGGAATGTATTGTTATCGTCCTACCTTATGAGTTACCCCTTAATCAAGTATAATTATTCCGACACATGAAGATCCGGGTTAGAATAGGTCTTCAGCAACCCTGCTTGCCGTAAAAGGCAACCATGCTTGTCATAAGTGGCGACAAATGGGATCGGGTGGTCAGGCTCGCTGACTTTGTTGATGCATGTCATAGTATCCCAATTGCATGGATCGATGCTCATGATGTCAATCACTGGATTGTCTGGTCCAGATTTGATTATTTACAGACCGCCATCATATAGCTGGAATATTGCTGAGTGAGGCATTAAACAACAAACAAACAAACAATAATTATTCTTCCTTTTTGTGGAACCATGACCAAAATGATGAACTAAGTTACACACCACATTTAGCCATACTGGTACACACCTTGTTTTGTTCTCGCTGGCTTCTAAATCTGCCAGTCCCAGTGCACTGGCAACTCTTAAAATTACCAGTCCAACCCAGTTTTCGTCAGTCCCAACTTGAACAAACAATAACGTATGAAAATTACCTGGGTTTAATTCTTTCAACATCAATTTCAATGCAGTGTACTTTCATGGCTGACAACTTCAATGACATGTTTTCTGAAGTAACGTATTTGGATCTACATGTCATTCACAATAAGTTCAACCACAATTTTCTCTCTCTTTTTTTGTTAATATTTCACTCAGATTCAAAACAAAGTCACTACAAATAGATATTAAACCTCGAAGCAAAGCGAAAAATTATTTCGTTGCACTAAAAATAGACAATGGGAAACCCTGATGATAACAGACTTTGTTTGAAAAAAAGACTTTTTTGACTTTTGACGATGTTTTGTTCAACAACAAAGATTTACAAGATACCTTATTTGCCGGTCCACAGGGATTAGCAGTCACAAGATATACCAGTCCAAGCCGAATTTTACCAGTAAAAAACTGGTAAGCACTGGTAAATGGGAACACTGACCTTGGGTTGATGACTGAAATGTGCATATTGCAGGGCTACTACATGAAGAAAGATGTATTCGGATCTCAAGGGGACTTCACGACATCTCCAGAAATTAGTCAGATGTTTGGAGAGGTAAACCATCTACAGCATCTTTATTGAGGCAATGAATTAATTTCCTCCCAAAAACTGTTTAACATGTTTAGAGTCATGCACGTTTGCTAAAAGTGTACAGATTTCTGAAAATATCCTCCACTGATTGAGTGAGTGAGTGAGTGAGTATGGTTTTACCCCGCTTTTAGCACTGTTCCAGCAATATCACTGCGGGGGACACCAGAAATGGGCTTCACACATTTTACCAATTTTAGGCAATGAATTAATTTCCTCACAAAAACTGTTTGACATGTTTAGAGTCATGCTAGTTTGCTAAACGTGTACAGATTTCTGAAAGTAGCCTCCACTGTTTGGCTGTACAATGATATCAGCATGTATATATTCTGTATTCGACGTAATAAGCGCCCAGGACGCTCTCAAAATTAGAAATAGGGGGCTCTTATTAGAATATTAATTTGGTGAAAAAAAACAGAGATGAAAGATAAATTTCATGGTTTATGCTGACAGCCTGAAATGTTTATGGTATCTTTTTCCAGAATTTTATTGCCCATGATTAAGGGTGCATATAACACACGAGTGCGTATTATACGAGAATAAATAAGTTGTGTACACGGATCAATCGGAAGGGGTGCCAATTGGGATTGTTCACCAGCCAATATATTAGCAAATGTCACCGTGGGCGCTTGTTAGAGCGGGGTGCTTATTACGTCGAATATGGTATTAACTCAATATGCTTACTCAGTATTCACCTGATGAAGGGGCAAGTAGCCCTGAAACCTTGTTACTAAGAATAAAGAAGTTGTTATCCATAAAAAAGTGTCATGTATTAATATTTGAGTGATGAAATGTCACTTGATTGAACATTTTAGGCTAAAAAAAAGAATTGGTACTCAGGCAATGACTTTCGAAAATCTAGTGCGATGTTGTTTTTTGCTTGTTCAAACAAGTATGTAACCATATAAACATATAAACCATCAACCTGGGAAAGGGCCTCCCTACATAAACAAGCAAACAAACTCCTATTGCCGCCATGACCATAACACGAGATGCGCAGTAAAGCAGTGTGCATGTAAAGGGAAGTAACCGCGTGCTATATTGTATCACATTTATTTTTAATATTAGGATTTTTTAATATTTTTTGGAAATGGTAATAAAAATGAAACATGTGGCAGACTTTATGATGATGTGAACGATGCCTGAGAACCAAGACTCAGACTTATTTTTTTTAGCCTTCGGATAAAATATTTTCTGTGTGTAATACCTGTAGCATCTTCCTGAGGCAAGGGAGTTAACTGACTATAAAAGTCTAGTTTCCACCCTTGCCGAACTAGGCTTGTATTATGGAGTTAGATTTTGGCTAGACTAACGAGTCTAAGCATAGTCCAATCAAAATCGCGCAATGAAATCGAAATTCTAAACTGTCATGCAAATTTCGGTTGCAGGATTTGCAAAGCATGTGCACCACCTACTCCTTGTCAACAGATATTTTCCAAATCTTTTCATGTTTTTAATCAAGGTGCTCACGTGATTTGATGCACTGTGCGATGTAATACACATTTTATCACAATATAGGTCTTAATTATCAATCAGATCGTCTTCACTTGGCGCCACCATTTTGTTTGAAGCAAATGCAAGTGATATGCGGGTTGGAATCTGATTGGTTGATAGGAGAGGCATAGAAGGGACATAACTGGTAACATCCACTGGAGGCACTACGATCGAGCCCAGGGATTCCAGCCTAGTTCGGCAAGGGTGGAAACTGGACTAATAAAGTCAGTTAACTCTCTTGCCTCGGGGGGGGGGGGGGGGGGGGGGGCACGGGTGGCCCAGTCGTCTAAGGCGCCGCGATTCGCTGTGCAGAGTTGCGTCCCTTGGACAAGCCAGAAACCTATGATTGTGGGTTCGAATCCCGGTTCGGCCCGATTATGTTTCTAGGTTTGTCAGCACCATACACATGCTCGTGGGTTTCACCGAAGTGGTAAACGTCTGAGACCTGCATCACTTCGGGCTTTCCTCCCACATTAAGCTGACACGCCGTGATATAACTGGAATACTGTTAAAAGAGGCGTAAAACCCAACTCACTCACTCACTCACTCTTGCCTCGGGGAGATGAACTCAATTGAGACCAAGGCTATAACCTATAATGAGAGGATAAGAGTAAAAACATTTGCCTACCAATCTGAACTTTAGCAATCTAATTAAAATCAGACCTTAGTTCTCGCTACCGCTAAACAAAGATCTGAAGACATCCCATTACGGGTCAGGTCAGAACGACCTTTCATCAGACCAATCAGAGCGTCACTTACCAGATCAAGAAAGTGACAGTCGGAATGTCATTTCTATCCATGCATCCTTGAAAACTTTAACATTGGGTATTACGGGTTTAACGACTGAATCCATACAATTTGGACCATCTAATGTTCTTTTGTTCAGGTTCTGAAGACATCCCATTACGGGTCACGTCAGAAAGGCCTTTCATCCGACCAATCAGTACGTCGCTTACCAGATTATGAAAGTGACACTTGGAATGTGATTTCTAGTCATGCAATCTCGAAAACTTTAACATGGAATCTTCCGAACGATTGTTACGGGTTTAACGACTGAATCCTTACAATCTAGACCATCTATTAGCCATTCCAGAATGTTCTTTTGTTCAGGTTTCAAATTTGTAATCGAGAATTTGTCAAAATATGTTTCGAAGCGCAGTCGCCAATTTGAAATTTGTGCCGTAAAGCATGAGAAAGCTGCCTTCTGATTGGTGATTCCATTGGTCGGTCAAAGTTCGCGCAAGGTCGGCCTGACGTGACCCGTAATGGGATGTCCTCAGATCTTTGTTTAGCGGAAGTGAGAACAAAGATCTGATTTTAATGAAATTGGAACTTTAGGAATGATATGTTGATGTTAATAATAAAACATATGAGATGATATGATATTCCCTATCTGAGATGGTATAACATAGACACTGTGGCTTCTGACTTTAATGATCAGGTGCTAATTTTTATAGACTATGATTGTCGTCTGTTTTGTGATGTTATTTTTGCAGACAGGACTTTAGTTGATACTTGTATCCTTTCAGCTGGTTGGTATTTGGTGCCTGAATGAGTGGATGCATGTCGACTTGACGAAGAAACTACAGGTTGTGGAGCTGGGACCGGGTCGTGGAACTCTAGCAGACGACATGCTGAGGGTCAGTGTTGGTGCTGGGCTGGCTGCAGTTAGGGGGAATTAGTTCATTGACCCGCGAAGATTCGGGTTGGAACTGTTCTTAGCAACCCATGCTTGTTGTAAGAGGTGATTAATAGGGCTGTTACTATTCACTCGCGTATTCGGCGAATCGAACCGTATCCATTCATGAATTGACTTTGTTATTTGTTGCCTCAAATATCGAATATTTATGAATATGCAAGTATGTGCATTTACATACCCTGTACCTAAAAATAGCCATAAGAACATATTATATGCATAGATTTCTTCAAAGACAACGCTCTTATAATATTTAATTTAACAGTATTGGGGTCACTGGTCATTGTTGTATTGAGCAGATACTACTAACTGGATAAGTGCAGTATATAAATGTATAATATATTTATAATTAACAAAACATGTAAAAAAAATTATGTTTATGTTTCACTGAATACAACAAATAATACATCAACTGCTGACTTGTCATTGTATTCGTGAATTAATAATCGTATTCGTTACCCTATATTCGTGATACGAATCGTATTCACCTCATAGTGTATTCGTTGCAGCCCTAGTGATTAACAGGATCAGGTGGTCAGGGTCACCGATTTGGTTGATGCATGTCATCATGTCCCATTTGTGTCAATCGATTTCACAAATGTCAATCACTGTATTGTCTGGTCCAGACTTGATTATTTACAGACCACCATCATATAGCTGGAAGAAACAAAACGGCATATAAAAACCGGTACTTCAAGACGTTCACCTCAGTATCATATATCATGAAGCATATATCAAAATTAAACCATCATCATCATCATATTTGCATCATTATACAACCATTTTGAGATGTGGTCATGCTGCAATTATCACCATGGTAACATATCATAATGAAACCACCACAACCATATTTTGTGTCAGTCAGCATCACATATCATGCTGCAATTATCACCATGGTAACATGTATCATAATGAAACCACCACAACCATATTTTGTGTCAGTCAGCATCACATATCATGCTACAATCATCACCATGGTAACACATCATAATGAAACTACCACAACCATATTTTGTGTCAGTCAGCATCACATATCATGCTACAATCATCACCATGGTAACACATCATAATGAAACCACCACAACCATATTTTGTGTCAGTCAGCATCACATATCATGCTACAATCATCACCATGGTAACACATCATAATGAAACCACCACAACCATATTTTGTGTCAGTCAGCATCACATATCATGCTACAATCATCACCATGGTAACACATCATAATGAAACCACCACAACCATATTTTGTGTCAGTCAGCATCACATATCATGCTACAATCATCACCATGGTAACATGTATCATAATACACAGCTACATTCTTGATCAATATGAATGGGGCCTTAATACCACTTCTCAAGATTTGACTTACTCTCCAATGCCAACCTCGATCAAAATTGGATGATCACTTGACCCATTTAAATTGTCAAGACCAATGTAAATAGGAATGAGGATTGGAGAATGTAATATTGCTTGGAGACCTGAAACTTGTAGCTTTAGCAATGAAGTATTTATTTGAGTACTTATCAATGAGAATGTCTATGAGGGCTTTCACATCCAATTGCAGGAAAGAATGTTCTTTCCTTCAGGTTTCAAATTTTTTTATCGAGAATTTCACAAAATATGTTTCGAAGCGTAGTCGCCAATTTGAAATTAGTGCCGTAAAGCACGAGTAAGCTGCCTTCTGATTGGCTAATGTCAACTTCTTGTCAGTCATTCCATTGGTCGATCAGAGTTCGCGCAAGGTCGGTCTGACATGACCCCTGATGAGATGTCCTCAGATCTTTGTTTTTATGAGATTGGCATTCTTGTAACATTTGGTTCAATAATTTAAAACGTCTTAGTCATGTTAGATCATGTTGAAATCTTTTATCAACACCATCTTCAAAATGCAATTACTGCCATGGGTTTGAACTTACACATTTTATTCTTGTAGGCAATTTCCCGATTTTCCGATGTAAGAGACAGCGTATCATTACATTTGGTAGAAGTAAGTCCAGCGCTGAGTGACATACAAGAATCCAAGTTGTCAGGGAAGCAACTAGATCAGATCAAAGCAGAGTCAGCCACCAAATCCACAGAAGCAGTCTCAGAAGGTGGCCATTATAAACAGTGCATCTCCAAATATGGTCAGCCTGTGTTCTGGTACCAGAGCCTGCAAGATGTTCCTCATGGCCTCTCGTGCTTCATCGCTCACGAGTTCCTGGATGCTCTTCCCATATACAAGTTTCAGGTAGGAGTGAGTGAGTATCGTTTTACGCCGCTTTTAGCAATATTCAAGCAATATCAGGGCGGGGGACACCAGAAATGGGCTTCACACATTTTACCCATGTCGGGAACCGAACCCGGGTCTTCGGCGTGACGAGCGAACGCTTTAACCACTAGGCTACCCGACCGGAATTTTTCCACTTTTATTAACTCGTGTTGATATATTTGATATCAAAAGATACTCGGGTGAGATTCTCTATGTGTACACCAGGTTTCTGTGAATACCTATTGTGAGAACCTATTTGTGGTATAATAGCGATGTGTCTCTAATTGTGTATGAACTGATATTAAGAGTTGTCATTGATGTACTAACATTGGGTCATGAACAATGGTGATGCATCGGTGACACCCCAGGTTTAACTTTTCTTCCTTTTCTATTACTGATCTGAGGGGTACAGCTGTTTTGGTCCAGATAAAAGCATCCTGTAAGAGAAACCCCCCAACGTAAGACTTATTGTCAGTTGTGAAACATCGGGAAGTTTCCCAGTCACAAATGTTCAACATGATAGCAAATGTATGCAGGTGTGTGCCTGAATTATCACGCACACTTTATGAATCTACTATGTTCTTGAAAAATATGTGCATGGGAGAAATTTACTGTAAAAAGCAGTTTAGTTTACACAAATTACACATATTTTCTTTGCTGACGTTTAGTTAATTTGATTACCAATTATTTTATGTCATTTGGTAATAAGTACAATTTTCATTGAGTGTTATCAATATTTTTCCATATTTTCGATACATGATATACGAGAGACGTTTTCATGGCAATCCATTTACAGGCCTATAAGTGAGCTTATTTCAGGCCGTCATTTGAACGGTGACCTGTCTTGTGTCTGTGTTACCGCCTCTGCTGATCCTATGCAATGTGATGTCTACTTCAGAAGACAGATCGGGGGTGGTGTGAGGTGATGGTTAGCTTTGATGATGACAACAACTGTTTCAAGTTCGTGCTGTCTCCGGGGGCAACAGTAGCATCCACTGCCTTCCTACAGGTAGGTCAACTGTATTGGACAGAGGACTGTACAAGGGTACAGTCAACTCTCACCACGTACAACCTTGTGACTAATGACCAGTTATGATAACAGAATGAGAAGATATTTGTTGGGTTCTGACAGTCTTGTAATAATGACATGTGACTACTGGTGACGAGAATTTGTAATCCAGTGTATGTGAACATGTTTGTTTGGGATGAGGAGGTTGGAAAGACTAGAGTTTCATGAATATCAAACAGGTGGATACTTTTCATCTGTTGATGAAGACAGGGCTGACTTATGGTTTTCAACTTCTTTCGATCAATGCCTCGTTTCAGTACAGATGCTAGTACCTTTGTTAAGCGAGTGCTTGATGAAGGTACAAGTACCTCTACGGTAACATCACATTGAGGGAATATCATTGAGGGAAGTCCTGTGTTGATTTATACTGCAACTTCTGAATGCCACATAAAGATATTTGACACTTTTCGTCCCTGTATGTCGTGAGAGCAGCATACATACTAGTGTACATATATGGATATCCACCTTGGAAGGAGTGCATGAGTTGGAATTTCTGCCATCTCAGCACTATCCCTGATCTATGGCATGACAAGAGTGAGTGAGTGAGTGAGTGAGTTGGGTTTAACGCCGCTTTGAACAGTATTCCAGTTATATCACGGAGTGTCAGCTTAATGTGGGAGGAAAGCCCGAAGTGATGCAGGTGTCAGACATTTACCACTTCGGTGAAACCCACGAGCATGGGTATGGTGCTGACAAACCTAGAAACATAATCGGGGCGAACTGGGATTCGAACCCACAATCATAGGTTTCTGGGACCCAAGGGACGCAACACTTCACACAAAATCGCGGCGCTTTAGACGACTGGGCCACCTGGGCCCCTGGCGTGACAAGACAACACTTGCACACCTAGGCTTCCCCATCACCAGATCCACATTTTGCAAAACATTAGACCATCATAACACTACGAGATAGCTAAAAGTGAAATGAGCTAGTTAGACATCTGAGGCTGTTGATAATTTGCTCCAAGATGACAATGTTGTGACATGAAGTAGATTTTTTAAAAAAGCGTTTTCTTAGTTTTAGCATCATCACAACTTGGCAAGTCCATGGCATAAAGGGGTATATAAGATAGCTATGCGATAAAAAGCAAAGAACAATGAAGAACAAATTGTGTATTATTTAATGATAAAATATTGTTCTATCATGATGTCATTTCTGGAGATTTGAACATGCGTTCGCGGCTTGTTGACCTCGAAAATGGGACGACGTTATTTAGAGGGAAGTGTCTAGTGAGTTGTTCCCCATGGACGTAGCTGGAGGCGTAGATAAATGCAATGGTCAAAGGTCACATCCTACAGGGGGAAGAGATGTGACAATCGCTTATTGGGAGAAAAGGTACAGATAATCGACGTAAAAGTTGTGAGAATATCCGGGAAATACCGAACTTAATACCCCTGTTCATAAAATGGACATATCCAACATTGCCCTGGTCGGATTCTATTCAGGGAGTCATCATTATTAAAATACGGGTAAATATTTTTAAAGCTTGTACATTTCATCATCATCCTTAAAGATGCTGTACAAAATGTTGATATCTCATGTAGGAAATAAACGACTTGTGGTCATTGTTTTCAGTACAATAAAACACAGGAAGAATATACCATGGAGGAGTTATTGTACGATAAACAACTTCCACTCAGTATTTATTTCTTAAATATACAAGACTTGTGAAGTGTTGACAATGAGTTCACTGAGGAAGGTATGAAGTATAACATTGCACCTTATTGTCTGGTGTATCTGTTCTGTGACAGGTGGCTCCTGGCGAGACTCGAGACCACATAGAAGTATGTCCAGATGCTGGCCAGATTGTTCAGGAGCTGTGTAAAAGAATTCTGTCTCATCAAGGATTTGCCCTCCTTGCGGACTACGGCCACAGTGCAGAGAAGACCGACACATTTAGAGTGAGTTTTCCTGCATCATGGCTTTGTGTTCTGTCTTTCAACTTGTTAGAAATGATTTCAGTCAATCACCATGTGAACAAGGGGAGATAACTTGCTATCAGTGCATTCATTTACCTTGTTTGTTTGGTTGGTTTGTCGTTTAACGGTGCGCTCAGCAATATTCCATCTATATGACGATGGTCTGTAAATAATCGAGTCTGGACCAGAAAATCCAGTGATTAATATCATGAGCATCGATCCACGCAATTGGGATTGATGACATGCCTCAAACCAAGTCAGCGAGCCTGACCACCCGATCCCATTAGTGACCTCTTACGACAAGCCTAGTCACCTTTTGCATCAAACATGGGTTGCTGAAGACCTATTCTTCCCCGAATCTTAACGGATTTACCTTGCAGCCATGGAACATTCTGCATGACGCTTGGTCTCCTGTTCAATGGGAAGTCACCCCTAAGTGCTACCACACACCATCCTGTCTATATAGTAATTATTCATTATCATTATTGAGCAGAATGAATTTTTTCCATCAACAGGCCTTCAAGAGCCACCAACTTCATGATGTACTTGTTGACCCCGGAACAGCTGATCTGACCGCTGATGTAGATTTCACCTATTTAAGAAACAAGACTGAGCCCACAGGTGGGTTGAATACATCTGAATATAATCAATTTGGATAATTGTACTAATAGTCTGAAAGTAATTTCATAATGGAATTGACATCATTGTTGATTGTTAATGTTATGCAATATATTTGGTATAGCTTAGAGACAGTTGAACAGTTGTCATGGTATATGTGTTTGTCTAGCCGTAAAGGTTAATACGTGACCTCCAAAGTACTTGTCCTTAATGTGAAGTTTCAATATATGAATGTCTTGCGATATAAAGCACACCCCCGATTAGTCCAAAATCTATATTTGTTTCAGCTGGCACTAGGAGTTAAGATTATATTGTTTTTATCCTGTCACACATGACATATCAGATTGTTTCTTTATTTATATACGTATGTCTTAACATGCCATAAATCATAGTCTGGTCAGTGGTTCCGACGTGTCATGTGTTATTATTATTATATTATACATTTATATACCACAGGTATCCAGGTACTGGTATCTGCTCAAATGCGGTTTTATTGTTCCGACCAGTAGATCCGTTTGCATTCCAGTTATTATTCTCAACTTCCTTGGAAGTATCACATGTTTACCTGTAATTATTTCAGTTTCATCATATGGGCCTTTGACACAGCAAGAATTTCTGCACAATATGGGAATTGGCGTTCGCCTCCAGGTTTGTTCCAAATAGCAAATGTGAAATAAGTCTTCCGGACAATTCATTAATCATGAGCTACATCGATGGAGTGAGGCTACAAGGTCATATACTTCATCAATCTGATCATGGATATTCAATTGGCACATTTACTGGTAACTTCTCAGGGGCAATTTAAAAAATCTTTTTGTCTGCAAAAAATTATTTCCCGAGGCAAGGGCGTTAACTGACTACAAAAGTCCAGTTTCCACCCTTGCCGAACTAGGCTGGAATTCCCAGGGTCGATCGCAGCGCTACTAGTGGCTATTTTGTGTTATGTACCTTCTGTGTTCCTCCTATTGATCAATCAGATTCCATCTCTCATATCACTTGGATTTGCTTCAAACAAAATCGTGGCGATAATCAAGATCTATTGTGTAATAAAATGGGTCTTACCCCACGAAGTGCATCAAATCACTTGAGCACCTTGATTAAAAACATGAAACAATTTGCAAAATATGTGTCAACGCCCATTTGGCGGTACACATGCTTTGCAAACTCTGCAGTCATCCAAAATCTGTACGTTGAAATCCATGTTGTTTACGACCCGGATGTTTTGTTCGTTACATGATTTTGATTAGGCTTTGCATAGGCTCATTAGTCCAGCCAAAATGTAACTCCAGAATTCCAGCCTAATTCGACAAGGGTGGAAACTGGACTTTAATAGTCAGTTAATGCCCTTGCCATAGGAAGATGGCAAAAGTTACAAGTTAATTTGTTTTTTCTATTCTCACTTTGATAAAAAATATCTGAAGAAAAAAATAATCAAATTGCTGTGTCTTCAGGCATTATAATTACTCTTGTAACAGTTTCTTATTAATGAACGACGATTTTACGAATTGTTTACCCTAAAAAATATTTAAAGTAAAAAAGAAAACTTCTTTAAATCTGCAGAAAACAAACGTACGTTTGCTTACACTAGGATAAAGTGCAAGACTGAAGACGATGCAAGCATAACCATCACTTCATACATGGCAACATATTTTGTAACTTTCTGAAAAACAACTATTTTTTACATTTTATTTCCCACTACAAGGAGTTTTTACAAGTCCAGAATACCAAGAAATAAAAAGGTTTTGCATAAAGGTTAAATGAGTAAGTGAGTATGGTTTTACGCCGCTTTTAGCAATATTCCAGCAATATCACGGCAGGGGACACCAGAAATGGGCTTCACACATTGTACCCATGTCGTGAATCGAACCCGGGTCTTTGGTGTGACGAGCGAACGCTTTAACCACTAGGCTACCCGACCGCCCCCCATAAAGGTTAAAACCCTCATGACCCGGTTGAATGGGAAACGTTTTCTAACTGCAGGTTCTTCTTGAGAAAGCCGACCAAGAAACTTGGAAAGACCTGATATCTGGTTATGATATGCTGACAAACCCAAAGAAGATGGGAGAAAGGTTTAAGTTCTTAGCTTTAATGAATCCTAGACTAAAAGACTATATACCTGCAGGCTTTGTAACACCTGAGGCCTTGAAACAATCCCAATAAAAAAAATTCACCATTGTTTATTGTTAATTGATTTGAACTACACGCTGATGGCGATACCGAGGGTGATGTGTCAAAGGAAAAATAATCTTGAACTGAGTGAGTGTATTTTGTTTTAAAGCTGCAGTCAACACTGTTACAACTATAGTGACTGAGTCTGGGTCAGACAAACAAGTGGTTGATAGCAAGAGCACTGATCTGTTTTGTCATGGATCTAGGACCTATCAGAAACTGAAACTACCTGAAAAACAAGTGGTTGATAGCAAGAGCACTGATCTGTGTTGTCATGGAACAAGGACCTATCAGAAACTGAAACTACCTGAAAACCAAGTGGTTGATAGCAAGAGCACTGATCTGTGTTGTCATGGAACAAGGACCTATCAGAAACTGAAACTACCTGAAAAACAAGTGGTTGATAGCAAGAGCACTGATCTGTGTTGTCATTGAACAAGGACCTATCAGAAACTGAAACTACCTGAAAAACAAGTGGTTGATAGCAAGAGCACTGATCCGTGTTGTCGTGGATCTAGGACCTATCAGAAACTGAAACTACCTGAAAAACAAGTGGTTGATAGCAAGAGCACTGATCTGTGTTGTCATGGATCTAGGACCTATCAGAAACTGAAACTACCTGAAAAACAAGTGGTTGATAGCAAGAGCACTGATCTGTGTTGTCATGGATCTAGGACCTATCAGAAACTGAAACTACCTGAAAAACAAGTGGTTGATAGCAAGAGCACCGATCTGTGTTGTCATTGAATGAGGACCAATTAGAACACTGTTACCACCTGACAACCAAGTGGTTGATAGCAAGAGCACCGATCTGTGTTGTCATTGAATGAGGACCAATTAGAACACTGTTACCACCTGACAAACAAGTGGTTGATAGCGGCATTAAACAACAAACAAAGTCTACATATCTAGATAAACAAATGTCATTGAATTCTTAACTTTAATTAGAAAATATCCCAATATCATATCTATATAATAATGCTAAACAATATGTAAAGTTCCCCCAAATACTTGCATTAGTCTGCTCTGTTCTGATTTCAGAAAAAGCGTGTTTGTTCACAAACAAGAAAAAAGTCCGGTCACATATGCAAATTAGCCTGTGCGCCGGAGTGTGGTCTAATTTGTGTAACTTAAAAGAACTATAGGTCATCAGCATCAGAAAGATGGACTGTAAAGGTAGTTAACCTGTATATAGTACAAATCACATAGGAAAAGCATTGTCAATGGAAACATGTTTCTACAATCTAGATTTTTCAAACTCCTGGCCTTCTCATGCTACCATGGTACGATTAGCAATAACCGAACAATATCATGGTTGAGGACACCAGAAATAGGGGAATCAAACACGGATCATCGGCATGAAGAGTGAACGCTTTAACCACATAGCTACCCCACCACCCTCTTCAGAGAAACCACTTGTTGATCATGAAAAGAAAAAGTTGATGGAGGTCTGACTCCAAGCTATTACAATAATGGAAACAAAGTTCACTTGTTTTTTTAAATAATTTATTATAAATATTGTAAATGATATGAACATGAACAATGACAAACTGTTACAAATGCGAAATATATGAAAATGAACAATTATGCGACAATGTTTTAGAACATATCGATGCAATTTTTCTAGTAAGGAAAGCTTGAACTTGCTCCTTTCAAATCTCACTGACACTGTCTGTCCATGAATTGTCTTGACAAATTTAAATATTCTATATGTGAGTGGATTTGTTTCTTCAAGAATCAAAATGCTCCAGTGCTGACATATTTGATGGTTAAAAAATATATATTATGAAACAAACATACGGTACTGTATATATGTGATATATGCTACACAACTCTTGCAAAGGATAAACACTTGATGAAGGAATGAGACAAACTTTAGTTCATGATCAAAGTCAAAACTTGATCAAATAGCCATGAAACATTCTTGATCACTTTTCATAATCTGTCAGTCATGAAAGAAAAAAAATCAAAGTTATTCCAATTAGGCTAAAAAAGTAATAGTCTTGGTTCTCAGGCACTGCCCACATCATCATAAAGTTCACTGTACGTTTCGTTTTTGTTTCCATTTTCAATTTTTTTGTGCATTGTGTTAAAGTTTTAGGATTTTTATATGTTTTTGAAAATGGAAATATTAACAAAACAGGCCGCAGACTTTTTGATGATGTGGGTGGTGCCTGAGAACCAAGACTGTCTTTTTTTTAGCCTTATCCAGTGTTTATAATATCTGCATTATGATCAATACCCTTGCCCAATTTGCTACGATTGCTTCATTTAGGCCGAGACCTCACTAAGCCCATCTCCTGTATCAGTTACTTTCGTATGATGCTTCAACAATTCCCCCAGATTATTTGCTTTGACTGACATTCCTTGCAAAAGTTGAACAGTACATCACATTTATTTATGAACTATTTGCATACACATATTTACATCATTTGGAACTATACAAGTAGAATTTACATGGACGGACAATTTAAAACTTGAAATTATCTCAACATTCGATTCCAAATTTATCAAAGTTTCTCAGAATGATCCCAAGTCGTAAGTGAACCTTTCCCATGGCCACAGTGTGCAACTTGTATCTCTGAGCCCCACTGTAGACAAGATCTGGGTTCTTCAACTGTGGCCCTCCCCCGAGGAAGCATTGAGACACGCCCTCCAGGAATGACCCTGAGGGTCGCCATGTGGGACAGTCTAATTCATGGTTGCCAGGGGAGGTAGGTATGTGACAGAAACCATAGCCATACAGCTCGTTTCTACCAAAACTATCCTGATGCCACACCTGGAAGTGAACTTTTGGCCAACCTGTGAAAAATAAACAGTTATGGTTATTACCTGTGCTATTAATAATATTTTGTTTGTTGTTTAACGCTGCACTATTCCAGCTATGTACAGAGTCTATAAATAATAAAGTCTGGAGTGACATCCAGAGACTCAGAGAAGAGCATCAATAACAAAATTTGGATACCATGACATGCATCAACCAAGTCAGCAAGTCTGATCACCCGATCCCATTGGTTGCCTCTTACACCAAGCATGGGTTGCTGAAGACCAGTTGTAACCCAGATCTTCACAGTGAATGAAACATGTGAAATCAAGTGCAAAAAATGACTGTTAATGAATGATTTGATAAATTTCAATCTCATTAAAATCAGATCTAAGTTCTGGCTGCCGCTAAACAAAGATCTGAGGACATCCCATTATGGGTCACGTCAGACCGACCTTGCGCGAACTTTGACCAACCAATGGAATGACCAATCAGAAGGCAGCTTTCTCGTGCTTTACGGCACTAATTTCAAATTGGAGACGGTGCTTCGAAACATATTTTGACAAATTCTAGATTAAAAATTTGAAACCTGAACAAAAGAACATTAGATGGTCCAAATTGTATGGATTCAGTCGTTAAACCCGTAATGTTAAAGTTTTCAAGGATGCATGGATAGAAATCACATTCCGACTGTCACTTTCTTGATCTGGTAAGTGACGCTCTGATTGGTCGGATGAAAGGTCATTCTGACGTGACCCGTAATGGGATGTCCTCAGATCTTTGTTTAGCGATAGCGAGAACTAAGATTTGATGTTAATGAGATTGAATAAATTTAAGTGCAATAAATTAAGGGTTGTCTTCGGGTCTTCGAGCATGTTGAGGTTACGTGCTGTACTATTTGAACTACTCATATACATAATTTTATTAAGATACCTAACAAAGGAAAAACACTTGACTTAAAGATTATTTGCTCTATTCCACTATACATTATCATGATTATCGGTGGAGCTAAATTGCTTATACCATGTATTTCCTCATTGTTTTTGTAACAGAAGAACCAAATGTAAAACTGATTTTTAAAAATGTAAAAAGTGAATAAAATGGACCTTGAATGCCTTTGGTTGCAAAATGAATATCGATTGGGTGACTCCAATAAGCTGTGTCGTGATTTTGGGGGTTGTCCACTTGGGTCTGTCCTTCACGGAGACCAGCCAAAACTTTCCATGCACCACCTGTTCAAAGAATAGCAAACACTGTCAAAGTTAGAATAAGTGCACTGGTGAACTAGTGCTCAGACGTACTGAGGTGGTGAGACCGCCTCCGTGGTCTTGTGGTAGAGCGTCCGCCCAGAGAGCGGAAGGTCAATAGCCAGCCCTAATGAATACCCCACTCAGACAATCTACTGACTCCAAGCAGACCAGTTTTAGCCCCTTAATGATTAGCGCCAGAGCGGTACCATAACATCAAGTACCATATTATAACATCTTTTGGTATGACACAGCCGGGGATTGAACCCCCAACCCTCCGCTCTCTGAGCAGACGCTTTACCAAAAGACCATGTAGGCCACAGAGGCGATCTGAAGAAATACCGAATAGTAAGTACTGTTGTTGTTGGTTTGTTGTTTCATGCCGCACGCAGCAATATTCCAGCTATATGACGGCGGTCAGTAAATAATCGAGTCTGGACCAGACAATCCAGTGATTAATACCATGAGCATCGATCCACGCAATTGGGATATGATGACATGCATCAACCAAATCAGCGAGTCTGGCCACCCGATCTCGTTAGTCGCCTCTTATGACAAGCATAGTCACCTTTTAAGGCAAGCATGGGTTGATGAAGACCTATTCTACCCCGGATCTTCATGGGTCAGTGAGTACTGGGTGTAATGAGAGGGTGTTGTTGTGTGTGTGCATTTCATACTGCTTTGAACAGTATCTCGTGTCAGCTCAATGTGAGAGGATCCTGGCATGCCCAAGGGAAGCAACTTTTTCACTTCGAAAAATTTCACAAGATGACTTCAAAGGCAATGATAACTGTCACTAACAAAAGAGGTTCAATTTACCTGTATGAATACCCCATTTACAAAACAGACTATTGTCAGGAAATCCACTTGCACCAACAATCTGTCCAACCACATGAACTTCCGCCATCTGAAAGTCACAAATATCATTGGTGAAGATTACTTCAACATAAGTTCAATATGCATCTTAATAAATAATTCTGTGAAGAGGCGTACGGGTCTGTGGGTACAGACGCTGATATTTAACTTTAGATGACCTGTACACCAGCACTGAACACAGATTTGGATACAATAGTAAACTGTATGCCAGATAAAAATGCACCTCAGCAAAACGTCACCGATTTCTCAGGCGAAAACGGAGCCTCTACTTTTAATAACAATAAGAATGATTTATGTAGTAGTATATATGCTTTATTTACATGTTTAATATATATAGTATACATGTAGTCCAATTTCTTGACTCAGTTTCAACTTGACATTGAGTTAATTTGGGTAAAGGTACTTAAAACTTCAACATTGTTCAAAACATGTGATGTTTCAACGATAAGTTTAGTTGCGCCCCCAGTCAATGAATAAATTGGAGTAGAGGCTTATTTCTAACGTAAACTTGTTTTAAGGCGATTAACATTTCACTATTATTTAAGTTAGCAATTGACAATGTGAGTTTAATTTCATTTTATTTTACTTCAAAGCATGTAATGTTTTCACAATAAGTTTAGTTGCGCCTCCAAATCAGATTTGGCGAGTAGAGGCTAGTTTCTAACGTAAACTTTTTTTTAACAATTCACAATTATTTGTTTGCAAGTGACCATGTGAGTTTAATTTCATGTATTTCAGTACCAAGGTGAAAATATTAAAAAGGCGACGTTTTCACTCGGTGCCGTTTTAACTATAACTCTCAACATGTATATCCAACTTAATTTATAAGATACTTGCATATCATTCAATTGGAGAAAAGACAGACCTCCTGTTTTAGGAAGCTGACGGGTGATTAGAACACATTTAATATGACCAGGCCTTAATGTAGCGATGACATAACAAACGACAGTGACCAGCGGATGTCTGAAATTACTAAGCTAAAAAATTAGCATTTCTGGTTTCTTTGCTAAAAGTACAAAATGAAGATCATGACTGTTTATGTAAACTACCAGAACACCAGTAAGATCAGTTCTATCAAAATGTAAGGCCCCCATTTTGAGAAATGTTTATTCGATATAGGCCTAGATAGGAATAAAATGTGCATATGTAGCAAGAATGAAAACGAGAATACATGCCTGGACATGGTCACTGAACCGAAGTCACGTTTGGAAGCATATTTAATTTTTTTTAAACCCACGAACCTTTGGTGAGAATCTCTGTCTTTGAACCCAGTTTCTCAACGTAACTGCACACACAATTAGAACTAAACTAATGTCAACACGATTCTAACAATTGTCTTGTTAACAGGTGCTTGGAGATATTATTGTTTATGCCGCCATTTTCCTTGGGAATGTTACCGGAAGTTAGCAATTTCTTTCAAATGTTTCGGAGTTAAATATGAATTTTATATGGGTTAAGTTATAGCGATGACAGTTTTAATAATAAAGATATAGTAATACAATTCTTTTCTCTTCATGCATTTTCGTTTAAGGTTGAGGTGTTTGTCGCGATTAATACGAAAATTCGACTGTGTTGATGTGGGAAGATGGCGGCTTTTCTCAGTGACGAAGAAATTGCAAAGAAGCTGCAAGCAAAAGTAGTTATTTTTCACCGTTTTTCACGAGATTGGGTGTAGTTGATCGTGTATGAGAACGCATATTTACCTCTAGATGTGCACAGTATTGAATGACATGCTGTAAATAATCTTTTTCATTCATATATACGCTCTGGACCTTTGTATTCTGTCTTTTAGTTTTTACTTTCCTATCATTTTCCAGTCAAATTAAAACCAAAATAAACAGGAAAGGGACATTTATTGAGCAGTTAAAGTGTATGTAATTGAAAACAACATAAATGTTATGTAGAAAAAGACATCCGTTGGGGAAAGTGACACAATTTTGGGACAGAACGAGGGAACAGGTACAGGAAATTCTGACTTTCTAATTTACTTTCATGCGTTAAATCATGTTAATCCCTGTTTCAGTTTGATGAAGAGGAATCTGTTAGAATAGATTCAGAAGAAAAAGATAGGACTCTCGCAATGGCATATGCAAAGATACACAGTATATCAGATTCTGATTCGGACGCCACAATAGATCCAGATGATTTGGTGAGAGACAACTCCCCAGACTTGTTTGACGAGGAAGGAGAATGTTCCAAAAAGACCAGCCATCATTCAGGAGATGCACAGAAGAGCAGACATACAGACATGTCAAGCAGTAGGTCTCCCAAATTACTTCATAAAAGAGTGAGCAAGACTCATGATATATCAGACAGTGAATCTGATGAAGATACGAGAAAGATAATACATTCAAGAAAAGATATAGCTTCAAGAACATCAGCACCATCCCCTACCATGAAAAAAAGAAAACTTGAAATTGACCAGCCTTCATCTAACAAAAAGAGAAAAAGCCTCTGTGATTCGGAAAGTATTGACAGTGAAAAAGGTTACAGTATATTTTCCAAATATAAGAGTTCAACTTCAAACAACCTGAAGACAGAAAAATCACAAACTCTGTCTCTTAGTTCTAAACTGGACAGTCCAAAAACATCACGCCCATCTCCTAGTGTGAAGAAAATACCAAGTGTGACTCATGCTTTGTCAGAGAGTGATTCAGACACTGAAGTGAAAGGTGTGATACATGCTTCGGAAACAAAACCAATCCTGAGTTGTTCCAGCCCATCATTTAAAAAATCTAATTCACTTAAATTAGCCAAAGATATATTGTCACAAGATGAGAAGCCCTTGTGTCAATATGGAAAGGAGTGTTTCAGAAGGAACGCATCTCATCAAGCAGAGTTCCGACACTCGGGTAAGAAAATGTTTGTCCTTGATGGTTGCTCATGTCTTCAGTCACTGGTTTGCCTGGTACTGATTAGATTATTCACTGGTAGCTGTGGTATTACTGGAATATTGCTAAATGGCAGATCCAAGTGAAAATTGAAAAATGTAATCCAACCCAACCCCTCTCTTCATTTTTATACCAAAAGCTTATACCGTATTCGACGTAATAAGCGCCCAGGGCGCTCTCAAAAATACAAATAGGGGGCTCTTATTAGAATATGATTTTGGTGAAAAAAATCAGAGTTAAAAGATCTAAGATTTCGTGGTTTATGCTGACAGCCTGAAAGTTTTATATACGACAGATATATTTTTCCAGGACTTCAATGCCCATAATTAAGGGTACATATAGCACACGAGTGCGTATTATACAGGAATAAATAAGTCTTGTGTACATTGATCATTTGGAAGGGGTGCTAATTGAGATTGTTCACTAGCCAATATATTCGCAAATATCGCCGTGGGCGCTTATTAGAGCGGGGCGCTTATTATGTCGAATACGGTATTATATATGCATTTTTTGTTTTGCTTATTCAATATCTCAGGGCAGAGGGGTAGCCCGGTGGTTAAGGCATTTGCTCGTAATGCCGAAGACCCTGGTTCAATTCCCTCACATGACTACAATGTGTCAAGGCCATTTCAGGTGTCCCCCACCATGATATGGATGGAATATTGTTGAAAGCAGCGTTAACCATACTCACTCACTCACTCACTCACTCACTCACTCACTCACTCACTCGCACACTTTTCTTTGTCTCATCAATACTTCAGAATGATCATTTGTAAGGTGCTTTCACCGTTGTCTTCTCAAGCTCCTGAATGATTTCATATTTCTAGATGCTGATAACAGCAATGGTAAAATGAAGAGTCATTTCTCAAAGAAACGTTCTGCTGTGAATGTAAAAAAGACTGGCCAAGACATCTTCAGAGAAAACCAGCCCCTGAGTTTCTACATGACCAAGGTTACAGGCATTGATGACATCTATAATGCATATGGATCCATCAATATTCGAGGTAATTCAACGTTATTGGATACTTCTGAAAGTGAAGAGTATTGCCCCGCAGCATATGGCAGCTGTAATCTTCTGTTCTAAACTGAAGTTTGAAAAAGAAAAATTAGTTTCACTGTTTAAACTAAGGCCTCAACATATTCTATGACTCTGATAATGGACATGATAGGAGGTGAGAATTCTTTGGTTAAAGTTTTATTTTCCCACAGCATGATATATGTTGAATTCATTTCTGACTCTTCCCAAATGTTAATTGAATGCCAGTCTCATTAAAATCAGATCTTAGTTCTTGCTACCGCTAAGGACATCCCATTACGGGTCACGTCAAACCCAACCTTGCGCGAACTTTGACCGACCAATGGAATGACCAATCAGAAGGCATCTTTCTCGTGCTTTACGGCACTAATTTCAAATTGGCGACTATGCTTCGAAACATATTTTGACAAATTCTTGATTACAAATTTGAAACCTGAACAAAAAAACATTCTGGAATGGCTAATAGATGATCTAGATTGTAAGGATTCAGTTGTTAAACCCGTAACTATTGTTTGGAATACTCCATGTTAAAATTTTCGAGATTGCATGATTAGAAATCACATTCCGACTGTCACTTTCATAATCTGGTAAGTGACGCACTAATTGGTTGGATGAAAGGTCGTTGGGATGGGATGTCTTCAGATCTTTGTTTAGCTGCAGCGAGAACTAAGGTCTGATTTTAATGAGATTGATTGAATGCATAACTTGTTTACATTGTTCAATGCTTTTATACATCCGTGTTCCTGTTTACCGGTAATTACCAGTTTTTTACCGGTAAAATTAGCCTTGGACTGGTAATTCATGTGACTTATAAATCTTTGTTGTGATACATGTATTCATATACCAGGTAAGTATATTTTTCAAACAAAGTCAGCTTGTCTTTTACCATTGGGGTTTCCACTTGTCTATTTCTAGGTCAAATATCCATTTGTGGTGACTTTGTCTCGAAATATTAAAAAACAAAGCGAAAATTGTGACTGTGTGAATGATGTATAGATCTTAGTAAGTTACTTCAGAGATGACATCTTTGCACTGAACTTGAAGTTGAAAGAATTATAACCAAATAATTTTCATACGTTTTTTATTTGTTGAAAGTTGGGACTGGCAAAAATTAGGGGGGACTGGTAATTTTTTGAGTTGCCAGTCCACAAGGACTGACAGTTTCAAAAGCCAGTGGGAACACTGATACATTATTAATAATTAAAAAATAATTAATACATGATTAATACATGATTCATCATGTTAATACTGTTGCCTTCATAAGTGTCCTGAAGTTTTCAGTTTTGGTCAAGCTGAGCCAAATTCTCAACTTTGTCTCGAAATATTAAAAAACAAAGTGAAAATTGTGACTGTGTGAATGATGTATAGATCTAAGTAAGTGCACTGAACATGAAGTTGAAAGAATTATAACCAAATAATTTTCATACGTTTTTTATTTGTTGAAAGTTGGGACTGGCAAAAATTAGGGGGGACTGGTAATTTTTTGAGTTGCCAGTCCACAAGGACTGACAGTTTCAAAAGCCAGTGGGAACACTGATACATTATTAATAATTAAAAAATAATTAATACATGATTAATACATGATTCATCATGTTAATCAAGTTAATACTGTTGGCTTCATCATGTTCATAAGTGTCCTGAAGTTTTCATTTTTGGTCAAACTGAGCCAAATTCTCATGTTAATATACTGAATATATCATTGAATCATTCATTATTAATCTCCCTGAATTTGAATGCTTTATTAATCTTAGGGCTTGCCAACTTGTAGCTCACCACTTGACTTTTTTTGGATGTATTTTGCATGTTTAGTACCTTGAATGTGAGTGAGGCAGTGGAGTAGCCTAGTGGTTAAAGAGTTCACCCATCACGCTGAAGGCCCGGGTTCGATTCCTTACATGGGTACAATATGTGAAGCCCATTTCTGGTGTCCCCGCCTTGATATTGCTGGAATATTTCTAAAAGCGGTGTAAAAACATACTCATTCGCTCACTGAATGTATCAATACCAAATACTGTAGTCTGAGTCAACTATCCCACTGCGAGTCATCCATCTTCCCGAGGCAAGAGAGTTAACTGACTATAAAAATCCAGTTTCCACCCTTGCCAAACTAGGCTGGTATTACTGGACTTTTAAAGTCAGTTAACTCCCTTGCTTCAGGAAGATGCGTGTCATCAGGTCCAATGTGTTTGACTTGTAGAGAGATGAAACTTGATCTTGTTTTGAATAAAGTGTGAGGAATGTACATTATTTTCACAGATATCTTGTCGGCAAGCATGGGGAATTTAGAGGCCTCTTGTCAGGTGAGGATCCGCTATGTCAAGCACTACACATGCCCCAAATAATCCAACAACAAAACATGTCTTTTGCAATGAGGCAAAATATTTCGACCCTCTGGCATCGACCCGAGGCAAGAGAGTTAACTGACTTTAAAAGTCCAGTTTCCACCCTTGCAGAACTAGGCTGGAATTCCTGGGCTCTATCGTAGCGCCACCAGTGGCTATTACCAGTAATGTCCCTTCTAAGCCTTTCCTATGGACCAATCAGATTCCACCTTTTGTATCACTTGCATTTTCTTCAAACAAAATGGCGGCGCCACGTCAGGACGATCTGCTCGATAATCAAGATCTATATTGTGATAAAACGGATCTTACATTGTGAAATGCATCAAATCACGCTAGGACCTTGATTAAAAACATGAAAAGATTTTGAACATATCTTTTGACAACGAGTTGGCGGTGCACATGCTTTGCAAATCCTGCAATCGACCGAAATCTGCATGACCGTTGACGAACCGGATTTCGATTCCGTTGCGCGATTTTGATTGGACTATGCATAGACTCATTAGTCCAGCCAAATTGTAACTCCATAATACCAGCCTAGTTTGGCAAGGGTGGAAACTGGACTTTTATAGTCAGTTAACTCACTTGCCTCGGGAAGATGACCCTGTGGTTGCATTTTTGAACACTAGAGAAAGAAATATGGAAAAGAGAATTGAGGTAATCTTGTGGTTCAAATGATGGCTGGTCATGCTGAAGACCCAGGTTTCAATGTGTGAAACCCATTCCTTGTGTCCCCGCCCCTCTCATTAAAAAAGAATAACCCACCACACCAATTTTTCAAATGGCATTGGTCAATAACTTTTTGGTGGTTTTATTGGTATTCCAAGTGAAAATCATTTGTATCTTTCTGCTGAATGAGTTATTCTCTTTTCAGTTCAACTTTATGTTTGAAGTGGATTGGATTATGAGCCAGTACCCTGCTGAATTTAGGTGAGTGTTTTAAGGAAAATGTCAGCTTTGAACATATTAACTTACATCAGACAACAGGATGACACATGTATTGCTTGTTTGTTTGTTGTTTAACACCGCACCCAGCAATATTTCATCTATAAGATGGCAGTCTGTAAATATTTGAGTCTGGACCGGACTATCCAGTGATTGATATCATGAGCATCGATCAATCTCATTAAAATCAAATCTTATTTCCTGCTACCGCTAAACAAAGATCTGAGGACATCCCATTAAGGGTCATGTCAGACCGACCTTGCACGAACTTTGACCGACCAATGGAATGACCAATCAGAAGGCAGCTTTCTCATGCTTATGGCACTAATTTCAAATTGGCGACTATGCTTCGAAACATATTTTGACAAATTCTTGATTACAAATTTGAAACCTGAACAAAAAAACATTCTGGAATGGCTAATAGATGATCTAGATTGTATGGATACAGTCGTTAAACCCGTAACTATCGTTCAGAGTTAAAGTTTTTGAGGCTGCATGATCAGAAATCACATTCCGACTGTCACTTTCATAATCTGGTAAGCGATACTCTGATTGGGCGGATGAAAGGTCGTTCTGACATGACCCGTAATGGGATGTCCTCAGATCTTTGTTTTGCGGTAGCGAGAACTGAGTTCTGATTTTAATGAGATTGGAGCATCGATCCTCGCAATTGGGATACAATGACATGCATCAACCAAGTCAACAAGCCTGACCACCTGATTCCGTTAGTCACCTGTTACGACAAGCATGGGTTGCTGAAGACCAATTTTCTACCCAGATCTTCATGGGGCAACACATGTATTGAATTGTACTATGTGAGTGACTCTAGTCTGGACTGTAGAAAAAGCTGAATACAGTTTTAATAACCATTAACACTCAGTAAAAGTCAACAATTGCTTTGCATTTTTCTTTGAAACCTTTGTGTTTCATAACTAGGCAGAGAATTAAGAAACAAGTGAAAAAATGGACTTGTTTTGTGAAATGTAGGTGCACTGAAGACCTGTGAATATTCCTGGGTAGAATAGGTCTTCAGCAACCCATGCTTGCAGTAAAAAGGTGACTATGCTTGTCGTAAAGGCGACTAACGGGATCAGGTGGTCAGGCTGACTTGGTTGATGCATGTCATCGTATCCCAATTGCGTGGATCGATGCTCATGACATCAATCACTGGATTGTCTGGTCCAGACTCGATTATTTACAGACCGCCGTCATATAGCTGGAATATTGCTGAGTGCGGCGTTAAACAACAAACAAACAAACATTTGTCTGAAAGGAGAAGTAGCAAAGAGAAAGACCCACACCCTATGACACTTGTAATTTCCTTGTGAGTTAATACTATGAAACGTTTGTCTAATGCGAGAGGTTGACTTGCATGTTATGTTGTGTCCAGGAAGAAGCCATTGACCCTGGTACATGGAGAACAGAGAGGAGGGTTGGCCACACTCCTGGCAAACACAGCTCCGTACCCCAACATCACCTGCTGCCAGGTGAGCCAGGTGTCACAGCACTTATCACACCACTCCATACACCAATAATAGCTGTCAGTTTATTTTTATTCTCACACCCATCCCCACCCAGCCCAGCCCAGCCCAGCCCAGCCCAAACCCAAACCCCAACCAACCCCAACCCAAACCCAAACCCAAACCCAAACCCAAACCCAAACCCAAACCCAACCCACCCAACCCACCCAACCCACCCAACCCCAAACCCAAACCCAAACCCAAACCCAAACCCAAACCCAAACCCAACCCACCCAACCCCAACCCCAACCCCAACCCCACCCAACCCCACCCAACCAAAACCAAAACCAAAACCAAAACCAAAACCAAAAGGCATCTAATGCTTATTGGGCCAAACCATTACAATTGCTTGTTTTACCGAGTTTCTAGTCAGGGCACAGCATGCACAGGAGATAAAGGAATTATAAAGAATATTGTCTGGTCCATTTGAGATTAAGTTGCTAAAAATACAGAAAAGAAAAGAAATAAAGAATTTAAGGAGGCTTGTCCACAAAGCCAGAAAACAAAATGCTTGGCCTTTGTACTTCTTTTGGTTTTGTAGGCTATGTAAATTGTTTGATGTTTGATTGTACTGTTGATTTTTGTCTTATACTTTTTCAGGCCAAACTGGATATAATGTATGGCACACATCACACGTAAGCCATAATTTCTTTCATGTTACATTTGGTGTGTAGTTTACTAAGTCTAGTGGTTAAAGCATTGCCTCGGCATGCTGAAGAACTGGTGATTCCCAACATGGGTACTATGTGTAAAGCCCAATTCTGGAGTCTCCAGTCGTATGGCTGGAATATTCCTTAGAGCATTGTTAACCATATACATTCACTTACTCATTGTTCATGAAAGGACCTGTAGAGGTTAGCAGACGAGTGTTTTGAGATGGTAGATATTCTGTAGTAGAAATAAACATTGTATTTAGCAAGCCTTAGCAAAAAAAAACAGACATTAGTGAGTGAGTGAGTGAGTTGGGTTTAACACCACTTTTAACAGTATTCCAGTTATATCGCGGCGTGTCAGCTTAATGTGTGAGGAAAGCCTGAAGTGATGCAGGTCTCAGACGTTTACCACTTCGGTGAAACCCACAAGCACGGGTATGGTGCTGACAAACCTAGAAACATATTCAGCATGATCAGGGCAAACCGGGATTCAAACCCACAATCATAGGTTTCTGGTGTGCCCAAGGGACGCAACTCCGCACTGCGAATTGTGGCGCCTTAAGACGACTGGGCCACACGTGCCCCCCAGACATTAGCTAAGTGTTGTAAGTTTCCTGGAATGCATGCACTAATATATATTAGGTCAGAACGTCAGTGATTTGTCAGTCAGGTAGTGACACCAGTCACAAACTGTATATCATGTAAACTTCACATTAAAAAAAAAATATTATATAATGTTGCCAATATTTCAGGAAAAATAGCCTGAGAACCTGTTATATATATGTTCCTCTGTCCTGGATCTGGAAGGGTTTCTATTTGCAGGAAGATGATGTTGCTGTTGTATGATCAGGGGTTGCGTGTCGTCATCCACACGGCCAACCTTATAGAGCGGGACTGGTACCAGAAGAGTCAGGGGTGAGTGGTGGCAGTTCCCCCAGCAGGTAACTGAGGGTCGTACAATCCCAAGAACACATAGAGCAAGTTACCATCATAACTGCAACTCCATGATGCTTCATACTTTTTGTCTGTTTTATAAAGACACTTTTTGAGCAAAACTCCTTTCCAATATACTGCCGAGAAAATATGTGCAAACAGGTCTCTTATCCATACATTCAATTTCTGAATGGTTTTGCATGAGATGTGATCAAGAGAGTTTGATTATGGTAGTTGTGTGTTTTTCCAAACCGTGTGGATTGTTGCTCATAATATCAATCACTGACTTCTCACGTTTTATTATTTCGATTATTTATTATGGCTGAAAACTAAACTTAAATGTCGGGCTTCATCATCAATGATTTCACAGGTGCTTTTTCTGCGTTTCTTTCTCTTTGGTGTTTCCTTGCTATGTACATTGTCTGGGTGAGTTGTGTGTTTCCTTGGTTATTTCAGTGTCTGGTGAGTCATGTGTTTCCTTGCTATGTTCAGTGTCTAGGTGAGTCATGTGTTTCCTTGTTACGTTCAGTGTCTGGGTGAGTCATGTGTTTCCTTGTTATGTTCAGTGTCTGGGTGAGTTGTGTGTTTCCTTGTTATGTTCAGTGTCTGGGTGAGTTGTGTGTTTCCTTGTTGCGTTCAGTGTCTGGGTGAGTTGTGTGTTTCCTTGGTTATTTCAGTGTCTGGGTGAGTCATGTGTTTCCTTGGTTATTTCAGTGTCTGGGTGAGTCATGTGTTTCCTTGTTACATTCAGTGTCTGGGTGAGTCATGTGTTTCCTTGGTTATTTCAGTGTCTGGGTGAGTCATGTGTTTCCTTGTTATATTCAGTGTCTGGGCGAGTCATGTATTTCCTTGCTACATTCAGTGTCTGGGTGAGTCATGTGTTTCCTTGTTACATTCAGTGTCTGGGCGAGTCATGTATTTCCTTGCTACGTTCGGTGTCTGGGTGAGTCATGTGTTTCCTTGTTGCGTTCAGTGTCTGGGTGAGTCATGTGTTTCCTTGCTACGTTCAGTGTCTGGGTGAGTTATGTGTTTCCTTGGTTATTTCAGTGTCTGGGTGAGTCATGTGTTTCCTTGTTACATTCAGTGTCTGGGTGAGTCATGCGTTTCCTTGTTACATTCAGTGTCTGGGTGAGTCATGTGTTTCCTTGGTTATTTCAGTGTCTGGGTGAGTCATGTGTTTCCTTGGTTATTTCAGTGTCTGGGTGAGTCATGTATTTCCTTGCTACGTTCAGTGTCTGGGTGAGTCATGTGTTTCCTTGCTACGTTCAGTGTCTGGGTGAGTCATGCGTTTCCTTGTTACATTCAGTGTCTGGGTGAGTCATGTGTTTCCTTGGTTATTTCAGTGTCTGGGTGAGTCATGTGTTTCCTTGTTACATTCAGTGTCTGGGTGAGTCATGTGTTTCCTTGCTACGTTCAGTGTCTGGGTGAGTCATGTGTTTCCTTGCTACGTTCAGTGTCTGGGTGAGTCATGCGTTTCCTTGTTACATTCAGTGTCTGGGTGAGTCATGTGTTTCCTTGGTTATTTCAGTGTCTGGGTGAGCCCTGTGTTTCCTAAACTCCCAGCTGACCAGATTACAAGTGATGACAAGGCTCAAGGTGACTCGCCCAGTCACTTCAAGCAAGATTTGCTGCAGTATATTGCCGCGTACAGAGCACACAAGCTGACAGTGTGGGAGAAACACATCAAAGCTCACGACATGTCAACAGCAAAGTTAGTATACTTCCTACATACATCCACATGTAACAGCAGTCTCTGTCTTACCAACCAATCGAGACTCCCAGTTCCTCATGCTGGCGTGGGGCAGTCGGGTAGCACAGTGGTTAAAGCGTTTGCTCGTCATGCCGAAAATGCGGGTTCCATTCCCGACATGGGTACAATGTGTGAAGCCCATTTCTGGTGTCCCTGCCATGATATTGCTGGAATATTGCTAAAAGCGTCGTAAAACCATACTCACTCACCCATACTGGTGTATCATCGTGCCCCTTCAGGGTGGATCGTGCTCGTCGATCAGCCACTGGTTTGCCTGGTCCAGACTGGAATATTTCTGACTGGGGTGAAAACAATATTCACTCACTCACTCACTTTACTTTTAGAATTCTCAATACCATATTCAACATAATAAGCGCCTAGGGCGCTCTCAAAATTAGAAATAGGGGGCTCCTATTAGAATATTATTTTGGTGAAGAAAAAAAAAGAGTTAAAGGATAAATTTCGTGGTTTGTGCTGACAGCCTGAAATGTTTATATACGACAGATATATTTTTCCAGAATTTAATTGCCCATAATTAAGGATGCATATAACACACGAGTGCGTATTATACATGAATAAATAAGTCTTGTGTACATTGATCAATCGGAAGGGGTGCTAATTGGGATTGTTCACTTGCCAATATATTAGCAAATATCACCGTGGGTGCTTATTAGAGCGGGGTGCTTATTACCTCAAATACGGTATTGGCAAATCAAATATCTTAACGATATTTGCATGTCAGTGGTATAACAGATGTGCAGGATAAAACACGTCAGAAGGTTTTTATGAGATTTAAAACCCGAATCCGAATGAGTTTCAAATCTCATAAAAACCCGAGGGTTGGTGGTTTATCTTAGTTATATACTGAAAAAAGAAACTTAGAACAACATTCAATCTCATTAAAATCAGATCTAAAATCTCGCTGCTGCTAAACAAAGATCTGAGGACATCCCATTACAGGTCACGTCAGAACGACCTTTCGCGAACTTTGACCGACCACTGAAACGACAAACAGGAAGTCGACATCAGCCAATTAGAAAGCAGCTTTCTCGAGCACTCGAGCACTCGTTACAGCACTCGTTACAGCACTCGTTTCAACCTGGCGACTTCTATTTCTGACTACGCTTGAACAATATGTTGACACAGTTCTCGATTAATATTTTGAAAACTGAACAAACGAACATTCCGGAATGTCTAATGTATGGTTGCGATTGTATGACAGTACTAACCACGAACTGTGCTACGCCTCCTCCGTTCAAATGTTTATCTCACAAAGGCGAGAGACAGACGATAAATTTGATGGAATCAGTCATACGGGCCGTAGCTGTTTTTCGACATTCCGACTCTCACTTTCATGATCTGGTAAGTGATTAGTCGGATGAAAGGTCGTTCTGACATGATCCAATAATGGGATGTCCTCAAATCTTTATTTAGCAATAGCGAGAACTAAGATCTGATTTAAATGAGATTGAACAACATTTTTCAACATTTTTATGTTTCAAACATACTTTCCATGAACCTTAGGACACAGGTGTAAAATATCTGTTGCTGGCATACAGGTACTTGAAAAAGACATTTTTAAAAGCAATGTGATGTATCAGTGCATCTGTATCTGTGGTACACTCACTGGTCTACAGATACAAAGGTTGCATATTCAACACACGGGAATATAAAGAAAACATTGTGTCATTTGATTTTTCATTTCATTACTTTGACTTCAAATGCAGAATAAATTTTTAGCGAGAAACATTCATATGTTACAATCTTAAAACGGAAGTTGTATTAATAAAATCCCCGGGATATTATATAAAATCCGGGGGATTCTATATAAAATCTGTTGGATAATACAGGTATATAAAATCCTGGGATATTATAACGTCCCAGTTTGTGAGATTTAGCCAGACTTGAGAACAATAGGATGACGTCAGTGGAGGTTTATAAATCACTGATAAGGTGTTTTGGAGGGTCTTTATGTTATTAATAACTTGCGTGAACATTTTCAACAGGGTTCATATAATTGGGTCAGTGCCAGGCCGCCACATCGGAGATCAGAAGAGTTGCTGGGGTCACATGAAACTCAGAAAGGTAATTAAGTACAGAGCTCCAGATAAGCTGCGTATCAGCGTAAAATACGCATCAGAAATGCAGAAATACGCAGTAAAATAAAATCCAAGCGTATCAAATACGCAACGAACATTACAGATAAGCTACAAAAATAAAACTTGTGCATGTCATCAAAATATTGTGAAGTAACCCTGCGTATTCGATTAGCAATTCAGCAACTTATTTTGAAATTATAAACGGGCATTCCGTCAACCTTGCCAAACTCCACGATGACATCATGATATTTGCCATCACACTTTCTTGTGGAAGTATCGTGGTATTTTTGAGTCCTATAAAGCTCTCAAACCCACACAACACCAGTTTGGAGGGACTAGATGAATAGTGTTTTTAAATAGTTAACTTAAATACCCACATGTGTAAAAACTAGTGGGTAACAGAAATTTAAATACCCAGATAGAATTACTGATACCCAATGATTTTAAAATGCATGGGTAAAATGCCCATAACACCAAAAGCTTATCTGGAGCTCTGTAAGTACTGTAATTTACAAGAGCGTGAATTCATCCCTGACCACCTCACTACCTAACATCCTGATTCATATCATTTTATTGCTCCAAGCACTTACAAAGAAACAAAATTTACTTAACATGTTGCCTTGAATTATTTGTTTAAAAAATATATATGAAAATTAAAATGCCCCTGTTGTCCCATTTATGATAAAAGTTGGATAAAAAACTAAAAATTAATTTATTGTGGCCTATGAAACGTATATCGTCTAACCCAGGTACTATAAGAACTTGATGGCATAGTGATGGCTCATTGGGACAGGGTAGGTGATGTAGCAATTATTTCTTCTTTGGATGCAGGTTCTTCAGAGACAAGGTCCTGATGCTAGTCGTGTGAAATCGTGGCCAGTGATTGGTCAGTTCTCCAGTATCGGTTCACTGGGTCCAACGGCGGAGTCGTGGGTGTGTAACGAGTGGCTGCAGTCCCTGTCCTCCACACGAGGGATGTCTGTCACACCAAAGGCCAATATGACACTGGTAGGACATCATTGGTTGGTTGGTTGGTTGGTTTGTTGTTTAACGCCGCACTCAGCAATATTCCAGCTATATGACGGCGGTCTGTAAATAATCGAGTCTGGACCAGACAATCCAGTGATTAATATCATGAGCATCGATCCACGCAATTGGGATGGATGACATGTATCAACCAAGTCAGCGAGCCTGACCACCCGATCCTGTTAGTCGCCTTTTACGGCAAGTATGGGTTGCTGAAGACCTATTTTACCCCGGAATCTTCACGGGTCCGTAGGACATCAATCAGGACAGTCGCTTGTGTGTCAAATTGACACTGATCTAATACTTTCTTTATACACACTTTAGGATTAGCTGTGAATCAGAAATAGCCTTCCCTGTTGATAACTGTCGTGAGGCTTATAAGAGATGGCAGTCACTCCACACCCATACATGTCAGTTTCACCAGTGTGGTAAATGTTAACATGGTTCATACCAACATTCAAATGTCCTTAGCTATTATACCTCAAAGGTACATGAAGCTGGTATGTTCTGAAACAGCAGTCCAACTGACAACAGACGTCTTTTTTTATCCCACGCCCAACAAAGCATAACTCAGAAACCATTCAATATTTTTTCATGAAACTTTGCAGGTCTGTCAAGTACATGCTGAACTGGTGCCTTTTGCTATTAAGAAATTTTAGAAATTTTTATTTTTTACATTTCCATGGCAACAAGATGGACTTAGGTTCTGTGAGGGTAGGGTTCGTTTCCGGAGCATAACTCATAAACCGTTCAATATTTTTTCATGAAACTTTGCAGGTTTGTCAGGTACATGCTGAACTGGTGCCTTTTGCTATTAAGAAATTATAGAAATTTTTATTTTTTCCTTTTCCATGGCAACAAGATGGACTTAGGTTCTGTGAGGGTAGGGTTCGTTTCCGGAGCATAACTCATAAACCGTTCAATATTTTTTCATGAAACTTTGCAGGTTTGTCAGGTACATGCTGAACTGGTGCCTTTTGCTATTTAGAAATTTTAGAAATCTTTATTTTTTACGTTTCCATGGCAACAAGACAGACTTAGGTTCCAAACTCTTCTTTTTTTACAATTTCCATGACAAGTTCCACCTCAGTTAAAAAAGGTTAGGGTTAGTTTAGATTTAATTATGTCATAAATTCTGCAACAGGGGCTTGTTATATTTTTAACCATGACATGTTGATATAACTGTTTGTCCTTTGGCATCACCAACTGGACCTTATTTTTTATTATCTGTGAAACTAATAAACTTGAACAGACTGAACTTGCTTATACTAACATATTTTATATTCCTACCGGATACTTTTGTTCAAAGATTATGTCAAATTACAAATGTAATTATGTATGTATGTATGTTATTATAATGATGAAATAACCTCAGAACCTGTGGATTCCTTGATAACCTAAGCAGTTATCACAACTGGCATGTAATACATACACAAACAGGGCCCTGTTCCACAATGCTTTCGTAGTGCTACTTCCTTACGTAACTGTATGGTTGATCATATGCTTACAGCTGTCTATGAACACCTTGTGAATCGTGTCCTACCCTATGAAGACAATTTTATTTGTAATCAAGTCTAGGAGAACACAGGAGATATATTAAATTGTTTGAATTGTTTGATAGGCATTACTTAGAAGTTGAAGAATGACAAGGTAGACACAATTTTATGGATAACAACTTCTTTAATACTGTAAAAAGCGACGTTTCGGTATAGATCCTTATACCCTTGTCAAGCAGACCGAATGAGGGACATTGTACAGAATATATATGGTAGGTGGAGGATTAACGGTAGAGGATTAACAGTAACAACAATTGCATACATGAGTGGTTTAACAGAGTAAGTGTTGACAACAGAAGGATAATACTGTCACAACACGATGGACAGAGAACACATAGGTGGACAGTATTATCCTTCTCTTGTCAACACTTACTCTGTTATCCCACTCATGTATGCAATTGTTGTTACTATACCGAAACATCGCTTTTTACAGTATTAAAGAAGTTGTTATCCATTAAAATTGTGTCAACCTTGACCTTGGGAGATATATTAGACTCTGTTTTTAAAGTTTATGAAAAGACTATAATAGGTACTGATTCTTTAGGAGGGTTAGATCATTTAAGAATAAGCCAATCTCATTGAAATCAGATCTTATTTCTCGCTGCCGCTAAACAAAGATCTGAGGACATCCCGGGTCACGTCAGACCGACCTTTCGCAAACTCTGAACGTTAAGCCCGTAACTATCGTTCGGAATACCCCATTTTAAAGTTTTCAAGGCTGCATGATTAGAAATCACATTCCAACTGTCACTTTCATGATCTGGTAAGTGACGGTCTGATTGGTTGGATGAAAGGTCGTTCTGACGTGACCCCTAATCGGATGTCCTCAGACCTTTGTTCAGCGGTAGCGAGAACTAAGATGTGATTTTAATGAGATTGAGAATAAGCCAGCTTTGTTTGCCAGAAGAATGTTCTTCTCAAATCCTCAGTCCTGTGTCTTCAGGTGTTCCCGTCTGTGGACAATGTGCGTGTCAGCCTGGAGGGGTATCCCGCTGGCACATCGGTCCCATACACCATGAAGACAGCCCAGAAGCAGAAGTATATACACCAGCACTTCAGGTAGCCAAGGCTTTATACAAATCTACCCTGTGGGATTCCGAGTTAGAATTAGTCCCCAGCGACCTATGCTGGTCCAATCTCATTAAAATCAGATCTTAGTTCTCGCTACCGCTAAACAAAGATCTGAGGACATCCCATTATGGGTCACGTCAGACTGACCTTGCGCAAACTTTGACCGACCAATGGAATGACCAATCAGAAGGCAGCTTTCTCGTGCCTTACGGCACTAATTTCAAATTGGCGACTACGCTTCGAAACATATTTTGACAAATTCTCGATTACAGATTTGAAACCTGAACAAAAGAACATTCGGGAATGGCTAATAGATGGTCTAGATTGTATGGATTCAGTCGTTAAACCCGTAACTATCGTTCGGAATACCCCGTGTTAAAGTTTACGAGGTTGCATGATTAGAAATCACATTCCGACTGTCACTTTCATAATCTGGTAAGCGATGCTCCAATTGGTCGGATGATAGGTCGTTCTGACGTGACCCCTAATGGGATGTCCTCAGATCTTTGTTTAGCGGTAGCGAAAACTGAGGTGTGATTTTAATGAGATTGATGCTGGTCATAAAAGGCAACTTAGAGGAGAGGATGGTCAGACTCGGAGGATGGTTGGTGGCAGGTCATTGTACCAATGTCCATGACGGTGTTGGGTATTGCTCATTATATCAATCACTGGTTTGTCTGGTCAAGACACAATTACTTACCGGTTGTGATGGTAATCAACTTTGATTGATTAAAAAAATGTGTACCATAAAACAACAGTCATATCTATTATCCATTTATTCGGTGGTGAGGTGAAATGGGGTTTAACGTCGCATCCAAGATTATTGCACTTATATAGCAACGTGCATGTACGTGTGTGTGTGTGTGTGTGTGTGTGTGTGTGTGTGTGTGTGTGTGTGTGTGTGTGTGTGTGTGTGTGTGTGTGTGTGCTTGTACTAGTCTGGACTGATGCCGATTTATAGTGCTAGCTCACTGAGATACCATGCCGCAGTTTAACATGAATACCCCCCTAAGACACAGTATACGGACTCCGAGCCGACCAGTCCTTGTTTTAAGCCCCTTAATGCCGAGTGCCAGACAGGGTAACAACAAGTACCATCTTTTAACGTCTTTTGGTATGACGCGGCCGGGGATGGAACCCTGGACCTTCCGCTCTCCAGGTGGATGCTCTACCACTAGGCCACGGAGGCGGTCCCATTTATTCGGGGAGTGTTACTCATGAAAGTATTCTTGCTCACATTGCAGACAGTGGAAATCTGAGGGGCGTGGAAGAAGTCGAGCGTGTCCCCACATCAAGACTTATGTTCGCCCATCACCAGACAGTACCGAGTTAGCCTGGTTTCTTGTAACAAGGTGAGCATGTGCATGGTAACAGATGTAACGACTGATTATACCATTGATGCATTGCAATTGTCCATAGTAGTTCTACTGCCATAGTGAAAATGCCCTCGTTTAGGCTGACATCAGGGACGTTTCTCTGTAGGGTTGACATTTCATACAGATAAAGCATTTTTCAACATAGCTCATTGATTATTCCCTAATTTGTTCAGCATGTTCAGATGTTAAGGATATTTCTTTCATGTTATCCACAATGAATATATTTTATGTTTCCAGTGCCAATTTGTCCAAGGCAGCTTGGGGAGCGTTTGAAAAGAATGGCAGCCAACTGATGATCAGGTCCTATGAGATTGGTGTCCTGTTCCTTCCTTCATATTTTGTAAGAATATCTCCAGGTTTTATAAAAAAGATACCAGGGTACATCTCTTTGCAGAAGCATCAATAATTCCTATTTGCCATGAAATTGAGAACAAACAGGATTGCTTTTTGTATCAAGATACACTCAACTTTAACATGTTTAAGAATCAGTTTGTTTTATCAGGTAGAAAAATATTTTGATATTGCTCTCTAATACTATTAACCATTTCCATGTTTTATTCAGTTCTACACTACATATAGGCATCCATGACTGTTTACTTGAAATTAGCTATTTGCATGGGAGCTTCAATATAGTTTGTTCAGGCCAATATTTTACTATATCAATCTTTGATAAATTCTGTATTTGACTGTGTACAATAAGAAGTGGAAATATTATATCACTGACTCAATTACAATTTTGTCACCTAGGGTTGTGAAACATTGCCAGCAACAAATGATGCAGAGGAGGCAGTTGCACGTAGTGATGAGGTCGTCTTCCCCCTGCCGTACGACCTGCCGCTCACGCCGTATGTCAAAGGAGGTATGTATGGCGTACTTGTGCTTCCCGTCACTCCCTATGTCAAAGGAGGTATGTATAGCGTACTTGTGCTGCCTTCACTCCCTATGTCAAAGGAGGTATGTATAGCGTACTTGTGCTGCCCGTGACTCCTTATGTCAAAGGAGGTATGTATAGCATACTTGTGCTGCCTTCACTCCCTATGTCAAAGGAGGTATGTATACCGTACTTGTGCTGCCTTCACTCCCTATGTCAAAGGAGGTATGTATAGCGTACTTGTGCTGCCTGTCACTCCCTATGTCAAAGGAGGTATGTATTGCATACTTGTGGTGCCCGTCACTCCCTATGTCAAAGGAGGTATGTATAGCAATTAGCTTGTGGGTTCTCACCAATTCTCAGCAGCAACAGAAAGCTTACCTCAGTATCGATTTAAGACATGGCCCTGGCAGAGTGAGTGAGTTGGGTTTAACGCCGCTTTTAACAGTATTCCAGTCATATCGCGGCATGTCAGCTTAATGTGGGAGGAAAGCCCGAAGTGATGCAGGTTTCAGACGTTTACCACTTCGGTGAAACCCACGAGCACGGGTATGTTGCTGACAAAACTAAAAACATAATCGGGGCAAACCGGGATTCGAACCCACAATCATAGGTTTCTGGCGTGCCCAAGGGACGCAACTCTGCACAGCGAATAACGGCGCCTTAGACGACTGGGCCACCCGTGCCCCCCACTGGCAGAGCTGGATGGATGGTGTGTGAGTCAACCCACAATTCTGTAGCACAAACTGTCAATGTATTCCTGTCTAGCCTGGTGCTCAGTTTATGTGTGTCCTCGACTCCTCGGTTCTCTTCACAGGAAATCAGCATTAATCTTTCCTCTTGTTACACACGTTGGTGCTCAGCTTATGTCTTTTCTAGATTACAGCATCTGTCTTCCACAAGCTACTCATTTGTTAGTCAACAGCTTCTGTTTTATCAAGTAACTGTTAATATATTACCTGCATAAATAATCTCTACTTTCCACTTGTAGATCGTCCGTGGATGATGGATGTGCCATGTGTTCGTGCTCCAGACACTAACGGCAACATGTGGTGTCCTCCACTGTAGGCATCGCCAGGAACCAGTGACAACTTGGGTTAACCCTTCTGTAGTCATCATGCTCCAGGAACCAGTGACAACTTGGATGAACCCTTCTGTAGTCATCATGCTCCAGGAACCAGTGACAACTTGGGTTAACCCTTCTGTAGTCATCATGCCCCAGGAGCCAGTGACAACTTGGGTTAACCCTTCTGTAGTCAACATGCTCCAGGAACCAGTGACAACTTGGGTAACCCTTCTGTAGTCATCATGCCCCAGGAACCAGTGACAACTTGGGTAACCCTTCTGTAGTCATCATGCTCCAGACACTAACGGCAACATGTGGTGTCCTCCACTGTAGGCATCGCCAGGAACCAGTGACAACTTGGGTTAACCCTTCTGTAGTCCTCATGCTCCGGGAACCAGTGACACCTTCGGTTAACCCTTCTTTAGTCATCATGCTCCAACATGCTCCAGTGACAACTTGGGTTAACCCTTCTGTAGTCCTCATGCTCCAGGAACCAGTGACAACTTGGGTAACCCTTCTGTAGTCATCATGCCCCAGGAACCAGTGACAACTTGGGTTAACCCTTCTGTAGTCATCATGCTCCAGGAACCAGTGACAACTTGGATGAACCCTTCTGTAGTCATCATGCTCCAGGAACCAGTGACAACTTGGGTTAACCCTTCTGTAGTCATCATGCCCCAGGAGCCAGTGACAACTTGGGTTAACCCTTCTGTAGTCAACATGCTCCAGGAACCAGTGACAACTTGGGTAACCCTTCTGTAGTCATCATGCCCCAGGAACCAGTGACAACTTGGGTAACCCTTCTGTAGTCATCATGCTCCAGACACTAACGGCAACATGTGGTGTCCTCCACTGTAGGCATCGCCAGGAACCAGTGACAACTTGGGTTAACCCTTCTGTAGTCATCATGCTCCAGGAACCAGTGACAACTTGGGTTAACCCTTCTGTAGTCATTATGCTCAAGGAACCAGTGACAACTTGGGGTAACCCTTCTGTAGTCATCATGCTCCAGGAACCAGTGACAACTTTGGTTAACCCTTCTGTAGTCATCATGCTCCAGGAACCAGTGACAACTTGGGTTAATCCTTCTGTAGTCCTCATGCTCCGGGAACCAGCTACAACTTGTGTTAACCCTTCTGTAGTCATCATGCTCCAGGAACAAATGACGCCCATCTCCAGACACTAATGTCAGCCAAGTGAAAACTGAGTGAAAATTACCAGCTGCAGACACTATTGACAACTTGTGTTCACCACTGCCTTGAGTGAGAACACCCTGCCATAGAAAATAGCCTAATTTGGTTTTGTGAACATGGCCACTGAAGTATGAAAATTAAGTCTACACTGATGGAAAGATGTAGGGTCACAAGCTATGGATTTGTTTGTATCAGCAATTGTGTAACCAATTGAGGTTTTATAAGAAACGGGAGGAAAATCAAACACAAAATGACAAAGCTTAATTTATTGTACAGTTACTATTTGAAGACTCTTTAATGTTTACATGAACATATGTCACCATGGTTAGTGTATGTACACTACTGTAGATCTGATCCCTCTTTTGAAGTTTTGTATGTTACCGAGTGTAGGATACAAAAACATTTGTGTACGAGAAATGATTGATAAGCTTTGAGGTTAAATTCAGCAACACTGTGCAATACAATTTTATTGTGAAGGAATGCTGTACATTTCCAAGCATTTTATGTTTGCCAGATGGTAAGGATTTATTTTATGAAAATTGTACTTATTTATGTTTTATTGACTTGAAATTTATGTCAAATAACACAAGATATACACATGTATATATAATCCAAATCAAGCTGAAACTAAACATATTGTCTTCCGTATTTTACCATTAGTATTTATTTGCTTTAGCATGACTTAATGGATTTAACATTGATATTGTTTTTGAGCAGGGTCTAGTTAATTTATTTATCTTGAAACATTATTCAGTATATGAACATGTATTGTTTTAAAGTGTCTTCTGCAGAAAAAAGTCAATCAATCTTACTGAATTTCTACAGATTACTATCATGGTTATGAAATAAGAAAAGAAAACATGTACATTATAAAAATTGTCTGCAAAATAGTTTGAAGACTGGGTAGTAGGATCAAGGTTTATGTAAAATAAAGGCAATAAAATATTTGACATTTGAAATGCATTAGTTATTTATTTGATGGTCAATGCAAGGACAAAAGAGTGACATCACACCACAGACACTTCATTTGGGCTGGGACTGCCCGGAAGTGAAGATCCGGGGTAGAATAGGTCTTCAGCAACCCATGCTTGCCGTAAAAGGGGACTATGCTTGTCGTAAGAGGCGACTAACGGGATCAGGTGGTCAGAATCGCTGACTTGGTTGATGCATGTGATTGATCCCAATTGCGTGGATCAATGCTCATGATATCAATCACTGGATTGTCTGGTCAAGACTCAATTATTTACAGACCGCCGTCATATAGCTGGAATATTGCTCAGTGCGGCGTCAAACAAACTAACCAACCAACCCGGACCAGTGGTTAGTCATGTAATATATTGTTTAATGACAAAAATTATCTAAAACTCTATGGTTACACTATAAGTCACTTATGTTCCCATTTCTTTCTGACTATGCACCCATTCCTTCTGACTTTTATATGTTTGAATTAAGATAAAACTTCATGCAGTAAACTTTAGTGTATGCATGACCAGATCGCTTTACATGTGTATCTAAATACATTTTTGACAGGGCTACCGTCAAACTTTTCCATATTGGACAGTTTGTACCTTTCTCTATCCATCTACAGTGGGTATCCGGGTAGGGTCGGTTAATGGGGTGATGGGTCCCCGGGTAGTAAATTTGGACGCGTCCCAGCCCTACACTGCATGGTCACTCTATAGTTTTATGATGCAGTCAACTATGGTTCAGAATATGGAATCTGTGTCTGTTACATGATTGGTAATGAAGGCTTATTTGCAAACAGAAGAATTGACGTTTACAATGACATGGAAGGTTTCAGTCAGTGATTTATTGATAATACTTTGATATTTTAAGAGTAAAAATGCATATTGTTATTGAATGATTCTCTGGATTAGATCTAACCTTGTCTCGTTTGGCGATTTGAAGAAAATGTCACATCAGATTAAAAACGGAGTAGCCTCCCTTAGAGCACCTGTCCGCAAGCTCCTTCCCAGCGCGTAATATCTTCGTTACACTCTCGGTATAGTAGTATAGAGAACTCAGTGAACGGATAATCGCTGTTAGGAGCTTGACCGGTCCGCAAACGCAGACGTGATGCTCCCCTGTAGCAATAACTGTTATGTAGGGGAAGTCGTTTAAAATTAGTTTTAACTAGGTTTATATTATGTTGGTGGGAAGTTCTCACAGCTATGGAAATACCCGAAATACGGTTAGGATATTAGTGGAAATATTGATTAAGTGTGGACATTATGCATCACGTCAACAATAATCAATGGCGGTAAATGTGAATTCGTATTTGCCGTCAGACTGACTCATTTGACATTACAAACATTGATCACACATTGATCTCGATGTCGATTAATGATTTGGATATACATCCTAGGATTATTGGAATATTAAAAAAAGGTAAAATAATGATGACAATATTGTTTTATATACCAGTGACTAAGTCCACTCGTTCGTCGGAATCGTCCGCGTCCGGGACATGTCAAATTGTCAAATTCAGGAAGGATGAGTGATATTTCCTTGTGGACTACTAACTCTTATCATTTTTGCGGACTTGTGAAAATATTAAGTAATTTCTAACCCCTTATAGCTGATAATATGGAAAGCCAGATAGACCCGCCGTAAATTTCAACGGGTTACAGCTATAACGGCACCTCAGCAAAACGTCACCAGGCGAAAACGGCACCGATTGGCAAAAACGCCACCTCGCCTCAACCGAAATCGGCTACTATTGCCTGGCGAAAACGGCACCTTATTTTTGTTTTACCTTGGACATATAAATGAAATTAAAATTACATGGTAACTTGCTAACAAAAATAATTGTGAAATGTTAAAACAAGTTTACCTTAGAAATTAGCATGATTAGACCTCTACTCCAATTTACTCGCTGACTCTGATTGGGAGGCGCAGCTTACTTATTGTGAAAACACTATACGCTTTAAAGTTTATGTACCTTTACTCAATTCAACTCAATGTCAAGCTGAAATTGTATTTAGGAGGCCAAACATGGTTCAGATCACAATTATTCACAATGGCCTTTTGATGTGTTGCACGAAAAAGAATGTAAAAAAAAATCAACATGCTGTATCATGTAACAACTGTTACCAGTGGACCCATCGTGTATGTGGTACCAGACTTTCTGTGGCCCGTTATCGAGAAATTAGCTGAGTAAGCTACTATCACAATGTTCTGTGGTACATGGGCCGCTATTGTAAACACGCGATGAAGATATAATACTACACAAATCGTTCTTATCGTTATTAAAAATAGAGGTGCCGTTTTTGCCCAACACACATATAGCTAGTTTCGCCAAATGCGGTGCCGTTTTTGCCAGAGAAATTGGTGACATTTTGCTGAGGTGCCGTTTTAGCCTGCACCCAATTTCAACATAGATCAAGGCTATTGGTGTGACGGTAACATTAATTTGTTTACAATACGCTTCGTGTCTCAATATCTAAGTCGCAATACAAAACACAATACCTTATGGCTGTCTGGACCAGACTATGCAGTGATTGAGCTTCAATCGATGCAACTGAACATGGCCGTCTGAAATGAATGTTTGGATACATATGATCCAACTATAATCGATATATAAAGGAACATTTAGAAATAACTAATAGGGTTACGAAGTTTCTTATTTTTTTTAGGGTTAAGAATTGACTTGGAGTACGAAATTTCTAGGGGTATGAATTTCTTTGAGTTTTGAAATAACCGTATGTTAAAGTATGTTGATATAGTGAAGTTCATTTTCAGGGTTTTACCTTGATTTACGACCTGTGAAGATCCAGGGTAGAATAGGTCTTCAGCAACCCATGCTTGCCGTAAGAGGTGACTATGCTTGTCGTATGAGGCGACTAACAGGGTCGGGTGGTCAGGCTCGCTGACTTGGTTGATGCTTGTCATCTTATCTTAATTGCGTAGATCCTCATGATGTCAATCACTGGATTATCTGGTCCAGACGTGACTATTTACAGACCGCCGTCATATAGCTGGAATATTGCTGAGTGCGGCGTTAAACAAACAAACAAAACCTTGATTTACAAAAGTGTGGATCAAGGGGCCCCGCAATAATTAATTTTGAGGGCCCTAGGTGGCACTATGAGGGTCCTGTAAAGTAATGAAACGGTGTAGTGTACTTTACATTTTGATAATGACTTAGAGCCTGGAATGAATCGATGATCAAGTGGACAGCAGTCATGATTGATGGATGAAATGACAGACACCCATAACTGCTCTTGATGTGGTGTAGGTACAATGGATACTACTGTGCATCCCTTCTGGACACAAGTGTATTCTTTTTGGGCATCCAATCTCAATGTGTTTACTGGACATACATTTCTGTGTAGCGTAAAACCCTTGAACATGATTAAAATCATGTTTGTCTACGTTCTGGCCTCCTTATCATGTTTTTCCTTTGACCTTCTCTACTGTATGTGTATAGACAGGGGATATTATTTTCCAATTTAAATAACACATTAATGAGCTTATATTTAGTCCTGCGCTGGGAGGGGGCGGTCGGGTAGCCTTGTGGTTAAAATTCGCTCGGCACACCGAAAACCTGGGTTTGATTCCCGACATTGGTACAATCACTGGGGTATCTTGTCCAGAATTGATACTTTACAGGCCACCATCCTATAGCTGGAACACTGCTGAGTGGCTTGTAACAACAATTACATATTAGAAACACAATGACAATTGATGTCAGGGATGGAGAGGGAATGAACAAACTTAGTTAACACATCAATGAAATTACTTTGTTTCCGACAAAAGATGCCAAGTTAATCAATACCATTTTGTGTTTCCCAGTATCATGATTATAGGAAGCATTTTTAGAAAAAAAAGTGTCGAAACACAACACCACCTTCTACACAGTTGTATTTTCTGTGAGAAATGTGGACTGTCACATAAATGTGACTTATAAAGATTACTTGCAGTCTGCTCTAGAAGTCTGTCATGGGGCGCTTTTTGGAGTGGAGTGCTTAATATGGCGAATACGGCAAAGTTAGAAATTGGCACGAGTCAAACTGCCCAATGGTAATGGTATCCTAAGGACTAGTTGAAATGTGTCTCTTTTAAGGGTTTTGCTATATTTTATCATTATAAGGACTAGTGTGCGAAACCTGTTAATTTCTATCGCTGAGACCATATTTTGTTTTTGTTCCTGGTATGTTTGTGATATGATCATTAGTAATTTTATTAGTAAGCATCATGTAAAAAAACTGCCTTTGTTTATTGCGAAGACAAAGCAGATTGTACGCCAAAATAGACTCAAGTTCATTAATTACACTATAGAAGAAATAGGTTGTAATTTTCTATTTTCTTTTTTTCATATAGGTCATTTTCAAAGTTTTGAAACAATATTAAGCCTGTCCTCAGCTGACATTGAGCGAGCTACAGGTCTGTCTGCTGGTGATGTCAGTATTCTCAAGCAAGCTGTTGCTGAAGCTGTTCCAAAGCCACCAGTTGTCACAGGTAGAGTACTTGTTAACCCTCATCTGACAACACATGGTGATGATGAAATGTCTTCGAACCCATCAGGTGGGCACGGGTGGCCCAGTCGTCTAAGACCCCACAATTCGCTGTGCAGAGTTGCGTCCCTTGGGCACGCCTGAAACCTATGATTGTGGGTTCGAATCCTGGTTCGCCCTGATTATGTTTCTAGGTTTGTCAGCACCATACCCGTGCTTGTGGGTTTCACCGAAGTGGTAAATGTCTATGACCTGCATCACTTGGGGCTTTCCTCCCACAGCTGACACGCCGCGATACACTGTACAGTATTCGACATAATAAGCGCCCAGGGCGCTCTCAAGATAAGGAATGGGGTCCTCTTTTGAGAATATATTTTTGGTGAGAAAAAAACCATTTGAAAGATCGTAAATTTCGTGGTTTAAGCTGACAACCTGAAATGATTCAAAAGAAAAGTCTGTGCATATTATGCATGACAGATGTATTTTCCAGAATTAAATTGCCATAATTAAGGGCGCATATAACACACGAGTGCTTATTATACACGAATAAATAAGTGTACATTGATCAGTCAGAAGGGGTGCTAATTGGGATTGTTCACTAGCCAAAATATTAGCAAATATCGCCGTGGGCGCTTATTAGAGCGGGGCACTTATTACGTCGAATACGGTAACTGCAATACTGTTAAAAGCAGAGTTAAACCCAACTCACTCACTCACTCATTAGAACCCATTAGTTCAAACAAATAAACAGTAATCATGGCAGTGGTCATCAATTAGTTATTATCTCTAAGTTTCTTCAGATTTTTATGCTTATCATGCTTATTATGCTTATCATGCTTATCATGCTTATTATGCTTATCATGCTTATCATGCTTATTAATATTTAGTTTACAGATCCTCTGACCTAAAATATGAAAGAACCAACTCCTCAATGACAATCTCACACCAGTAACCGCAGCAACCTGCAAATCACCAACTACAACAACACAACTGGAAGATTAACATACTATAACACATTTTTTTTAAATTATGATATTATTGTAACGATTTCAAAGTGTAATCACTTGCGTTTTTTGCTACGTAGTAGTGACACCAATGGTCACAACCATTGGAGTACTGGGCACCTATTCTCACCTAGGTCGGACCGCCTTCGTGGTCTAGTGGTAGAGCGTCGGAGATCGGTGGGTCCAGGGTTTGATCCCGTGCCACGTCGTACCAAAAGATGTTTAAATATGGTACTTGTTACCCTGTCTGGTGCTTGGCATTAGGGGCTAAAACAAGGACTGGTCGGCTCGGAGTCAGTATATTGTGTCTGTGTGGGATATTCATGTTAAACTGCGGCATGGTATCTCAATGGGCTAGCACTATAAATCGACATCTGTCCGGACTCGCACGCACGCACACATGCACATCTCTTTATAAATGCAATAATCTTGGACGCAACATTAATCCCCATTTCACCTCACCACCTCACCTTGGTCCCACCATACTTTAGCAAACAAGATAGCACCAGTGGAAGTTTTAGACACTCTGTACCCATGACCTTGTCATTGTCAGTCAGAGTGACCTCCGTCAATATTTCCCCATATTTTACTCTAAAACATATGGATTTTAATTCACTAACTCTGTTGCCTTTACAGAGAGTTGACTGAGACTTCGGGCTTGTGGATAATGGTACAAGCTGCGTTAGGAAGTGTTAGCATGTTGTTGCCGTTTTCATCATTGCATATAAAACAAGCACCTGGTTACCATGGTTACAGTGGTCCTTGATGCTTTGTCATTAATGTCCTGTACACTCTGGTCCACGGCACGAGTCAAGTAAAAGTTTGCTTGGTCTAGTACACTGAGCTTATCATATTCCATACATTATCTCTAATATCTACAGAAAATTATGTCAAGAGACAATCTGGGGCGAGTAGACAAAGTAATATTTAGGCATATACTGCGTGTCTTCACGATTCTTGTTAATGTATTGGGGGCATGGGTGGCCCAGTCGTCTAAGGCGCCGCGATTCGCTGTGCAGAGTTGCGTCCCTTGGGCACGCCAGAAACCTATGATTGTGGGTTCCAATCCCGGTTCGCCCCGATTATGTTTCCAGGTTTGTCAGCACCATACCCGTGCTCGTGGGTTTCGCCAAAGTGGTAAACGTCTGAGACCTGCATCACTTCGGGCTTTCCTCCCACATTAAGCTGACACGCCGCGACATAACTGGAATACTGTTAAAAGTGGTGTTAAACCAAACTCACTCATGTTAATGTATTATTTATCTTTGTGTTTTCAGCTTTAGACTTATTGAGAGGCTCTGGCAGTGCTGTTCCCATCAGGAAACTGAGCACAGGCTGTCCTATTATAGACAAGCATCTGAAAGGTAAACACAATGGAAATGTGATACAGAATAACTTGAACATTAGAGTTGCTGCTTATGACCTATATTAGTTGTAGATTGGTTGGTAGTAAGGTGACTGCCTCTGTGGTCTAGTGGTAGAGGGACTGCAATGAGGAGTGGAAGGTCCGGGGTTCGATCCCCAGCCCGTCATACCAAAAGACGTTAAAGATGGTACTTCTTGTTATCCTGCCTGACGTTCGGCATTAAGGGGCTAAAACAAGGACTGCAATAAATGTTGACGGCAAGTGATTTACTGGATTGAGTACTGACACACCTTGTCCTTAATTTACACCCTCAATTAATAATACATTATAGTACAACAGTGATTAATCTATAGCCTCTGAAGTGAATGTATTCTGTGTATAAAATGTGACAACTAGAGTGAGGAAATTCAGTATTGATAAAATTAAAACGGCAGACACACTAAAGCGGAAAGCTTTAGACATTGAAGTTAAGTTTCAAATCATCTCTGCTGTCGATGCTGGAAAGAAATCGAAGACATAAATTGCAGATGAATTTGATATCCCTTTGAATGAACACAGTACTTATACAGTGCACGCTTTAGTTATTTATCGAGTTACATGATGTGGTCACGTGACTTGATCCAAGATGTCTGACAGTCTAAATGTTTATAATGAACTGTGGTCATAACAAACTAAAATTAGTGGTCCCTTTGAGTTCATTATAACCGTAGTTTACTGTTTGTGATTTCATCTATATATGATTTCCGTCTGTATGTGATTTTGCCCATATGTGAACCATCTATATGTGATTCCTTCTGTTAATGATTTAGCCTATATGAATCTGCCCATATGTGATTTTGACTAAATGTCATTTCACCTGTACGATTAAGTGAAAAATAGTAAAATTTGGTCCCCACATTGCCTGTAATTTAATTGACCTTTCAACTATCATTGTCATATAAGCAACCAGTTACTAATCACAGCACTGTTACTAATCCCACCACCAGTGATTAATCCTGACACAGTTACTAATCCCACCACAGTTACTAATTCCACCACCAGTTACTAATCCAGACACAGTTACTAATCCCACCACCAGTTATTAATCGTACCACCAGTTACTAATCCCAACACAACTACTAATCCCACCAGTTACTAATCCAAACACCAGTTACTAATTCCACCCAAGTTACTAATCCCACCAGTTACTAATCCCAACACCAGTTACTAATCCCACTACCAGTTACTAATCCCACCAATTACTAATCCCAACACCAGTTACTAATCCCACCAGTTTCTAATCCCAACACCAGTTACTAATTCCACCCAAGTTACTAATCCAAACACCAGTTACTAATCCCACTACCAGATACTAATCCCACTAGTTACTAATCCCACTACCAGTTACTAATCCCACCACCATAACTAATCCCACTAGTTACTAATCCCACCACAGTTACAACTCACACCACCAGTTACTAATTCCCGACACATTTACTAATCCCACTACAGTTACTAATCCCACCACCATTACTTATCCTGAAACAGTTACTAATCCCACCACCACTTACTAATCCCCCACCAATAATTTCCCTGAAATACTCACAATAGTTTTTGATAAGAGTCATAACTGATGCAATAATTTCACTGAAATACTCACAATAGTGTTTGATAAGAGTCATAACTGATGCAATAATTCCCTGAAATACTCACAATAGTTTTTGATAATAGTCATAACTGATGCAATAATTTCACTGAAATACTCACAATAGTTTTTGATAAGAGTCATAACTGATGCAATAATTCACTGAAATACTCACAATAGTTTTTGATAATAGTCATAACTGATGCAATAATTTCACTGAAATACTCACAGTAGTTTTTGATAAGAGTCATAACTGATGCAATAATTCCCTGAAATACTCACAATAGTTTTTGATAAGAGTCATAACTGATGCAATAATTTCACTGAAATACTCACAATAGTTTTTGATAATAGTCATAACTGATGCAATAATTTCCCTGAAATACTCACAATAGTTTTTGATAAGAGTCATAACTGATGCAATAATTTCACTGAAATACTCACAATAGTTTTTGATAATAGTCATAACTGATGCAATAATTTCACTGAAATACTCACAGTAGTTTTTGATAAGAGTCATAACTGATGCAATAATTCCCTGAAATACTCACAATAGTTTTTGATAAGAGTCATAACTGATGCAATAATTTCACTGAAATACTCACAATAGTTTTTGATAATAGTCATAACTGATGCAATAATTTCCCTGAAATACTCACAATAGTTTTTGATAAGAGTCATAACTGATGCAATAATTTCACTGAAATACTCACAATAGTTTTTGATAAGAGTCATAACTGATGCAATAATTTCACTGAAATACTCACAGTAGTTTTTGATAATAGTCATAACTGATGCAATAATTTCCCTGAAATACTCACAATAGTTTTTGATAAGAGTCATAACTGATGCAATAATTCCCTGAAATACTCACATTAGTTTTTGATAAGTGTCATAACTGATGCAGTAATTCCCTGAAATACTCACAATAGTTTTTGATAAGAGTCATAACTGATGCAATAATTTCACTGAGGATATCTAGATTCAGACTGAATATTTACAATATATTTTTAAAAATACTGATTGCTACTCCACAAGTTGTTAAAATAAAACAAATCTACAAACTTTCAGAATTACACAAGACTGAAATAACTTTCCTAAAATAAAAACTTGGTATTTCCACCTTCTATCTATTGGTTGCTGTCACAATGCGTAACTTGCATATAGCAAAACCTTTAATAATGGCAAATTACTACCAGTCCTTATGAGACCTTAACTAATGGTCAGTTTGGCAAGGACTTCAGGACTAGTGCCAATTTTTAACGCTGTAGAATGTCGAACATTTTGGGTTCCTTTGCGTTCAAGCTAGTCACCATTCGGGCTAGTGGACTTTCTAGGTTAATTTCTATCCCTGTACACACTAGTCCATCAGCTGCAAGTAATTCTGTCTAGCACTTACTGCAGTCACAGTGTATTTGACCAACAAGCATGTTCGGGCCTATATAAACATGTCTTGTTTCATTTTAGATCGTGACTTCCAAATTTAGAAAATGCCCCATTCCCAATACAAAATATGTCATGACTCCAATTTTTACAAGGCTGTGTAAAACCCTGAAGAGGAGAATTATATCGCTGGAAACACGTTACTTGACAACGATGAAGACAAATAATGGTCATCCTTGTTCCACCTGTACAATCAAAGATGGGGTCCAAACTCCAGGCTTCACCAACCACCTCTGTGGTCTAGTGGTAGAGCGTCCGCCCGGAGAGTGGAAGGTCCGGGGTTCGATCCCTGGCCGTGTTATACCAAAAGACGTAACCCTGCCTGGCGCTCGGTATTAATGGGCCAAAACAAGGTGACATAGGAGGGACATAACTCGTAATAGCAACTAGTGGCGCTACGATCGAGCCCAGGAATTCCAGCCTTGTTCGGCAAGGGTGGAAACTAAACTGGACTTTTATAGCCCTTGCCTAGGGAAGAGTGAGTGAGTGAGTGAGTTGGGTTTTATGCTGCTTTTAACAGTATTCCAGTTATATCACGGCGTGTCAGCTTAATGTGAGAGGAAAGCCCGAAGTGATGCAGGTCTCAGACGTTTACCACTTCGGTGAAACCCATGAGCACGGGTATGGTGCTGACAAACCTAGAAACATAATCGGGGCGAACCGGGATTCGAACCCACAATCATAGGTTTCTGGTGTGCCCAAGGGACGCAACTCTGCACAGGGAATCGCGTCGCCGTAGACGACTGGGCCACCCGTGCCCCCTGCCTAGGGAAGATGGTAAAGTGGGACAGTTGTCTGAACAGTAAGGCACGGCCCAAGTTCAGTGCACCTTCATGTTGTCCTCTGTCATTGTCTATCTATTATTTAGGAGATAAACCTATTGTGTTTTCAATGTAGAGCTAGGCTACCTGTAGATTTAACCATTGAATTGAATTTGGAACCCAAACGTACAGCGTGAGGTCTAAAACGTTCAATTCAGCACGGTTTAATTCTACCATGGCTGGTTGGTTTGGTTTGTTGTTTAACTCCGCACTCAGCAATATTCAAGCTATATGTTGGCGGTCTGTAAAAAAATCGAGTCTGGACCAGACAATCCAGTGATTATTATCACGAGCATCGATCCACGCAATTGGGATCGATGACATGCATCAACCAAGTCAGCGAGCCTGACCTCCCAATCCCGTTAGTCGCCTTTTACGACAAGCATCTACCATGGCAAAATTAAACAAAATTAAATTTGGTGTTAGCCACGATGTTGATTGTTGAATCCAATCATTATACTTTACTTTTATAGCGATCCCTCTCTTCAACGCTACCTTTGGGGTACAAAATATTTATAAGCGTTAGAGTCGTAGGGGATAGATGACCAACAAAACAGTACATGCTCTGCCTACCTTACGTGATCTATGCTGCACGTTTCAGAGTTGTATATACGTATACAAGGCAGGCATTGAAAGTGTGCAGCACAGCGATTCTGTAAGCCAACAATAAGAGGCACCCCTAAAGAAAATTGACCGCCTCCGTGGTCTAGTGGTAGAGCGTCCGCCCGGAGAGCGGAAGGTCCAGGGTTCGATCCAGGGCCTCGTCATTCCAAAAGAAGTTAAAAGATGGTACTTGTTGTTACCCTGTCTGGCGCTCGGCATTAAGAGGCTAAAGCAAGGACTGGTCGGCTCGGAGTCAGTATACTGTGTCTGAGTGGGGTATTCATGTTAAACTGCGGCATGGTATCTCAGTGAGCTAGCACTATAAATTGGCATCAGTCCGGACTAGTACAAGCAGCCACACACACACATACACGTGCATGCACGTCGCTATATAAGTGCAATAATCTTGGACGCGACATTAAACCCAATTTCACCTCACCTCACCTAAAGAAAATTAAGCAAACATCACAAGATTTAGTTAACACCATGTACCTACTACACAGTATCACTGCCGTCCATTGTGGCACAGAACATATTACTCCAGAGTTGGCTATAGACATGGCAGAAAAACTCCCTAAACTTGCTAGAACTTGAAATACACTCTCGTAGTCGATTCCTATCATGTTATCTGCCCAAAATGTATTGCCACGTCTACTTTGAATATTGTAGTAACAGCGATTCTGCATTTTGTAAATTATAACTGCACTTATCATACCTACATGTCAGAATGATGAGATCTGATTGGTCCACATGATCTTGATAAAATACTGTGTAATCCGCCTTGGAGGAGAATAAATTTTTTAGCAGGGGAATAATCTGTTATACCCTGCCACGAGCAATACAGGCTGCACGTGGATTTCGCAGAGGGAGAATAAAACCCTCATACCCAGCTTCAAAGCAAAAAGCCGCACGCTTTTTCCGAGTCAATGAAAGTCACGTGACATAGCACAAGCTAACCTCAGCTCAATGGAACAGCTGTTTTCTATCAATTTTGAATTTGTGTTATTTCTTTTACAATGTCACATAAAAACATGTCCGTGAGATAAATTTGTTGTAGCAGGATCACACAGGGTACATGGGGATTTATGCGTCCTGCGTTAGGTTTTATATGACTCACCTCCTGCTCATGGAATAAAACCTAACACGGGACACGTAAAACCCCATGTACCCCGAGTGGTCCTGCTACAACTTATAATATTGTATAAAAAATACCAAGCGACAATGACTCAGATCAATCTCATTAAAATCAGATCTTAGTTTTCGCTACCGCTAAACAAAGATCTGAGGACATCCCATTACAGCTCACGTCAGAACGACCTTTCGCGAATTTTGACTGACCAATGAAATGACCGACAAGAAATCAACATTAGCCAATCAGAAGGCAGCTTTCTTGAGCTTTACGACACTAGTTTCAAACTGGCGACTACGCTTCGAAACATATTTTGACGTATTCTCGATTAAAAAAATTAAAACTGATAAGAATATTCTGGAATGGCTTATAAATAGCCTAGATTGTATAAATATAATCATTAAACCCGTAACTGTCGTTCGGAATACCCCGTGTTAAATATTTCGTGGTTGCATGATTAGAAAACACATTCACTTTCATGATCTGGTAAGCGACGCTCTGATTGGTTGGATGAAAGGTCGTTCTGATGGACCCTTAATGGGATGTCCTCAGATCTTTGTTTAGCGATAGCGAGAACTAAGATCTGATTTTAATGAGATTGGACTGAGATAGAAGTACTTTTCTAAATATCTTAGCTTTGTTATGATGCAGTCTTCAAATCAGCTGTTTTAATCAGTGGTGGTTATTGTGATTTGAGTAATTTCAAAATTCAGGGTAGAATATCTATTGAGTCAGGTCAAATTAGACATCAGATTAGAATAATCGGTTTGTCAAGGAGAGTTGACATACCCCAATTTGATTTGATTGTTTGTTGCTTGATGGCGCACTCAACAATATTCCATCTATATTACGGCTGTCTGTAAATAATCGAGTCTGGACCAGACAACCCAGTGATTGACATCATGAGCATCGATCTGGGATTCTGCAGTTGGGATTCGATGACATGTATCAACAAAGTCAATGAGTCTGACCAACTAAACCTCCTCGTCTCCTCCTACCCCAAACTAAAGAACGATCCAAAAGAAAAATTTTACAACATTAGCTGGTGGATTTTGATTGACTGTTTAAATATCTCTAGTGGCTGACATTTGGGTGGAACATGTCCGTAGTTGACTGTTATCATATTATTTGCAGGGGGGATATTATCACGTGGTATTACGGAGATATCGGGGGAGAGTGCGAGCGGCAAGACTCAACTCTGTCTACAGCTCTGTCTGACATCGCAGCTTCCACCGGAACATGGCGGCCTGGGTGGTGGTGAGTCAGAATTTTGTAATGTTGTAACTGTAATCAATATTGAACCTTAAGCCCGACTTACACGGGTCAACACGTCGTAACGACTTGACGATTTCCATACATTGTACAACATGTTCGGTGATTGTAACTAATATCGACTAATCGATTTGCTACCACTCACACGATTCGATCTGCCAATTGAGTGTCGATCTCATGATATCTCACGATAATTTGTTTCCATGGCATCAAAATGTCTTAAGCAGATGTGGCAGCAGTCATCTGCTGCGTAATATCGTGTGAAGAAGACGGCATATGCAGCGTTCCTCTTTTCTCGTTTAGAATAATCCTTGCTTGAGACATTCCACAGGCTTTCGTGACTCAGATAGTGAGCCATAAAATGTTCGGTTTCCTCTCTTGAAAAGTCGAGGCGTGGCTTCTTCGCAGTAGACGAAGCCATGTTTCCCGCTTGTGTGTAAACAAATATCATGTGACATCAAAATGCAATTTGATTGGCAGTGCCACATCCAACTTGCCGATTAGCTAGAACAGACTCTACGCACTGGCAAACAATCGATGCGAGTTCGAGCGGGCGATGTGTCCCTTTTGTCGAATTCAATTAATCACTTAGACAATACGACTCGGTCGAATTCGGCATATCGACCCATGTGAGTCCGCCTTTAATTACCAAAAAGGACAAAAGGTTTCTTTTCATTTTCTCCAAAGTCCAACCATAAATATTTCATATTTTCAACATATGTAAAGCATGTTATTTGACACCCAGTAAGTGTGTGTCTTTATCTGTCATTTTTAGCCTCAAATGAAAACTTTGCATCTGTGAAATCAGATCCACTGGTAACACTCGTAAAATCTCCGAACTTCACCTCTAGCGTTGGTGGCAACCACCTGTGCAATAGTGACTTATACCAGTGTGTGTGTGTGTGAGCATCTATGTTGTTTTAAAGATAGCGGTGGCCTGTTTCCAAATGATTGAGTCTGGACCTCACAATCTAGGGATTGACATTACAGTCTGCACAATTGTCAGCAAGTCTGACCTCCTGATCCCTTGAGTCACCTCTTACGACCAGCAAGGCGTGCTGGGGACATATTGTAACCCAGATTTCCCATGGGGATATCCCGGTGTGGAGCCAAGTTGGACACAGCACCCATACAGCCATACCTTAGCATCGGCTTGCAATAGTCCTAGTGCTACATATCGTATCATGACTAGTGTTCGGAGCTAAGTAAGTTAAACTAATGGTGAAGGTGGTCACGTCACTTTTCATACAAATCTATGGTGGCTAATTTGTCAAAGGCATTCATCATGATAAAATGAAGATATTAAACACTGGATAATGCTGATCAAGCTGAGAGATGATCAAAAACTTCTTGGTTGATTTCTCTTCTTCTTTTTTTTAGAGGTATTGTAAGGTGAGATAAGGTGAAATGGGGTTAAACGTTGCGTTCATGATTATTGAACTTATATGGAGGGCTCAATTTGTTGAAGGCATCTAAGGCTTTCCCCTTTTTTTTGTAGTTGGTTTGAGTATTATCACCCCAAAATAAGAAATTGTGTTTTACTGGCACTTTGGTCGGAAATCAAAACAATTTGCAGGTAAAAGTACAAACTGACAGCAAAGTTGTCTCGTTACTCCTTTACAAGATTCTAGAAATATATTTAAAGATCTCCTTCCAAAAAAGAACAGACAGTAGACACTTTGCTTGAATGATATCGATCATAGATAGTTGAGATAAGTTACAGAATATGTTACAAACACACGTTGTCTGTGAAGTTTCTTAAACCATTGTCAAACTGTGTCAAACTTACACAATGGTTTTTGTGTGTCGGTTCTGAAGGTTATCTGCATGTAGGCTTTGTGTGTTCAGTGCGCAACTCAAACTGAACGGAGAGCTCTTAGGATATATTTTACGCCTGTTTGAATCAGTACAGTGGAGAATATCGACTAAAGTTCAAAGTGTCAACCATTCAGCACTATCATGGTAGTGTAGCTAGCAACAATGAAATAATTCCAATTTTACAACAGTCTATCATTGCTTATGTTCCTTGTGTGAGGGGGGGGCCACGGGTGGCCCAGTCGTCTAAGGCGACGCGATTCGCTGTGCAGAGTTGCATCCCTTGGGCACGCCAGAAACCTATGATTGTGGGTTGGAATCCCGGTTCGCCCGATTATGTTTCTAGGTTTGTCAGCACCATACCCGTGCTCGTGGGTTTCACCGAAGTGGTTAACGTCTGAGACCTGCATCACTTCGGGCTTTCCTCCCACATTAAGCTGACACGCCGCGATATAACTGGAATACTGTTAAAAGCGGCGTTAAACCCAACTCACTCACTCCTTGTGTGAGGAGTACCACAACATTCTATACCCATGTGGATTTTTTATTGTTTATTGCCTGTCACTAACATCATCAGGCAATACACAGTATACTCTAGGGCTGGGACGAGTCCAAATTTACTACCCGGGTACCCGACCCCCTATTACCTGACCCTACCCGGGTACCCACTGCAAGTCTCAAGAGTTGGGAACAAAATGTCTGATTGGTAATTGTTTTACCGCAGCCCTGGCTAAAACTATTTAGATACATGTGCCAAACAATCAGATCATGCGTTCACTGAAGTTGACTGAAGCTTTATCTTTACTCAAAGGGAATGTGTGCATTGTCAGAAAGAAATGCGAATATAAGCGACTTGTAGTGTAACCACTGAGCTATAGTAAGTTTTTGTCATGAAACAATATATCACGTGACTAAGCACGGGTCCGGGTAGTCCTGTGGGTACCCGGGTCCTACTCAGGACCCACCCGACCCGAGTACCCGAGTTACCTGTCCCAGCCCTAGTATACTCGTTACATTGTGACGCAGTAAGTCATGTTTGTGGTTACTTGTGTTGGTTTAACTGTCAAGTACTACATGACTCGGGTTATAATTACTTGAAACTTTTGGTCAGTTTCTTGTTTCTTGTCTCCAACACCTATGCTGATCATAGGAGGCGACCCTATGTGGTTAGAATATGTCTCCAACACCCTATGCTTATCATAAGAGGCGACCCAGTGGGGTTAAAATATGTCTCCAACAACATATGCTGATCATAAGAGGCGACCGTGTGGGGTTAGAATATGTCTCCAACACCCTATGCTTATCATAAGAGGCAACCCCGTGGGGTTAAAATATGTCTCCAACACCCTATGCTTATCATAAGAGGCGACCGTGTGAGGTTAGAATATGTCTCCAACAACCTATGCTGATCATAAGAGGCGACTGTGTGGGGTTAGAATATGTCCCCAACAACCTATGCTGATCATAAGAGGCGACCGTGTGGGGTTAGAATATGTCCCCATCAACCTATGCTTATCATAAGAGGCGACTGTGTGGGGTTAGAATATGTCTCCAACAACCTATGCTGATCATAAGAGGCGACCGTGTGGGGTTAGAATATGTCTCCAACAACCTATGCTGATCATAAGAGGCGACCGTGTGGGGTTAGAATATGTCCCCATCAACCTATGCTGATCATAAGAGGCGACCGTGTGGGGTTAGAATATGTCCCCATCAACCTATGCTGATCATAAGAGGCGACCATGTGGGGTTAGAATATGTCCCCATCAACCTATGCTGATCATAAGAGGCGACCGTGTGGGGTTAGAATATGTCCCCATCAACCTATGCCGATCATAAGAGGCAACCATGTGGGGTTAGAATATGTCTCCAACACCCTATGCTTATCATAAGAGGCGACCGTGTGAGGTTAAAATATGTCTCCAACAACCTATGCTGATCATAAGAGGCGACTGTGTGGGGTTAGAATATGTCTCCAACACCCTATGCTTATCATAAGAGGCAACCCAGTGGGGTTAGAATATGTCTCCAACAACCTATGCTGATCATAAGAGGCGACCCCGTGGGGTTAGAATATGTCTCCAACACCCTATGCTTATCATAAGAGGCGACCCAGTGGGGTTAAAATATGTCTCCAACAACATATGCTGATCATAAGAGGCGACCGTGTGGGGTTAGAATATGTCTCCAACACCCTATGCTTATCATAAGAGGCAACCCCGTGGGGTTAAAATATGTCTCCAACACCCTATGCTTATCATAAGAGGCGACCGTGTGAGGTTAGAATATGTCTCCAACAACCTATGCTGATCATAAGAGGCGACTGTGTGGGGTTAGAATATGTCCCCAACAACCTATGCTGATCATAAGAGGCGACCGTGTGGGGTTAGAATATGTCTCCAACAACCTATGCTGATCATAAGAGGCGACTGTGTGGGGTTAGAATATGTCTCCAACAACCTATGCTGATCATAAGAGGCGACCGTGTGGGGTTAGAATATGTCTCCAACAACCTATGCTGATCATAAGAGGCGACCGTGTGGGGTTAGAATATGTCTCCAACAACCTATGCTGATCATAAGAGGCGACCGTGTGGGGTTAGAATATGTCCCCATCAACCTATGCTGATCATAAGAGGCGACCATGTGGGGTTAGAATATGTCCCCATCAACCTATGCTGATCATAAGAGGCGACCGTGTGGGGTTAGAATATGTCCCCATCAACCTATGCCGATCATAAGAGGCAACCATGTGGGGTTAGAATATGTCTCCAACACCCTATGCTTATCATAAGAGGCGACCGTGTGAGGTTAAAATATGTCTCCAACAACCTATGCTGATCATAAGAGGCGACTGTGTGGGGTTAGAATATGTCTCCAACACCCTATGCTTATCATAAGAGGCAACCCAGTGGGGTTAGAATATGTCTCCAACAACCTATGCTGATCATAAGAGGCGAACCCGTGGGGTTAGAATATGTCTCCAACAACCTATGCTGATCATAAGAGGCGACCCCGTGGGGTTAGAATATGTCTCCAACAACATATGCTGATCATAAGAGGCGACCGTGTGGGGCTAGAATATGTCTCCAACAACATATGCTGATCATAAGAGGCGACCGTGTGGGGTTAGAATATGTCTCCAACAACCTATGCTGATCATAAGAGGCA